GGAATATCTTCAGCTTGACTTGTAAAGACTGGAAGCACCATAATTGCCATTAACATCCCAAAACGTCCAAATTTCTTCAGTTGTTCGAAGAAAGCTCTGCGTGGGAACAATTTCGATGGATCCGATCCAAGTCTGATTAAAATATTTGCAACTCAATCATTAATTAATAAACCATGGACTTGACTTTGACGAACCTCTTCAAATAACTCGATAAACTGTGATAATAAACATTTAAAAATTCGATGTAATGTTTATCTCTCAAGGCTTTAGTCGTACAACCAAAAATGTAGTACATAAGATCACAAACCGGTGAAGCGTATCTCATGATTTGCCAATCTAACAAACGAACCTCAACGGGGATTCCATTCTAGTTAAATGGAAGTTAAAGAGTGAGAAGATACGTTTAAGTAGTAAGAGAATAAATTACCTCATATCGATACATGATGTTATTATTCCAACAATCTCCATGACAGATGACAGCGTAGGGTTCAGCAGAAGCACCATTAACATCATCCATAAGAATATCCATAAATTTATCATTCAATGTATTTCCAACATGATCTTTCAACTTTTCATTAGGATGATCGTCTAATGTTCCGATTGCCTGTTTTACAATTTCAATAAAATATCCATCCAACCCCCCTTTGGAAGCTTCTTCAAATTCCTTGAATATTTCTTTCATTGGTTTGTATTTCTCGATGAGTTCAGGATGTTGATCTTTTATTGCAAACGAAATTGCATGAAACTTTCCGAGACTTTCCATGACTCTACTGACATGATCGAGTGTCACATCTTTGAATCGATCAAACATATCGAAACCTGATTCCTTCAAATCTTCCAGATAAAGTGCTTCATGTTGATCATCGTTGCTTGTTCGAAGACATTCAGGTACCTGATAGAAACCTTCTTTGTTCACATCAATTCCTTTATCTTCCTGGAACTTCTTGAATAAAGGATATAATTCGTTGTAGAACAAGATTTCACGAAGAAATATTGGACCTGCTGAGAATTGTTCACGGCGTGCTGCATTTTGAGGTGGAATCTTGATGATGATCTTTGTTTTATTTCCTGAAGAGTTCGTCACTTCTGCACGATACAAAATCCCAACATAATTATCGCCCTTGGCCGATGCAGCTTCGATTTTTATTTCACATTCGTCAGCTGATGATTTGAGTTGTTTTTTGATGATTTCTTTCAAGGCTTCTTGATACACTTCAGGCAAGATAGAAATAGTCAATTCGCCAGTTTCATTCACATGCTTCTCCATTCCTAATTTAAATAAATGACAAGTTGATTGAGTTGTTTTCTTACATGTCTACAAATTGTTGTCAGTATAAATTATTTTACGCATGTGTATGAATTATTAGCTGGCATAAATAGTAACTTTAATATTTAATAATAGTGCAAACAAAGCAATCAAAATGCTTTTAAATTGACGATTCTTTAAGTAATCCCAAAATAGATTTAAGTCTACATGTATTGTGTTCCTCAAGGTAAAGAAGAATTGATAAGAATATTTAATCATACAACAATTCTCTTATCTCAAAAGCTCAACAAATAACGCGTCTTTACGGAACTTATTTCTCCTTGACAATGGATCTCGTTTTGCAATGTCATTATCATTTCATAAACCCACAAGTACACTCGAAAATATTATTTATAGACGCTGTCAAGTGTTATAAATTTATTTAGAAATATTTTGAACTTGTTATGATAATATTTACACCAAAGTTAATTTCACAATATTATTTAATAGAGAAAAATTCTTCTAAAGTTCATTAACGTCACATTACTTTATGTTCTGAAAATGTCATACTTTATCTTTTCTAACTTTTTCTAACTTTCTTTAATTAATTTGATAACAATTTCCATCTAAATTCACAAAATAAATAAAACTTTGCCTTTTGTGCGTTTGAATTTGTAAAGCCAATCTGAAGTATCGTCAACAACTGAACAGTTTAAACTGGAAATATTTTGTAGAAGTAAAACTTTATCAGTTTGATTACTCCAAGTTATCATGTTATTAGATAGGGACTCAGAAGAGTAATCGCAGTCATGAAATTTCCGATCTTCACACTCTGAAAATGTTTTGTGATGAAGAATGAAACTGAAATGAATTAAATATTTTTAATTGTTCGTAGATTATATTTTGAATGAGTGTAATTAATTGATGATTTCTTTATTATCAAAATTGCGGATTAAGATATCTAAAAATGCTTATCTTTGAATGATTCCAAATTTTTATTGATAGAATTTCCCTCTTTTTCGAATAAACAACACTCACGACTTATTTTAACATTTGAAGATAATTTAAAATTCAAGACTTTGGACAACTTATGATTTTGTGCGTCATTTCAATCATTTGATTAACGAAGTTATTTTTTTCATTATTTTTCTCGCTTTGCGTGAGCGTAAGCTTTGAAAGTAATTGAATTTTCATCATTTGTTCAAGATATCCGTTATCGACGAAAGTGTCAATGACACAACTTGAGCCGGAATTTTCAATGTTTCCTCTCATTTGCTCCAAAGCTAACTTCATGATGGATTCACATCGTTCATATCCGATGTTAACATTTTTTGGATTCATTTTGAAGTTATACAAATTGGGATTTATGACTGATTTCTCCACGAGATGTTTGCGCATGCAGTAATCATAATCATCCGACATTGGTTCAAATCTTTTCTGTTCATAGAATGTATCAAAAAATGCTCCATAATCGGTTTGACCTTTGCATTTAATCAAAGCATTTTCAACGATATTTTGAGCTTGTTTCTTCAGCTCCTCAATTTTTGAATTCTTTGAAGAAATTTTCCAGAACTTCAATCCCACCCCCTTAAGCTCAATAACTTCGGCGTTCAGTAAAATATTTTTATATCTTTCCGTCTCTATTTCTCCCATTGCACAATCAGCGTACGGTTTTTGTTTGAAATTCGATTCCATCTTTGAACGAGTTTCGCCATAAAAATCTGCTATTTTTAACCTAATATCATTCGAGCATGTGACGGGATCGCCAGTGTATGGGTCGATTGAATCAAGAATGTCGTCATGAATGTTACTGAACTTCAAATAATCAGCGAGACATTCTTTAGTCAGCTTCCCTTCACATCTCTTCGATAAAACAAGGAATAAACCAAGGCAAAGCAGAATTCGTCTGAAATGCGATGTTTTTATTATTGAAATATTTTCCACTCAATCATTCCATTAAGATTACTCACTTCATCTTTTATTTTATTATTTCAAATTACTTTTAAATTTATATGAAGATGTTCGAGAGATTTTTAGTCAACAACTGAATGTTGGTTGATCTTTTCTTATCAATTATAAGTGGAAATATTATTCTCGCTCAATAAGATCACTTCATGAGAGATTTTTCATATATGAAAATGGTCATCTGCTCTTGTAACAAGAAGAAACTCATCAAAACAAGCACCAGAATGTTATTCTCAATTCGTTCTCATTCAACTAACTGAGAAAGTTTTATTTAAATTTTTTTTAATTCAATAAAAATCTTTCATTTTTACTCTCAAACGGAAGCATGTCAAGGTCGAGAATGAATGAGACGTGATAAGAATTTAAATATTTTTCATTATGATTTTATTTCTCGCTTCATTTTACAATTTCATGTGAAAAGAAAATAATAAATTTATTTTAATTTAACATTTATCAGCATCGTATGATATATCAACCATGGAATTGATGAAATCTTGACGTTCTCTTGATTTATCCGACATTGTTAAATACAACTTGGATAAGACTTCAGCCTTCAATATATTGTCAGCATAACCACCACGGATGAAAGCATTAATACGGCAATCAGAAGCTTTAATGTCTTTATAAATGTTGCCTATGATTGTCTGCACCACTGGATCGCAGTTAAGTCCTTCGGTTCGCACATTACGAGGATTCGGGTTGAATCCAAAGTTGAATGGATTCAACAGGTTTTTCGACAAAAGATGTTTCCTCATGCAATATTCTTCTTCACCTGATCGATCCCAACTTACACCACCATCGTGAATATTGTTAAAAAGTTCACCAAATTCACGATGTCCTTTGCACTTTGTTAATGATTTCAATACAATTCGATTCGCCTTCGAATCAAGTTCTTCAATTCGTGATGACTTCGAGAAGTAAGACCAGAATCTCCAATTACTGATCATTTCAATGGCAGCTTTACGAAGAACCACATCATCGTAACTGTCATCATCCTCTTCAATGTCACGCATTGTGCACTCAACAAAAGGACGACGTGTTCTATCATTGAACAAAGCACTTCGCAATGAACTGTGATACACTGCAAGTCTGCCTTTAACTGCTGACTCGCAATCAGTTACCGATCCATAAAAAGGATCCACAAAACTGAGAAGATCTTCGTTAACATTTCTGTCTTTTAAATACCTCTTAATACATTCGAGTGTAAGCTTTTCATCGTAATGATTAGCGGTACAGACAGCACTGATCGATAACACCAAAAGGAGTTTTAAAATCCTGAAACTTTTATTTTTCATTAGGCCAAATTTTTTTTTATTATTTTTTCTTCTAATTCTGCTTTAGAAAATATTTTTGAAAACTTACTCCATCACTTCCTTCCTTTTCATTTAGTCACTATAACTTCTGAAATCAAACTAAATGTGTACACTCAGCTTTAGGAGAATAAATAATTTACTGATAACGTGAATTATGATTAATTAAATGTTTTCTAAAACATTTTGTTTATTTCAATGAGAATTTATAGTGATTTGAGTTCGACTTGAACATATAAACGTTGAATCGTAAGAAATACAAAACAATCTTCAGTTTAATTAATGAATCGAGATAAATCTAGAGAGAATTGACTCAAGTTGAATGAGATTCCTAGAAGACCAGTAATCAACATACTTTATAAACATTAATTGATATTTTAGTCATTTCAGTTACAAAATTCTGTTTCTCTTTCTCTCTCTCCTCGAGGTTTAAGTTTAATTGACTCAGTAAATCTGCTTTGAAAAGAATGTTTAAGTATCGATTATCTGACAATAATATTGAAAGCGTGCACTGCTTTTTAGCAGCATCGGAAGTTTCCAAATCAAACTCTCTTAATACGTCCACAATCCCAATTCTTAAGGATTGAAGAACTTTAGCGCAGTTAAAGTTTTTCCCAACATAATTTTCATTAATTATTTGCATATTTGAATAATATTGTTCGAGTTCTGTAGTCAACTCTCTTCTCATGCAATAGTCTTCGTCGTCGTCTCTTGTCGCAAATTGTTCGAGAGAAAATTCGTTTTCGAAGAAAGAATCAAAGAGTTGACCAAATTTAAAGTTTAAAACACACTTTAATTGAAATATCAAAATCATTTCAGAGAGTTCACCTTCAACCTTTTCAAGAATGATTTGTTTAGGTGATTTTGACCAAGTCAACCAGCTACCAAGTTTTTGCAAACTTCCTTCATTAATTGATTGGATAACTCGTCGTTTCAACAAAATATTCTTAAATCTCTCATCTTGATTAACTTCTTTCGACAAACATTCAAAATGTTTCTCTTCTCGTTGACTGAACAACAAATGTGCGATAAGTTTTTCTTTCTCTAATTCAATTCCACGCTGACACGCGTCAGAAATTCCAAATGTTGTTTCAACAGAATCAAATATCATTTCATTCATGTTGTTTTGTTTCAAAAATGATGTGAAGCATTCTATTCTTGAATCTGTGTGAATGTAGCCAGAGCTTTGGCTATCTAGTGATTGTGGAAAGGCTTCATAAAAGAGAAAACAGAATATGACAGCAACTTGGAATAATCTGTAGGATATTTGTTAAATTATCTAAGTCATCAAATTCGGTTAAAAATCTTCTTACCTCATTATCATTTAAATTTGTTTTACGAAAAATGCAAATACGTGTTAAGTATCTACCCAAAATTCAAACACAAAATGTTAAAATATGTTCTCTGATAAAACTTTTATCACTTTGTTGTCAAAAAATTCAGCATAACAATGTGATTAAAATTTTATTTATGAGAGAATGATTGAAACTCATTCAAAAGTCGAAAGTTGGAGCTTCTAAAAATTTGTGATTTATTCGATCATGAAGTTATAAACTTAAGGTCATTAATCGTCTCATTTCTTCTTCATAATCAAAACGTTGTTGTTTGCACACTTTCTTGACATTTTTCCTTTATAATTGGAATTACTTTTTCCCACGACTCACGTTTTTTAATGGAAAAGTCTTTGTTGATGCAAGTATTCGATGATAAATTTATCTTTTTAAGTTTCGGAAAATTGGTTTGACTTTTACTCAAAATCATTACGTCGAAAAATGTGATTGAATTGTTTGCTGTGAAAGAGAATTCTATGAAACGAATAGCTCAAATCATATTTAATTAAAAGTGTTACCCAATTGAAGCTCACGTAATCCTGTCAGAGGTTCAATTAAATCATAATTTATTTCTTTCAACTTATTGTGACTTAAATTCAAAACGTGTAACATGTCCAAACCATAGAAAGCATTTTCATCCATTTCTTCGATTGTGTTGTTTGCTTTTGAAATAAGTAATTAAAAATTTAACATTTTTTTGAATAAAGTTTATTAAACTTACACAGATCAAGCCCCGTAAGTCTCTTCGAAGTATTGAAAACATTACTTTCAATTTTTTTCAATTGATTTCCAGACAAATATAAATTTATCATGTTAGATAATCCATCGAGGTCTTCATTTGTAATATTATTAATTAAGTTATAAGCTGTGAACATCAAATTAGAGAATAATGATAAAACATAAATACTTTGAACGAATAACTTACATAAAGTCAGATGATTTAGTGCTAGTAAAGGTGCAAATATGCCTTGGCCTAACCTATCCAAATGATTGTTTGCTAAATTCAAGTTAGTTAAGGAGATTAATCCACTAAAAGCATTCACTTCAATATGATTCATCCCATTATTTGCTATAAAAATATTTTGTTAAATTTAATTTAATTTAAATAAAAATAAAATGTCAGGTTTCTCGATTTACCTAATCCAAGATCACCCAGCGACGACAAAACCTTAAATTTTCCACCATCTAATTTATTTAATTTATTGCCATTTAACTCTAGAAAAGTTAAGTTGTCCAATCCATTGAAAGCATTTTCTTCGATAAATTTGATTGCGTTGCTTCCTGTTGTAAAAAATTAAATTTATTTATGCGAATTGGAAACAAATCTTGTCAATATCTTCTCATTTTTACTTATTTTCAAATTCTCCAACGTAGAAAGATGTAAAAACTTATTGTTGTCTAATTTATCCAATAGATTGTGGTCTAAATTAAGACGTTTTAACATGGCTAACCCTTTGAAAGCGTTGTCTTCAATCTGTTTAACATTGTTATGCGCTGTTAAAATATTTCAATTTATTAATCACTTAATATCCAAATTTATTCAATTTATTTCTTACCCAAATTCAGACGAACCAACGATGGAAGATTTTCAAGTATGCCAAACTCTAATTTATCCAATTGATTATGATTAAGATTCAAAGTGTCCAAGTTGTCTAAACCGTTGAAATAGTTTTTGTCAATATTTTTGATTGTGTTGTTTGCTGTTAGAAATGTTGGAGAAAAAAATTTTATCATTTAATTATTATCATATTAAATAAGTTTACTGAAACTCAGGCGCAGCAAAGATGAAAGATTTGTAACCAAACCATCCTCCAACTTATCCAATTGATTGCCATCTAACTCCAAAATCTCTAATTTGTTCAATCCATGAAAAGCGTTTTCTTCAATTTGGATAATTTTGTTGTTAGCTGTTGAAAATATTTAATTGAATTATTGTTATTAGTTATTTTGTATTTAATGACTTCATTACATAATTTTAAGTACACCAACGATGACAAATTCGCAAGCAAACCACCATCAAATTTATCCAATCGATTGCCATCTAACTCCAAAGTTTTGAGATTGACCAATCTACGAAAAACATTTTCTCCGATAGTTTTGATCTTGTTATTTGCTGATGAAATAAATGAATTGGTTATAAAACAGTTAGCACGATATAATCTTATTTTTACATAATTTCAAGTGGTTTAACGATGATAAAGATGCAAATATTCCGTCGTCAATTATCTTCAATTTATTGCTATGCAATTTCAAAATTTGTAAGTTGTCCAATCCATTGAAAACATTTGTGTCGATATGTTCAATTTTATTGTGTCCTATGAATAGATAAATATTATTGACTTTTATTTTAAACAATTTGAGATGTCATTTCTCAACAATCAAATCACCTAAATTAAGTATTTTTAAATGTGATAGTCCAAAGAAATTGAGTTCGTGAATTTCTTCAATTACGCAATCGTTAGCTTCATAAATTTCTAATTTTGGAAACACAACCGATATGTTATCAGGCAAGAAATATACATTTCTGTTTTGCTTTATATGTAAAACTGTAATAACATCGTCAGATGGAGGATCGAGGGTATAATTAGTAATTATGCTTCCTTTTTCGTAAATTGGTTTTCTTATAAAACAATATAATACGACAGGATGATAACTGATTCCTGTTGAACATTTTAAGACTTCATTCCCACTAACGAACGTCAAACCAAAAATAAGCAACAATAACCAGTTAAGAAATGTTTTTTGCCTATAACAAAATTTTGTCATTAATAAGAAGATTTAATTAATTTATATTTTTAAATATTTTTGTTTTTAATTTACCACATTTCAACTTGTACAGTTCTATAGAATTCAGATGACGACTGAACTGAATTAGAATCAGGAAACAATATTTATATATTTTTTGAAGAGATTAAAACAACTTCTCAATTTGATGCTCAAAAATCATACAAATTTATCTCGTCAAGTTAGAAAGTTGTTGCCTGAACTCTGTTTTATTAAACTCTAATTTACCACATTTTTATTTACACTTTTTATGCTGGAAACATAAAAATATGCTTGTTTGTCATCTAAGATTCAACTAAAGAATAAAAGATATAAAAAAATAATTTTGGCTGATTATAACAATTGGAGCTTTATTAAAATTGTTGCTTGACCATTTCTGAAACTTTATTTATTAAAACATATTTTAAATTCGGTTTATCTTTACATATCAAAGTTATTGATAAAAATATTTCGTGATGTTAGTTCGCACTTTACAAACAATTCCTTAAATGTTTCTTGAAGATTTTCTTCATCTTATTGACATAAACTTTTCTTGCATTTTCCTTTGCGTCTTTGTCCATTTCATCGGCGTCCAATTTTATTTTCATTGCAGGTTGGAAAATATCTTCATTAAGAAGCAACACATTAAGACATTTTCTGACGTTTTTCTTTTTATCGGAATAAAGACTTTGAATGGTGGTGAAGATTTCTGATTTTATCATATCTAATAACTCTTCACAGTTGAAGTTTTGGTGAGATGTTCCTTTAGTTGCACTGGATTTAGTCAAATAATTTCTCACACAAGCATCTTCAATGTTGCTCCTTCCATGCGTTGTTTGAATTTCATAAATCAAGTCAAAAGTGTCACCAAATTTCTTTCCATACTCACAATTAAAAAGATTCTCAAATTCTATGACACGTATCTCGTCTTCGACTTCGTTCAATGCTTTCTTCTTCTTTCCACTGAACCAATTCCTAGGATTCAGCTTTGCTTTCCAATTAAGTTTAATTGATTGAATTGCTTTCATTTTCAATAAAAGATGAATAAACTGTTCGTCATTTCTCACAGAGTCCATAAAGCAATCAAAGTCTCTCTTGTACTCTGCATTTATTTCATACTTCTGATGCGCAGTCATGAAGACATTATCTTTCTCAGAAATAATTCTTCTTGTACAAGAATCTGAAAGACTTTCCACATATGCGGTTTTGTTAAAAACTTCATCATCGTAATTTTGTTTACGTAAATAATTTATCAAACACTCATTCGAATGATCAATTTCATTTGAATAAATCTCTGCTATCAACATCAGCAGTGATAAAAAAATAATTCTGAAATGAAGTAATACATAAATCATTAACATTAAGACGTAAATAAATACTTCAACTCACCTCATCGCACACATGTTTATTATTCTGAATCCAAACTGAATATGAAATGAAATATTTCAATCAAAACATTTTTTTCTTCTCTTCATCTAAATAAAAACAACAACAAATCATAAACAAAACTGATTAAATAAAAGTTTTCCGTTTGTTTTTGTCCAAGTCACATTCACGTTGCATTGTTTTTGATAATTTATACTCAGAAAGCATCTGTGTAGATTTATAGTTGTTTAATTAAAAAAAGAAAAAATTTAAATCATTATTTTATTTTATTGAACATTTAAAAGTAGATAAATCTAATTATAAATTACATTTAAAATATTTATTTCTTTGCCTTCTTTGCTTCAGGTTCTTCATCGACATTTTGATGTTCCTCTTCGTTGTTTTGTGACATGCCTTCAGTATTGAAAATTGGTTTTGGTTGAGTCTTCTTGTAAGCTGGTGCAATCCAAATAGGATTTTCTTCAGCTTCTTTAGCATATTTGAGAATAGCTTCACGTGGGTCTTGATCGTCATCAACTCGCTTGCTTAAACCTAAGTTTCTGATAACGTAGGAACTTAAAGTTCCACCAGAACTGGCCACACGACCACCTTGACCTGAAGTAATCGGTAAATCGGGTCTTCGAGACTTAACTGGATCCAATCGATCTTTTTCCATTTGTTTTCGCAAGGATCGCGACTTTTCTTGTCGAAACATTGGAAGAGCGTGTGGAGTGATAACTTGAATACTTCCAGCAATCTCCATTTGCTTTTTCTTACGATATGTCTTGACTATGCAAAGCTTTGCACCACGCATGCTTCTTTTGTCATCGTAATATCCTTTAATTACTCCATTTCCACATCCCACAAATATTTGATTTAATTTAGGATGCCAAATGGTTTTTATAACATGAGAATTTGTTATTGGAATTTGATTAATCAATTCGAAAGTTTTGGTGTCATAAAAGTAAAGATTTGCATATTCTTTGTCTCTTTCTAATGACTCTCCTGTAACAATCAATGAATCATCGGGTGAAAATGTCAAATCAGTTGTATCGTATCTCGAAAATAACCCATCGAAGGAATGTAAAGGTTTCTTAAGCACTCGCATGTCCCATAATTTCATCGTTTCATCACAACCTCGTGTCGCCAATGACGTTCCAAGATAAGAGAAGACAATCGAAGATATTTCACTTCCTTTTTTATGTCCTTCTCTTACACAATGTGTTGTGTTCACAAACATTTTTCTTGTATCCCACATTTGTATTGATCCATCGACACAACCAGCAGCTATTAATGTGCCATCTCTATTAAAAGTGCACGATGTTGGAGTTGTTTTGAGTCCACCTTGAGCTCTTGTCTTGATAACAACTTTTTGTTCTTTCGACTTTACCATCCAAAGTCTCAATGTTGAATCCATTGAACTCGTTAAGAATTCTTCTCGTTTTGTCGGATTCCAGCAGCCATAAGTGAGACCAGCAATATGTCCTTTTGTTTTTGACATATCATTAATATATTGATCACCTTTAACACATTCCATCTTCTCAAAACCATCACGATCCAAAATTTTCGCTTGCGAATTTCCAGACACGACTAGAATTGTGTCTCCAGTTAAAGAGTATTGGAGACATCTTATAGGATGATTTTCACAAGGTTGAATCTTTCGAAAACTTTTCATTGAATTGTCCATTCCAGCAAAATCCCAAAAGTTGAGTTCATAATCGATAGAACCAGAAGCTAAGCGAGCTCCAGACGCATCAGAAGTTAAGGCTGTAACTGCTTTACTTCCATGCCGCATTTCAATTTCATGCGAAGCTGGTATTTTATATGCAATACTGTCTTCTTCATCGTCGTCACTAGCTTCATCGTTGGAATCATCTGAATCGTCAGAATCTTTCTGCGTTTTACTCGTTTTCTTTTCTGATGACTTCTTCACCACTGAAGAAGATGAAGCTTTTTCTTCAGTAATTGTGGTTGGAACAGGCCCAATCACTGAACCATCATCTCCAATTTCAGTTTCTGGATCTTTTTCAACTACTTTTGGAGCATTTTTTCTCGCTGTTTGAATCATTTCGTTAAGATCGAATTGCTTAGCTTTTCGACCAAATCCGCTTATTCCCATAATTTCTTGAACTTGCTTTGACTCAATATCTTCTTCTATGTCCTCAATAGCTTTACTGAAAGTTCCAAAACCTATAAATAAAAAATTGTGTTTTAAACGTTGACCATAAAATATTTTTTTAAGCAACCTACCTGATGTTTTGGTTTCATCATTGGCTTTTTCATTTGATGAATTCTTTTCAACATTGAGCTTGATAGCTCCAAATGTTATTTTAGGTCGATTCATTCAAGAAATAAAGTGTTTTATATTTAAAAGCCGTAAAGTTCAATTGTTTTGATAAACTTAAAAATGTAAACAAAAGTTAGCAGTTTTAAAAAATCATAAGAAGTTGTTTTTTGACTGTCTGTCTAGTAGATCTCATCGAAGGGTAGATCAAAACAAGGTTTTATAACGTCTCAAAACAAGATTCTACTCTGCCCTGCGTCACATTATCTTTTGATTCGTGATGGAACCAACAATTTATAGTAATTGGGAAGCTAAAAAAAGCGAATTGTGAGTAGTTTAATTAACTTCCTATTTATGTATTCTTACTATTGCTTTTGTCTGAAATTAATTTCTTTCCACAAAATATGAATTTCAGATAAAAATCAAGTTTTCTTGAATTCACGCTGAATTCTAAAAAAAAATTATTTTGAAATAAACAAACTCAATATTCCATTATAGCTTCAAAAACATCAAAGCAGTAATCAAAGATGACGAGAGCATTTTGTTAGGCAAAAAGCCGAAAGGCTTAGATGTTACTAGAGCCATTTACGATTTGGTTTGCAGTGGCATCAAAGGAATTCTCAAGAAAGATGCTTTACAGACAGCGCTCACTGAGCTTATTGTAAGTTTCTTTTACATTTCTTTTATATTTCATTATAATTTCTTTTCTTTTATATTCTTAGTTTATACATAAGGACATCGCTTCGATTATTCTCGATATATTTCATGTCCTCGATACAGAAACTCAATCACAGACGGACTTCACAGTTGAGGAGCGAAGCACGTTTGGTATGATCATCAAGGCCTCAGAAAAACTCTTCTCAGAAAAAATGCTTAAAGAACGTCTTGAGATTGATACTTTACAAGAGTTTGGTATCGTAAATAAAACGTTTTACACAAAGTTCATCAAAATTAAAACGAAACTTTATTATAAACAAAGACGATTCAATTTATTCCGTGAGGAGAATGAAGGATATGCAAAGCTTATGACAGAACTTAACAAGGAATTCGGTGATGACGATAACGAACTGAATACCATAGAAATGGGGAAATCTCTCATCGGTTGCTTCAACTTAGATCCAAATCGAGTGCTCGATGTGATTTTGGAATCATTCGAAAGTCGCTCTGAGCAACATGAGCTCTTCATACCGCTCCTCAAGTCTTACATGCCCGACTCAAACATCATAAGTGAAGTATTGGGCTACAAATACCGAAATTATAGCGACGAACAAACTCCATTCTCGCTCTACAAAGTCACTGCCATTCTCCTTCAACACGACATCATAAAGTTAGACGACATTTACTCCTGGCTAAGTCCTGTTGACGAGAAATTAGCGACCGAATGGGAAATGGAAATCAACGATGCAAAAGAGTTTGTACGTAAGTTGAACATCGTGTCAACAAACAAAGATAAGCAGGATGAAGAGAAAGAACCAGATCACGATGTAATCAGTGAAAAGTACGCAACAAATCAAAAGTTTGGGTTGTGTGAAGCTCTTTTAACCATCGGAGATTGGGAGAATGCTGAGAAAGTGATGAATAAACTGCCAGAAAAATGTGCAACTTCATACGAGCCAATCGCTCGAGCATTGTGTGACTTAATTCATATTATCATCGAACCAGTTTATCGCTTGAAATGTGCGATTCCAGCAAACATTCGAGGAAAGATCGTGTCACCGCATTCCAACAAGAAATCACCGCCACAAGTGACAGCATTCGTGAATCTTAGAAATCATGCTTTTCCAATGTTTCATGCACTTGGACCGTCACTCAATTACGATCCAGTTTTACTTCAGAAACTCCTGAGAATGATGCGAGTAATTTTAGAGAACGAGTTGAATGTTGATGCTGCAAATCCGCCCACGTCTGCTATCATTGATGACATGAAGCTGGCGCTTTATCACGACATCATCAGTCTCCTCGACAGTTGTGTCTTGCCATCGTTATCTTATATGGAATGCAACTGTTGTGTTGCAGAAGAGATTTGGTCTGTAGTGAAACTTTATCCTTACAACATTCGTTATTCACTCTACAGTCGATGGAAGAATGAATCGTATTTGGTTCATCCCAAACTGATTCGAATTCGTGGCAATGCTGAGAAAGAAATAAAAGCTTTGATGAAACGTGTGAGTAAAGAAAATGTTAAACCAGTTGGACGTCGAATTGGAAAATTAACTCACAGCTCACCAGGATTTCTCTTTGATTATGTAAGTTTCATATCTTGCAACTTAATTCGATTAATAATTTATTTTCTTGTGCAGGTTCTCGGGCAAATTCAAATTTATGACAATTTAATTGGACCAGTTGTTGATGCTCTGCGCTTTCTAACTTCGCTTTCCTATGACGTTCTTGGATATTGCGTGATAGAAGCTCTCGTAAGTAGCGGTCGAGATCGGTTTAAATACGGCGGAACTTCACTCTCTGATTGGCTTCAAAGTCTCGCAAACTTTTGTGGTGCAATCTACAAGAAATATACGATCGAGTTAAGTGGATTACTTCAATACATTTGCAATCAGTTAAAGGCACATAAAAGTTTGGATTTATTGATATTGAAGGAGATTGTTCAGAAAATGGTGGGAATAGAAGCAGCTGAAGAGATGACAAGTGAACAGTTGAGCGCAATGTGTGGAGGAGAATTGCTGAAAGGTGAAGCTGGTTATTTCAGTCAAGTCAGAAACACTAAAAAATCATCTCAACGATTAAAAGATGCACTTGCAAGTAATGATTTAGCTGTGGCTTTGTGTCTTCTCATTGCTCAACAAAAGCATTGTGTAATTTATCGTGAAACATCAAAAAGTCATTTAAAGTTAGTGGGAAAGCTTTACGATCAATGTCAAGATACTTTAGTTCAGTTTGGAAATTTCTTGGGTTCAACGTACTCGGTAGAGGAATATGTGGAGCGACTTCCATCGATTCACAGTATGCTGCAGGAATATCACATTCACTCTGATGTTGCTTTCTTTCTTGCTCGTCCAATGCTTGGACATGCAATCAATCAAAAATACGATCAACTGCGTAAAAATGATTCAAGCTCAAAAAAGTTGACATCAGCACAGAAACAAGAGAAATATTTGGAAGCTGTTGAGTTTGTTATGAGTCCTGTGATTGAATCTGTTCGGCCGCTTCATCCGATGAAAGTGTGGGAGGATATCAGCCCACAATTCCTTGTCACATTCTGGTCACTTTCAATGTACGATCTTCAAACGCCACTTGAAAGTTATCTAAGAGAAATAGCAAAAATTAAGCAACAATCAGCACTTCTTGTCCACAGCAATGATAGTAACAACACAATGTCAAAGATTAAGAAGGAACAAGAAAGATTTCAAGCTTTGATTGAGAAATTACAAGAAGAAAAGAAGAAGCAACAAGAACATGTCGAGAAGATCATGGGACGATTAAATGAAGAGAAGGACAATTGGTTTCCATCAAGAGCACAACGTTCAGTTAAGAATGAAACAATTCCTAAATTTCTTCAGCTTTGTTTGTTTCCACGTTGCACATTTACCGCTCTTGATGCGGTTTATTGTGCAAAGTTTGTTCACATTATTCACAATTTGAAGACACCAAATTTTTCCACTTTATTGTGCTATGATCGGGTAAGTTTTGAATAATTTCTCTAATCTGAAATGATCAAATAATCATATTAATTTAGATATTTTGTGATATCACTTGCTGTGTGACGACATGCACTGAGAACGAAGCAACTCGATATGGAAGATTTTTGAATGCTATGTTGGAAACTGTCATGCGTTGGCACGGCGATCAAGCAACATTCAACAAGGAATGTGCAAAATTTCCAGGATTTGTCACCAAATTTCGTGTCAGCAATCAAGTAAGTAAAATTATAATAAAAATATTCGAAAAATTATTAAATAAAATTTATTTAGTGCTCGGACACAAACGACAACGTTGGATATGAAAACTTCCGTCATGTTTGCTACAAATGGCATTTTAAAATTGCAAAATCGATCGTCACTTGTCTCAGCTCAAAAGATTACATTCAGATTCGTAACGCTTTTGTGATTCTCATGCACATTCAGAATCATTTTCCTGTCTTATTACGAACCGAACAAGTTATTCAAAAACGTGTTGAAAAGGTTCGAGATGAAGAGAAAAACAAACGACAAGATTTGCACGTTTTAGCGTCATCGTACTTGGGGATATTAAAACTGAAATGCAATCAATTGATTCCTGAAAGTGAATTCCATCAAGTCAGTGAGAAAGCTTTGCAAGAAGAGAAAACAATGAATGGCGATGCTGGAAAGATTGGTAAGAATAGAATAATTGATGAAATAAAAGGAAAATTTCTGATAACAAATATTTAGATAAGAAACCATTGAAAGATCGTGAACGTAGCGAGAAGAAGCTCATCAAAGTGACAGCGGAACGAGAGATTAAGAAAGAAACTCCAGCACGCGAGTCATCATCGAGAGATCAACGGGAACCAACCCCCCGTGAGAAGTCTGTAAAGGAAATAAAAGTGAAAGAAGAAAAGCGAGAACGTGAGACGAGAGAACGTGATGAACCTGAAAAGATTGCTTTTGCACTCTTTCTGTTCCTTGCTGCAGCACTCTTCGCGGTTTGTAGCCCTCATGCTGCTGACACATTCGAAGGTGACTTAAGTTCGGTGTCCAATTCCAGTAATGGCTCGATGCATCCAACTGCTGACTTAGTGATCGTTGATGATCAAAGAGGTGAGAATAATTTTAATTCATGTAAAAAAGTCAAGTTCCATTTTCCAAATATTTCTTCCATTTCCTGACTCGTTTCATCTTGCCTTCTTTCATACGATTTCAATTATAAATATTAAAGCTAAATTTAATTAATTTCAGAGTCAAAACGGCGTAAAGTTGAAATACCCTCGTCGAAGGTTAGTATTACGATCTAAGGATAAAAGGTGGCCACCTGTGAGGTGGTGATGTGTGATGATGTCATGTCCCAACAATTGTGAAATAGTTTAGTCGTGGATCTGCCGATAACTCTTTTAAATAATCGTCCTTTCGTCCAGAAAACCCGATGGGATGTCCCTGACAACTCTCCAAAGCTGTATCCAAACAGCCTTCAGTAATTTACGACACTTTCACTCATTATCTTCTGGAGGGGTTGAGCTAATAATTAGAAAAATAAACGTAAAGTAGAATGTAAGACTTGAATGATGGTAGCACGACGTAGAATCAAAAACAAACGAAATCATCCATGAGTTATTCTTTTCCATTATCGACCATCAGTGAAGATCATTGAACGTTTCAAAGTTCAAAATTTAAATCAAAGTTCAAATGTATGAGTAACGGAAAAGGTCAGCAACTTAATGAACTAAATGATGGATCTCATTCTTCAGTACGTACAACAATGTGTGTCAAATGAAATAAACCAAAAAGAAAAGAAATGAAACATCAACAGAACAGTAATAAAATTAAAATTAGTGATAAGTTTAAAAACTGTGTGAAGTTCATAACATGCGTGATCATCTCACAATCAAAAGAAGTTTGATTGAAATTAAAAACATTCAAGTGGAAGTTTGTTCAACTTAAGTGAAAATATCGAAGTTCGATACATAAAAAACAAAAAACGACAAAGTCTACAGTAACATGAAAGTTAATTAGCTTTAAAGATGGAACAACTGAATTAAGAAGCTTTTTTTTTGTCATTTCACTTTAATTAACACCAAAGATAAATGTTCGAAGTATTAAAAATATTTTTGATAGATTTTCATTCAAGTTTAGATGTTTAAGTCGAAATAAGAGTTAAATATTTCTTAGTATGTAAATTAGCTCAAAAGAAGCTTTTTGTTGCTGTACAAATTTAGGATCTCAATCAATCTTATTTAATTATTAATTTTTTCTAAAAAACACTCAATCAAGCTCAATCTCTCGGGTTTAACAATAATGTTAGGATGTGATATAAAGCAGTTCAAACTTGATTAAGAATAGTGTAAAGAGAAAACAAATGGCTTTTTATCTCTTCCTTTAAGTTATCTAAAATATGACGAGATGAATGATAGCTTTACATAAAAACAAAAAGAAAAACGAACAAAAACCTTTTCATAGAGTGTTGCTGATCATCGACACTAAAAATCATCAACATGGAGGCCTCCAACCATGGCTTTATCCATCAGAAAGTGAAACTAATGGAAATATAAAATCTTTGCAGAAGCGTAACGACAATGACGACGTTGTGGAAGTCAAGAAAGAAAGAACATCGAAGAAGGAAAAGCGAGAAAAACAAACTGAAGAGGAAAAAGAACTGCGAAAGGAAAAGAAATTAATTAAGAAGCGAGTAAGTTATCAATGAGAAAGATTTAATTAGAGACGAAATTGTCTAACATATTTCAACATGGAATTTAACGATTGAATAACAGGATCGAGAAGAGCCGGCAGTAGTTGAAAAGCGACGAAAAGATGAGGACAAAACAATTAAAGTTCCACATCATAATGGCGAGGAAGACGAGAGAACGCGACGTCATGTACGAATGAATGATGTAAGAAATTTTCATGGTGAAGAAACTGATGAATCAACTTTTGTAATTAACATTTTAATTTCTTAGGATGTTTACATTCGTGATGAACGACATGATCGTGACAAAGGACACTACCAGAAGACTCGAACAGGGCGCAGCAATCCTTACTGAAATTTGAGCTCAATCAATTAACAAAATTAATTTTTTCCATTCTCGTCTTTTTATGAATTTTCATTTCTTTTTTATTATTTTCCATGATTGAGAAAAATTCTTCTGATTTTTTTTCTCATTTCAATTCAAATCAATTTTTTGAATAAACCTCACTTAAGACTCGTATTTGTAATGAAAAATCTTTTAAAATGTAAACTTTTGAAAATGTTTATTAAATATTTACGTCAAAGCTTAGGTTATGAAAATTTAAATAAAAGTATCAAGAAAAAGATTTTTAAATGAAAGAATGTTTAATTAAATGATGGTTGGAATGGGTTCGATGTTAGGAGAATTAAACAGTTGAAAAAATTTGATTTATTACCAAATTTCTATCTGATTCTGTGATCCACTGATTGTGTCATTATGAAGAATTTTCTTCTATTTTTTATCAGTTTTCAGGCCGAATGAGATAATAATTATGAAGCTTGATGAATCATTTCATAACTGAGAGTAAAACATCACACAACTCCACTGTTATCAATGAATTTGTATCACATTCTCTTCACATAAATGTTTGTTTAAGATTTCTTACGCGAGTATTCAACGCAGATGCGTAGTTGAAATTATCATTTCGTTATAGAAAGTTGATAAGTATTAATTTCAAGTTTAACTCTGACATTCAAAAGAACTTCTCATGTGCAATCGTCTCGGCTACTTTTAAGGCTTCTCTCGATTCTCTTTTTCATTTCCTATTTCAGTTGTTTTCAGTCTTCGTAGAAGATTAAATCGATCCTTTGTCTACTTACTTTAATGTATCTCATTTATTTTATGTTGAGGTTGAATACAAAAATCAATAAAATATTTTTAAGAAGCACATGGCTGATCCCACGATTCAAAGCTTTTGGTGAGAAATATTTAAAAGACAAATGAAGAAAAAGTTTTATTAAAATTTTATCACTTTAGCTGCCATCATCGAAATCATTCCGACTTTGCATTCCGTCTCATGAATGAGTTTCATCGTGAGCCTTATTTGATAATTTCAATGATTTCGTCTAGTATCGGCATGCTTGGATCAATTTACCAGATTTTTATAAGAAAAGAAGAAATTGTTGAAAGTCCACGACGATCCATGGGTAGGAAGATCATCGTTGCACTCGCATATTCGGATCTTCTTGCATCACTTGGAATTTTCATAAGATCAGCTTTGTGGTGTTTTATGAAAGAAATTATGCCACTTGATGATGACTCAGTCAGTGTAATCTTTTGTTCCGTGACTTCAGCTATGATTCAAGTTTTTTACACTGCAACATGGTTGTGGACGCTGATTTATGCTTACAACATGAAACGTTCTTTGACAAATCAATCAATGAGAGAGAAAAATTTTCATGTTTTTGTTTGGTCAATTTCTATTCTATTCACTGCCATTGGAACTTCGAGTTTGTATTTTCCTGATGCTGAGTGAGTCTTAAATTTATTAATTAATTTAAGATTATTAAGATTGACTGTTCTTTTCAGCTGCCATGATATTCACGATTTGGGAACTGCATTACTTCGAGTTATGCCTAACTACTTACTAAATTACGGAACCATTCTAGTGGTTATGATTGTAAATCCGATACTCTATATAAAGTGTAGTAAAGAAGTTGACCGACAACTTATTCAACGTTATGGTGAATACACAAACAATGAAAGACAAATTCACGATATGTTTAAGATAAAATTTTCATTGATTAACCTAATTTTCTATATTTGCTGGTTGCCTAACATTGTCAATGCTATTCTCATGTGGACAATGTGGTTTCATTTACCAGCTAAAGTAATTGTGATCACTTGGTACATTATGGCAGTCTTAAATCCACTCCAAGCATTTTTTAATGTTCTCGTTTACCGAAAGTGGAATAACAAAATTCAATTCTTTTGTTCCTTCAAAGAATATCTCATTAGGAAGTTTAGGAATGAAAACATTGTAGATGCCCATTCATCATCGCAAGATGAAATATCTCCTTTACTGCACAATAATCCAATTTCTTCTACTTACACATTTTCAAGAAACAATTCGCAACGAAATGCTGATGATAATTTTCGGCGATTCTCAATACAATGCCCCTGTGTATGAAAAGCTCAAACATATCTCAGTTTTAATTAATATGTAACTTAAAAAAATTAAATAAGAAAATAAAAAGAAGTAGTCATCAATCGATGAAGACATTAGTTAAAAAATTAAACATTTTCATTTTACAGTCACTTGTTAAAGTAACATTCTCACCAATAGATGGCGCAAGTAGTCGGATTTTTTAAAATTCTTCACATGAATAAAATGTCAAAATGACATTGCAATGATGAATCAATAAATTATTTAAATAAACAATTTTTATAGAGTAGAATTTGATCAAAAATTTAAAAACATCCTTCAGGAATAATTACTACAAATAAGCTATGAGACATTAGAGAAATACAAACCATGCTATTAAACAATCCATCTCAATGTATCATGAGTTAATGCCTTCCAATATTTCGCCCTCTTTAACCTATCGACATACACAATGAAATAGTGCGGCCGTCCTTTCATGTCTTACCGTCTTTCTTCTCCTTTTATTAATTGTTGATGGTTATTATTTCGTTATCTTGTATACTATATCTAGCAGCGGCGGCTGTGTTATGATATCAATAAGAGTAAACTTAAAATTATAATGTCATGTCAAAAACGAAGAAACAAAAAAAAATATTCCCATTGTAAGGCTTTGCCACAAATTGTTTTCGTTTTTGTATTCTTTGTAAAACCTACCAGCCATCAGAAAAAACTCCAGTAAAACAACGCCAACATATTGAATCATTAGTCAGCAACATTTCAACTTCGCCTGAATGTGCCGTTGTTGTGTTATTTTTCTTTTGATTTTATTTGCGCTTTTGTAGCCATAAATTTTAACGTTTCTTAAATGGAAGAAAGAAAAAAACAGTCAAGCATTGAAGGCGCACAGACATGACTTCGTGAAATTTAGTTGCGGCTCAGTTTTAAGTGAAAAACATTGTTTGATCGCTTCTCAAGACGTTGTCGACTCAACCTCCCCCCGAGTCCATGTTTAAAATTCATCGGAAAAGGCTTTAAGCTAGATGTAAAATAAATAACACCTCTCCATCATTATAATGCTCTATTGAGTTGTTTGGATTAGTTTGATGATGGTTATATGATATTATATACGATGATGATGAATACATTAAATGCCTGTTTTCTTTCCACTAAATAAACTCTAATTTTTTTCTTTTCTTTCTCGTGATGTTTGCCGAGGCACTTCCATTGTTCGAGTGCCGAAACGGATAATCGAGAGAGAAAGAGATGACGATGATTAGAAACTTTTATTTGTTATTATACATTTTTAATAAACTCGATGGTATAAATTACAAACATGATAACATACAAAGATGGGATTACTTATTGAATTTTAGTCGAGCGTTTGTTTGATGTGCGTTGTCTTATGTGTCTCGAGCTATGATGGCTTTGATGTTTAATGAAAGACTTTTTAAATGCATTTCTTTCGACAAGCAACAGGAAGGTAGAGATTAAAAATTAAATATTTTACTTTATGTTTCGTGACTATTTTATACAAAAATGTTTATGCTTCTTTACACTTCTTCATTGTCAAAGGTAATGCATTTAGATTGTTTGATTTTGGGCACATTTTTGTGGTTCAACCACAAGTCCACAATTATTAGTTTAAATTCCGGTAGTCGAGTGTCAATATTGAGATGTTTAATTTCATTTACAGCTGCACTAACGCTTCAAGTATCTTACACTCTTGTGGGTTTAAGCATCGTTTAAAATATTTTGCACGCATTTTTATCGAACCATTAAGTGATCATGTAAAGTCATAATAAAAATTAATTCATTTTTTGATTAAGATAATTGTTGATAAGCACATTTATGTTGTCACAACAAAGCACAATTTAAATAAATAATTTTGAGGGTTGATTTGTCGTTTCGTACGTAACAAATGTACATAAATAAATATAAAAAACAACTTCAAGTTATTGTGTCGAGTTCATTAACAACTCTTGAATGTTTCCACATCGATTACACAAATCACCTTCCGCGTCATTGGCTACACCAGTGTTCCAGTAATTCAGTTGCAATTAGGGCGTCCCAATGAGTGATGTACAGCATTAATATAATCGTTCATTTCCCATTATTTCGAATCAAAACTCACAGAATCACAATTCCATTCATATTTCTGACGATCTTTTCCCTTCACAGCCAACTCACATTCATCCCTATCGGTACTGAAAAATGTTTCAATTGAACCATCGTCGTTACTTCCTATTGCTTTGACTTCGATGTTAAAAATGAAAAAAAAAGTCTGATTTGTTGATATTTGAATAAACACATTAATTTGTATGTACTTAGATACTCATGTTGCTATTGTAGAACGTCCACCGTTCGTTCATCGCAGCAGGGAGCGGGTGAAAGAATGCGACAGTGTAAACTAAAAATTAAGTCAATGATATTTCGACTAAATTTTCTAATTCAACATTTTCTTAAACTGTTAAAAAACAAGATTCAAAAACAGAATTGTTCGAATAAATCTTAAGAAGTGTTTGTTTAAACGAGATCAATTCATCTGAAAAAGATATAATCGAGTGGTTTACTGAAACATTATAAAGCATTAAAATTGTGTTGAAATTCTACCAGAAGAGTAATTCGAGACCTCCCATAGTTCTTCCCCGACAACAATAACAGTTTTAAATGTTTTTTGTAACCAATCTATTGTGAAAATGTTGTCAATAGTCTGTTCTCGCTTTAAAGCTTCTTGTTCGCTAATCATAATAGGATTTTGCTTTAAAATAAATTAATTCATAAATGGCCATGTCAAATAAAATGAATAAAGCAGACAGGGAGAAGTAAAGAAAAAGTTCAAATTACGAGTTCAGTTGAATTAGCAACAAGCATAGTGTGAGTTGTTGGTTTAACTTTTCTATGGTTAAAAGGCAAATTGGTTTATACGTTAAATTTTATTCATCCAACAATGGAACTTTGTACATTGTTTACGACAAATTTGAGATGCATTCTCAATTCTCCATTGAAAAGAATTTTGAAAGAAAGTTTTGTCACACAATAAAAACATTTCCATTCAAATACCTTCCAGATAAATTTCAGATCTGAAGTGAAGCTTATCAATTCCTTTGATCTTGTCATTAAAAACTATGAGAAGATATTTAAGTAAACATTTTAATTTATTTTTCTATGACTTCTAAATATTAAATATTTTTGATAATGTTAAAGCATGAAACCATTGACAAATAAATGAAATTTTGATTAAAATATAATAGGGAATTACGGCAACAAGCCATCATATAAAACTTTTAAATCTTCTTGTAGGGATTTCCATCAAACGAACACAAAACAGGGAATTTTTTGTGTCTGTAATGATTAACCATATTATTAGGCATTAAATACGACAATTGGCGTAATTTTCCGCTACTGGCAACGAAATTTTTTCAATTTTCCCTAAGATATTAACAGAACATATGCAAGCCTGCAAGGGCTGGTACATGGAAGAAGAATCCCATGAGACGAATGATACTCGGATTACAACTTGGTGGTATTCTATATTATCAGAATGAAAACCTTTTTTTTTCTTAATCGCATTTGGGTAGAGTTAAGCGATGATGTTGAAAAGAATTTTCTGTTCGTCGCTGTTGTTGTTGGTAATTCTATGATTTTCCTGTTCTTGAAAATCCTTTTCATAAGTAAACTTAACACAGAGAATGATGTTGCTTGCTTCCGTTTAAAGATGAAAAAAAGAAAGAAAAGTGGGAGAGATAATAAAACGATTATGTTGTGTTCGTGATGAAAAATGTAATCAAGAAAGGTTCAATATTCCTGTGATCCGATTTATTTTTCATATTTTCATGGAAATCTTTAAATATCTGTACAAAATTAATTAAATATTATTTGGAGTCAGTGACGAGAAGGTTTAAGATAAATATTTATGTGAAAATCGGGAAATAATTTCTAAGGAAATTCACCACAAATGTTAATCATTCATTACATTGAAAGAGATGAAACCTTTCAAAGAATAAAATAAACAAACACAAAAAAATATTTCAGACTTAAAAAATCGATTTGTCTTTTAAGTATTGCACTCGAGAGATCATCCCATTAATTATTTTTCCTGTAAACTTGAGCTTTATAGTCATTGTAGTTTATTGAGTCTTTCGACCTGTCATCAAATCTTTTTTCTAGTGTTAAAAATCACTTGAGAATGATTTTAAAGAAAGGCAAATCTAAACATTGTCGAGTGAAGAGCGGATAAGTAGATGAGGTTTCTTGGGAAAGCCAAAGTATGTATCTTTGAACTTTTTCACACCAAATTACTGCGCCAATAGCAAATTAAATGTTTTGCCAACAACTCCTTGAAACATTAATGTTTAAAACACTTCCAGAGAAGCATGACGAGACAATTTCCTTCTATTCATGTTCCAGATAAATAAACCTTTTCAAACAATGATCGTAAATTTCAAATTAGAAATAAATTCCAAATTCATCTTAAAGCACAACCAACACTTGAAAGTCGATGAAATAAAATTCTGTCAAAGTGATCGCATTTGAAAACGTAGAATACAAATAGAAAATCAATATTTCAAGTGGCACTTCTGAACAAATATTTAGAAACGATCATTTCGATTCGACGAGAAACCGAACATCAAATTGTTTGCTTTGGTGTCGATATTTCTTATTTCACTTGAGACTCAAAGTTATTTCTCTAACTAATGTTGACTTTAGTATCGAGATTGAGACTCGAGTACTCTCTTTTCGATGCATTTTTAGATATCTAAAGATAAGTTTCGCCTTTCTTTCTTTTCTTTTCCTGAAACATTTATTTAGAAGATGAAAAGCGATGCGCTTGAAGCACATGTAAGCAAGTTTTTTGAACAATCAAGGATTCTAGTTTTCTTTTATTCAAGTTTGACATCATTACACAAACATTTCTCTTACTCTTCATCATTGACACTTAATAAATTTCTATAAGTAAACGTTAAGTCCACAGTTAAAATTCAAAGTTTATTTTCTTTCTTGTTGACGAATCAATACTTATGAGATTTATTTAATACACTTTCACATTATGCCAGCTTTGGAAAGTCTTTCAATTATTCCACATCTCGCTTTCCCGACTCGATGAGTTGTTCATTGTTTTCAGGGAATTTTCCAGCCGCTTCATCGACATGGCTACTGTTGAAACTTAAGCTATTGAACAGTCTTTTATTCACCACATGATGTTGTGCCATGTACTGACCATAACATCTTCCAATAATCCGTGGATCCATGCCATTAATTCCAAGAGGTAAATGTTGCACTATGCTGTTCCACGACGGCCGATGATTCGCATAAAAACCGTCTTCATTGTGTGATTTTATTTCTGAATTTATCCGTCGGTGATTCGCATTCTCACTTAAAACATCATCATTAGCAACAACATCAATGTCTTCATCTTCTGCTTCTTGTGTTGTTGTCATATTTATTCGTTTACTGGGATTTAACTGGGACTCGATTCTTGAATGTTCATCATTATCTGGAGCCAATAGTGAAGCCACGTCAAATTGTCGCTTTCTTGATGAGTTTGTGTATAACGTCGCAGCATTTAAAGGTATGCTAGGATTCCAATGTGGTTCACCAGGAAATCTGAAACTGAAGGCGGGTGGAAAACCCAAGCCCGGCGGTGGTGTCAAAGTCAAAGGTGGCGGACTTGGTGAATCTGTTCCATCTTCATCTACAGCTAATCCCATATGTTTTCTCACTTTCCTTTGTGCTTTTCTACGCCGAAAGTCGCCTTTTTTGAAGTCATCAATATTTGCTGGATGAATAGCCCAATAATGGCCTTTTCCATTAGCCGATCGGCCCGATTTGATAAAACAATCGTTGAGAGATAAGTTGTGTCGGATCGAGTTACGCCAGCCGGGTCCACGACTACGAAAGTAAGGATAATTGTCTAATATGTGCTGATAAATATCAGAAAGGACAAGTTTTTGATCGGGAGCACTAAGAATGGCCATAGCAATGAGACCAATGTAACTATGTTGTGGTTTGGGTTCTTCAGGTTGAAACACTCGATTATGGAATAAAGACATAGATAAGGCAAGACGAGATCCATAAGCTGCAACAGGCTGATAAAGATGTTGTAAAGTTGATGTGTTTTGATTTCTTAATCGTTCAACCATTGCATAATTGTAGAACTGAAGTCTGTACTGATCCATTGGTGAGATACCGTTGGAACTATTCACTGGGATTGGGAAAAAAGGTTCCGTGGGACGTTCGTAACCACTTGCTTGGTGTTGATTTATGTCAGGCACTAAAGATGCTTCGGTCGGTTGATGTGTCGTCGTTCCAACATCACCAGGCGATATCGACGACACCGATGATGATGACGAATGAATTGGCGATGGCGAATGAATTTTATTATTTTTATGATTCTGATTTAAATCCAAAAGATTTGCTGAATTTTCTTGACCATACAAATAATTCGAATCACTTTCTTTGGTCTCACACATTTGAATTTTATTGCTGCACATTTTCACTAATTTCATATCCACGAAATTTTTCTTTTAATTATTTTTTTCCTTTTCTATTAATTTTTAAATTTTTTTTTGAGTTAAATATTTTTCATGATTTTCACAAGATTTCGTTAATTTTCCTTCTAGTTTTTGTTTTCATACAACAAAACCACGACTGCATCGGTTAGACAACAAACATTAACAACTTCAAAAATCAAACTGCTACTTCCAACTGTCGCAGTGTATAAAAGCTTCGCTGACTGGCTTGTGGCTATAGGGGGAGGGTGCAGTTGTTGGGACAGTCGATGAGAAATAAACACACAACTCAAAGTGTTGCCTCTTAAATCATAGTCGAACGAAATTCATTTGCGTTGTTGTTTGATTCCATTCATCATCGCTCCTACCCTACTATTGTTTGGTCTCTTTAGGTGTATGTAAACACAAACCACGAGAAGAAAAAAAATGAAATGAGAGAATGTTTTCAAACATAACAAACAAGAAAATCATCTACAGTCACCATGTATACAGCCAAGCATAAATTACACACTACGAGAAACGACAACGATTGGATTGTTTGGATTTTTGTTATCTCGTATTATTGTTGCTGTTTTTGCTTTTTTTCTTCTTCTTGTATTCTCTGCTTCGTGATCAACACACAAACAAAAGAAAACAACGAATAACAGTGAAGACGACATGAAGAAGAAAACTTTGAGTGCTGTTCGTGCTTTTTTCTTATTGAAGATGGGCTAAAATGTTTATGTTGATTAATAAAATTCTTTGATTAACTTCTCAATTTTCTTAATAAGAGTTAGAAAAGATTTTTCTTAAAAGCACAAAAAGTCACATTTTCAACTTTCCTACGATAGCAAAAATATTCTTTATTATTATTTTTGTTTTTGTTTTCTATTCACTGATAAATCAGGAAACTCAACATTAACACATTCTTTCTCTCTACAAACAAAAAGAAAGCATCTGAAAGTAGTAGCAATCTTTGCAATGGAATTTCTTTAACAGCACATTTGAATGTGTTGGAGGATGATTTATGATGCTGGTACATAGTCGAGAAGAAGAAAAGCAAGAACAACATAAGGGACAAATATTTTTCAGATTCGAAGAGTGTTTGACAACATAACCATTACCAGATATTATTTGTATTTATGTTTATGCTACCTCATGATTGCTTCAAAATAATGTAGGTGGGTGGAGACAAGGTTTTGATATTTAGAAGTTTATTTTTCCAAAGACGGCGAGCATTTCGAATGTTTCATTGCTTCTCAAGTAATGCACGTCACTGGGAGTACCACAAGCAAAATATGTATGCGTAGCATTGATTGCATAAATACAAATAAAAAATGATATTTCATGAAATTTAAACATGTTTATTTACAACGCAAACAATGTTTATCAGGATGTTTCTGTATGCAATTTATAAAATATTTTCAGAAATGACTTTGATAATGAAAGTCCATCATTTAGATAATTTTGCTGTCAAAACATTTTATTTGTTTTTTTAATATTTATGATGTTTGATTAGCAAAAAGTTTCAATTTTATTTAATTGGTGGCAAATATTTGTCTTCAACACATCCTGTACTTGTTTTGACATGACACAAAATAGCTTCGGTAATATTTATGAAGGCGTGGCATGTTCAACTTCATATTCTTCACGCAACGAGGCGGAGCTTCGTCATCGACAAAAAAATGGTTTTCGCTTGAAACGTTATGCTTTCGTTGCTTATATAGATCGTTTCTCAATTCAAACAAAACACAATTTCCCCAATTGCCCGACGCTGAATGAGAGAAATAATTTCACAATAGAATGGAAACGATAAAATATCGAAGCGATGAACGAGACAACGTAATGTGTAAATTAAGTAAGTGGCAATAAAGTGAAGCACAATTGAAATAAAAGAAAGAAAGAAAACGATAAAATGTCTTTATTCTTCACAACAAAAGCGTTTCAAAAAGAATTCATGATCATATTACTTGAGTTGAAGTTTCTAAACCTCTGAACATTTCTCTGTTAATTCCACGTATTTCTCGTTTTAAATGCTTTTATGAAAAACTTCCAAAGATCTTAATTTGAGTTTAAACTTTTTCTGACTTTCATTGATACACAACCGACGGTTTAAGAAATGAAGTAAATTTAAAGTTCTTATTAATTAGAAATTTTCTTTTGTAAACCATGTGGAAGAATCTTTTCATCGGCTTTAAAATGTTTCTATTTTAAGCAACAAAATCGATCGATTTTAACATTTAAATTCACAACATGAAAGAAAACAGGCGTGAAATGTTTTCATTTCACCAAACTTCAGTAAAATATTCCCTCAGGATTTTGTTATTCAATTTCCAAACAGAAATTTTCATATTTTACTCGAACATTTCTGTCTAAAGTCTTGTCGTTTAGCATTAAAATGATTTTCCTCCTACGCTTAGAAACAAAAAGTTTTTTATGCTAAATTTGTCTATCAATTTGAAATATTTTACTTTATTCTCTAAACACCAAGATGAAAGATAAACTTTGTTTGATTTGAGAGTCAATTCTTCTTGTGTCTTGGGAATCGAGCTTAGATTCTATCAGCTCAAACAGTAATCGAATTAATTATGTCATTTAATATCACATCGACAACATTTTCCCTCATGCACAGACAAATTTATGTTTCGTCGAAGAGAGCAAAACTCTCGAGGGTTTGATTTTCAACACACAAGCATCAAACATTCACAAACTGTTATCAAACACCAACACTGAGTTTGAGGGTGGCAAAAATTGCTCGAGAAAGAAAAAAAGAGTAACAGAAGCTACGTTAATGGACGATGAAATTTAATTACGATCAAAAAACATTTATCAGCCAATTTGCTAACACGATGTAATAAGTATATTGCTCGGAGATGATTTAATATTGCAGAAGAAATTGAGGATCAAAGAGAAAGTTTATGATATTCGATATGAAGTCGCCAGTCACTTCAATTTATTATTATTATAAACACATAAATGAGACATGAGAAGAAAATTTATTAAATATAGTTTTTCACTACTTTTTTGATTTTCTTTCGTAGTAAGTTAGAACAAAAGAATAAACTTGTTTAGTCTTCTATTTATGTGTCACAGCGCGGAAAAATAATTGCCAGCGAATATAAAAATTTCAAAGCGAACTATGAGAATTTCGAGATGTAACATTAATTGTTTCCGGGTGTGTCGTTGATGCAGAGAATCGCTTCGTTATTGATTTTTATCTGACATTTTTCACGGAAGGTTCATCGTCGTCATCATGATTGTTGTGCACACACAATTTACGGTTTCAATTCATTTCACAAAACTCAGGCATGTGAAAGGATGAAACGCGTTCGTTCAATTGTTGTTGAATCCGAAGAAAATACAATGGTCCGGAAAATTTGTGCAATATGTGATCGATAGCCATTAATTTGGGTATTTTACTGACTCAAGGACATTATATTGATATGAAGTTTGTGCCTTGAAATCTAATGAGGATTCGGATCATTGAGAAAGTTTTGTTAAATTTGTCATGAAGATTTGCTTTGCCTCGATTTAAAATAATGAATGAATGCAAGCAACAAAGTAATTTCGGAAGCAAGCGATTAAAGTGTGAATCTGAAATAATGAATGTTCAATGCTATTTAAAATGATTTTTTCAGAATGTACAAGTTAAATCTTAAGTTAACTCTTTTATAACCAAAACAAAAACAGTTTTCAAACAAACAATGGAATAAAGATCTTTTAAAGCTGCAAGGTGAAGAATCTGACAAAATGTATGGTCATTTAATTTGCACAAAAAAGAAAAGAAACATCCAAGAGCTTAACATATATTTTGGTTAAATGCTTTAGATGTAATCTCGTAAAAAAATAAATAAAAGATTACCAGAGAATTCTTCGTTTGCATCTAATCTGAGAATCCTTTCCTGTTGTGGGAACATAGAAAGAACAATCTTTATGAAGGAATACATAAGTAATCTTACATTCGTAGATCTTTTTGTAAAGTTAAGAAGAAAGGAAATTTTTTAAAGTGTTAAAAAGGATGTCGAGATTTTCTTGCTTTTGAATGCATGACATTTATTTATTAGAATGATAGATACTTTCCAACACTTTTGAATTTGTATGTTTCTTATCTATTTTAATTAAGTTTTGTGTTGATAATTTTCACCTCATGACTAAAATAATTTCAATTTATGACTTTCATGTCAATTTACTTTTTAAAAGCTATTCACATTGAAGTTAGAGAAGTTGTACAGTAGCGCCATCTTTTGGCGAGTATTCTCATTAACATATTTCAATGCTTAAAAGAAAATCACCATCAAGTTATCATTTTAAAATTTCTTTTCTTAGTTTTGATATATATTTTTTATACTTTAATATGAGTGGTGACAAAATTCAATTACTAAGAAGTGACGAAGATGATATAATGACTTCAAAAGAGCGTGTTTATAGTGTTAATCGAATCACACCAGATCCTTACATTCATTGTTGGAGAAAACAACCGAAAATTCATGAGAAAGAAATGTTGATGAAATTAATTTATGACCAAATGAAATATCAAGACTCTTTTGACATTTGTATTGAAATAGGAAATGCTATATTCAGCGCAATTTTGCTCATCCTAAAATCCTACTCAAATTTTTTTGCAAACAGAGAATTTGCAGACGGAGCATGTATTAAACTTTCAGAATCACGAATAACACGAGATACTTTCACGGATATTTACAAATGGATTCTTTCAAAACGAAAGCAAATTGATCGTGAAGATATAATTCCATTACTGTTGGGTGCACAATATCTTGAGGTGGAGCTTTTGGAACAACAAATATGGAATTTGATACAAGATTGTGAGAAGTTTCAAGAAGACGAAGCTTTTCTTTTATATCAAGAAGCAAAATTATGGAAATGCACAAAGGTACAAAACATGATGATTCAAAGGGTTCAACGCTTCTTTATGACTGTTGTGTGTTCCGAAGAATTTCTTATAATGGAACCAAACGAAGTGATGAATTGGCTTAGACTTGACAGTATTGGCATAAACATGGAAGTAGAAGTTTTTTATGCAGCTGCACGTTGGATGCTTTTCAATTGGAATGACCGAAAAGTGTATCTTATGGATTTAGTGAAACTTGTGAGATTTGGAATCATCGATCCATGGAGAATTGTCGAGTTTCGTATGAATAAAAAAATGGGGAAACTTGAAGTTATTCTGAATAACTCTGATTTTCAAGATACTTTAGAATCGAGTTTATCATATTCAACTTATAGAAATTGTTTCAATGATGATTCTCATGATCAGTTCAATGATTTCCTTAAACGATTCAACTTTAAAAAAATTTATCCCAGAGACCAAATGATTGATCCTATGTGGCAAGAATACTACAAACAAACTCCGTACACTTTCCAACATTTTGAAGATTATCTTAAAATGGTAAGCGAAAATGGATTGATGGGATGGAAAAATAATATTATCATAGCAAAATAATAAATTCAAAAATACACTCCACAAATCTTGTATTTTAATTTTATTTTTAAGACTTTAGAAAGACGTTTTCACAGTCTCGTTTATACAAAGTATCAAATACAGCAAGAACAGTGAAAATAAATAAATTGCAACAAATTTCAGATAATAAAAATTAGAAATTGATAAGAACAAACGAAACATTATGTCCCAGCATTTTATTAGAAATTAACGGTCATTAGAAATTTAAAACATATCTACGTAGATCATTTTCTATCGATGTGACATTACTTTCATTCGCGTCAAACCAGATCTACTAAGAATTGAAAACTAAAATAACATAAATCAGTAAAATAAATCAGTTTCAGTATCCTTCTAGCTTAAAAACTATAATTAATCAAAAGAACAGCACAAAATAATCTAAAATGAGTTTAGATAATATCGATAAACTGTATAAAAACTACGAAATCTTGTCAGCAGCCACGGATAAAACAAAAGTACGTAAAATTCATAATTTTTTTAAAAATTTCAAGCAGAAATGATCTTAAAAATATCAGTTTTGTTACAACTAACAAAATACTTAATGGCAGCATATCATTAAACACTCATAAACGATTATATTTTCGTATTGTTTCTTTTAAAATTTAACCTCAAATACTAAATTTTATTTGTTTCCTCATTTAATTCCAGCATCAACAAGAATATCAAGAAATCTTAGATGCAGTGCATGGATCAGATAAAGAAAAAAAGCTTGCTGCTACATTCATCTCAAAATTCTTCAAATGTTTCCCTGATCTTATGGAAACGGCATTAGATCGACAACTGGATCTTTGTGAGGATGAAGACGTTCAAGTAATTTTTAAATAATTTTGTTTAAATGATTTTCTATTAATTATTCTTTAATTCATTCAGATACGTCGTGTTGCTATAAAAGAGTTGCCCACTTTCTGCAAAGATACCAAGGAAAATACGCCAAAAATCAGTGACATTTTAGCTCAACTTCTCAACGCTTCAGAGCCAACAGAAGTTCAACAAGTCAATCTTTCGCTGCAAACTCTTTCAAAGTTTGATCCATTGGGAACTGCTGCTGGACTTTTCAGCCAAATAGCACAGGGCGAAGAACAAACTCGCTTAAAATGTTTGCAATACGTCAATAATAAATTTGTCAAAAATGGCTCCGAAGTTTTCACCAAAGAAGTTGAAGAATTAATTATCAAGGAGATTAAAAAATTGTTGCAGGTAAGAATTTGATATAAATTTAAGTTCTTTCTTAATTATTTAAATAATCTTTTTCTTAGGATGTCTCAGCCGATGAATTCCAGCAATGTATGCAAATCTTAAATCACACAAAGTTGGGGAAAACTATCACCGGTCATCAGGAGTTAGTCAAGTTATGCATTGAACAAGCTGATTTGGGAGCTGAACTCGAAGGTGACACTGCATCAGATGATGACGTCGTCTTTTGCTTCTTACAATGTGCTGGCGAAGCTTTGACATATTTTTCATCACAAATTGAATCGACACCTTTCGTGAAATTTACTTGTGAGAAATTCTTCCCATTGACAACATGGCATTTGATTGGAGCTGCTGATGATCAGCCTCAAACACAATTACGTCTTTTGAAAGTATTCGCTGAGTTGTGTGTACATTGTGGGGCTCTTGAGAAGCCGAAAGATAAAATTGAAGCAATCTTCAACATTTTACTTGAGTTCTTGCCAGCACCGCCCGCCGATATCGATCTCACTACAGATGGACCATCAATTTTATTCTCACATGTTGAATGTTTGTTGTTTGCTATTCATTCATTAGGCAAACAATGTCCGGAATACTTGACATTCCCAGATGATTCCAACAAGTTGAAAGATTTTCGAGCTCGTCTACAATATTTAGCACGAGGAACGCAAGGGTAAGAAAGTGAAATAAAATTAATTAATGAGTTTCCAATTTACATTAAAATTCTTTTATTTAGCTACGTAAAGAAACTTCAAGAAGACATCAAAGGAAAAAACGCATCCGATCCAAAGACCGAAGAGGAGAAATTAAAGATTATTGGCTTGAAAACAACTTCAAACATCCAAACACTTATTCGAGATTTGTTCCATTCACCACCGTCATTTAAATCAGTTGTTCGTCTCAGCTGGGTGCAACCAAAGCCCAGAAACACCATAAAAGTCGCAGAAGCCGAGAAAACTGAAGAAAAGCCAACAACAACTGCAACGAAACGTCACGCACCAATCACGTTTTCAAATGGAAAGTCTGAAGATTCAAATGGTGCAAAGCAAGCAAAATCATCAAATGGTCAACAAATGTATTCACCACCGGGTGGGAAGTTTTCTTCAAAGTTTAATTCGGGACGTACAGGGGGGAATTTCGGTAACAGATCGCGTAATGGAGGTGGAAATAATAGATTCAGATCAGGAGGCGGTGGCGGCGGCGGTGGAAATCGCAACAAAAATTTCCGTCGTTACTAAGCGAACGAAAATGCTTTCATGAATGAAGTTAAGGAGTTGCTCGAGACGAGGGAAGTGTTCTTGATTCAACAATGATTTTGTTTTTCAAATGGGGTTGGGGGTTTCTTTGTTGCTTTTCCCATTTTTTTAAAATTATACTTTGATTATGGAAGTGATTTTTTTACCACTTTACTGCTTATTAGTCATTCTAAATCCATCATCTAAATCTTCACTGAATTGGGACTTTCTCCCCTTGCAATTTAAATTTTCTTTTCTAGGAAAACCCAACCGAATGAAGGAAGCTGAAGGACAAGCAACATAGAAGAAAAATTTTCTTCAAACTTATTTTTATAAGTTTAATTAACGTTTTATATTTCAGTTGATCCTATCCAGACGAGATTAACATCAACAAAAGTAATAAAATTAAAAATTGAAAGACATCTTTTTAATTTACAGGAAACTTTTTTAACTCAAACTTCGATTTTCTTTTTTAATTTCTAGGATATAAAAAAAATTAAATAATTAATTTTTTCGTTACGTATAATTATCAGAAAATCTTCTTTTTTACAATTCAAGTTCATCAAAGATAAATAATATATTTCAATAGAAAATGTTTTCTTATAAAAACATTAAAATCATAATTCGAGTATCGTGTGAAAGAGAAAAATGAAGAATAAAGTAAAGAATTGAAAATTTTCCGTAAAGGAAAAACAAAAAATACGTTTTTATTTAAGAACCTTTTTTATTGAGTTTACAGAGATTATTTTAAACAGATAAAGTTGACAAGCATCCTGGTTATGATAAAGAATTTCTATTTGAACCATAAAAAGGTTGACGAAAGGATGATTTGACTTTATCGACTTTCTGTTGAGTCAAGTCACTTGAATAAATCAAGTCAATTTTTTGACTTGAATGCATATTAGAGTTGTCGAAAAAGTGTTCGAAAAAGTGTTCGAACGATCATTTTTCAATTGATTGTGAAACCAACCAGACGTGTAAGTATTAAAAAAATTAAAAATCGTAGAACTTTTTGAATAAATTTATTTAAAATGTTTCAATCGTTTTCTTAATCTAAAACTTTGATACATTTTAATGTTCTTATTCACAATTTGATGAATTTGAAAAAAAGTTTCGTCTTAAAAGATACGAAATTTTCAATGACTTTCATTTTAATTGTCTGCATGCTTTCTTATTCCAGAACCTAAAAACTGGACATAATTTAGATTGCGGAGAAACAAAATGCTCATCGTATAGAAGTTTAAGGATATTATAATTTCCCTGAAGCAAATAAGTAGCAATGATTGCTGGGATGCCATAATTAACCTCAATAATCAGCTTCACATCAGAAACTGATATTCATTATGAAAGACGATTCCTTACAGTCGATCTACAAGGATACACAACAGCTTTAGGCAACGGTGAGTACATATTAAATGTGTGAGATATCGCAAAATAGCATCTGATGTTCCACGTGTTGTTCTAATGCAACAATGCCTTCACCTTAACCTAAAAAATTCTAATTGCTAAGTACTCATTGTTTAATTGAAAAAATGGTAACAAACAAAATGGAGGATTTCCTCACTTAAAGTAATAAAATCGTGTGTTTGCAGAACTAAATACCTAATAACAGAATTGTGGATATTATCAAAAAATTCGCAATAAGAAAAAAATTTATTCGCTGGCATAATAACTTTTTTTTTTCATTTCTTTAGGTATTTTCGTCTGTTTCCATCTTTATGTGTCGATTTAATGGCGGCACTGCAGTGAGGGTCATTTGGAACCGAAGATCGAGAAAAGCCATATCCGATGTTGCTTCAACCAGCGCCATACTGTAATATATTGAAAGTAAGTGAATTGTCTAGTTACAACAACATCAACAATGAAAGTGACAATCATTAAAAATTGAAACAAAGAAGCCACGTTGTGCTTTGCTTTTTCTTTGTTGATTTGTCTTAATCTTCTATCTCGTTTCATTTTTGTGTTCCTTCATTTTTACATTGATTTAAAATATTAAGTGAATTGAAATTTTATCGTTTTCATTACCAACATTGAATTTTTAAATCTAACCCACTTTTCAATAAGAATGCTCGCGATTCAACGCCATTTTCTTATCAGAATCAAATTAAATTAAAAAATATATTTTAATTTTTTTTGTTTTTTTCTTAATCCTTTAATATTCAAGAAACTTCTTAAATTTTTAATAATTTATTTTGAATTTCTAAAATCAGAGTCAGCGCTCAAATAATAAACAACAACAGCTTAAATGTAACAACATGAATGAGCATCAACAACAAACGCGAGGAATTTAATGAAGCTGGAAATTCAAGAACATGAGCCGAGAACAAAGTAATCAAAACAAGATTACAACAAGTAACTCTTCGACAATATTCCTTGCGAAGCTTTTGAAATGTTTAGTGAAACGTTTGGATATTATGTCGTTTAATCGACATGAAATGTGAGTTTCACTTATTGAATTTATTTTAAAAATAAATTATTAAACAAATTTTTATTTTTATTTTCAGGTTTTGAGCATAATTTTATTATGAATCACCACAGACGTATCGTTATGCAATGTCTGGATATCATTCTAATTGCCGCTCAATTCAGAACCATTCCAACTAAAGCAAAACTAGAGGAAATAATTCACAAGGCAACAAAGATACTGTTCAAAAATCTCAGAATCTGTCAGTACCAGTCGCTCCGAAGTAACTTTATTTCTACATTTTTTCCGATGAACGCTTTATTAGTTTTCATCGATAATATTAACATTTTTTTCAATGGCGACAGCCATTGATTGCTTTCCACGATGCCACATCATGGCAGTGAAAATTGAAACTTGATGTTCCTTTCTGTCCCAATAAGCATCATAAATTTCATTTTGGTAGAAGCATCTGTAACTTTGAGACCAATCAACTTGAAGAACAGCTGTTGTTGCGTTCTTCGATTCTGCTTGCTGGCAATATAACTTGAGGCATGCTGCCTGGTTTCGCTTAACATCTTTCATTTCTATTATGTGCTTGATCAGGTCAGATTCAGTGCCGGTCTTTGTAACTCTTTCTACTTGCAAGAATATTCCTCCATTACGCACTTTTTGCTTTAAAGGTTTGATAATTATAAGTTAAATAAAAGGAAAGCTTATGCAATTGAATGTCTCTTTCTTTCATATTTTCCATATGACACATTTCCTTTCTTTTGACGTTATTAAACTTTGAAGACAGGTTGTTGTTCTTGTGCCGTCTACGGACCGGAAGTGCTTGAATTTGTTGGGAAAAGGAAAACATCAGTGATTGTTTTTACTAGATAATTGCAGAAGCTTTGAGCTTAAATGTTGTTAGAAAAGTTTATATTTTTTATATTTTTCCCGTTTGTTTTACAGAGAATAACGTCAAAAACATCAAGAAAGTTAAACACGAAAATTTATTTATTGATGATGTTAAACAAAATATTTAAACACAATCCTTCTGACTGTTCGCGTGATAATTAATCATGACAATCATTTGTGTCATAAACAGAACAGAAACCATTAATGAACCATCAAAACATTTCATTTGAAAACATCGCTTCGATATTTTAAGATGTTCATCGATAAACTGTTTACAGGCTTTAATAATTTTCTTGGATTGAATTTCTACAATTTGATAATTCCTTTGAGTGTAGTTTTGTTAATTCAAGTTATCGCGTGTATTACTTGTGTGGTTAAAAAAAAATTTTCTTCAAACTTATTTTTATAAGTTTAATTAACGTTTTATATTTCAGTTGATCCTATCCAGACGAGATTAACATCAACAAAAGTAATAAAATTAAAAATTGAAAGACATCTTTTTAATTTACAGGAAACTTTTTTAACTCAAACTTCGATTTTCTTTTTTAATTTCTAGGATATAAAAAAAATTAAATAATTAATTTTTTCGTTACGTATAATTATCAGAAAATCTTTTTTACAATTCAAGTTCATCAAAGATAAATAATATATTTCAATAGAAAATGTTTTCTTATAAAAACATTAAAATCATAATTCGAGTATCGTGTGAAAGAGAAAAATGAAGAATAAAGTAAAGAATTGAAAATTTTCCGTAAAGGAAAAACAAAAAATACGTTTTTATTTAAGAACCTTTTTTATTGAGTTTACAGAGATTATTTTAAACAGATAAAGTTGACAAGCATCCTGGTTATGATAAAGAATTTCTATTTGAACCATAAAAAGGTTGACGAAAGGATGATTTGACTTTATCGACTTTCTGTTGAGTCAAGTCACTTGAATAAATCAAGTCAATTTTTTGACTTGAATGCATATTAGAGTTGTCGAAAAAGTGTTCGAAAAAGTGTTCGAACGATCATTTTTCAATTGATTGTGAAACCAACCAGACGTGTAAGTATTAAAAAAATTGAAAATCGTAGAACTTTTTGAATAAATTTATTTAAAATGTTTCAATCGTTTTCTTAATCTAAAACTTTGATACATTTTAATGTTCTTATTCACAATTTGATGAATTTGAAAAAAAGTTTCGTCTTAAAAGATACGAAATTTTCAATGACTTTCATTTTAATTGTCTGCATGCTTTCTTATTCCAGAACCTAAAAACTGGACATAATTTAGATTGCGGAGAAACAAAATGCTCATCGTATAGAAGTTTAAGGATATTATAATTTCCCTGAAGCAAATAAGTAGCAATGATTGCTGGGATGCCATAATTAACCTCAATAATCAGCTTCACATCAGAANAATACCAATACACTACAAGGCTTTAATAATTTTCTTGGATTGAATTTCTACAATTTGATAATTCCTTTGAGTGTAGTTTTGTTAATTCAAGTTATCGCGTGTATTACTTGTGTGGTTAATATTTATTATGCAGTGGTTTTCTTAAACCCTTCTTTAAAAGTTGTGTTTATTTTTATAGATTTTGTGCAATTAATGTTTCCTTTAATTAACAAGAATATTATAATGGTTCAAGCTATTCGATTTAGGAATTTCGATGAAGATTATGATAAACGTTGCAGTAAAACTTTTCAGCCTTCTCTTGTTCGAAGAAATAAAAGAAGATTTTTCTGTTACTTGGCATTCGTCTTGGCAATTTTACTATTTAAACATTCGGTTGCTACAACGTTAAATGATAATGTTTATAAATGTTCACAACTCGTTCCAATTCTATGGAATTCTTCAAGTGATTTTCTGTTTGTTTTTCATCTAAGATGTTTAAGTGATCACATGAAATATATTAGACACTCCAAGAAGAATATCAAAGAAGAAATTTTAAACATAATTGACATGAAACGATCATTACATCGTCGACATTCGATTAATCTCACTCTGAACATTGTAAATTATTTTTTGATGACAATTTTTGCACTTTATTGGATTTTTGTGAGAATTGTCTTTGGCTACATGAAAACTATAATAGGTAGGACAGCATATCTTATGTAGTTTAAAGCCGAACATAAATATTTATGAATTCAAAAGATTTCAGTTCTTGTTGCTACTTCATTCTTCCTTGCTTTTACCTCTTGTCAATATTTCTTGCATACAAAAATTATTCAAGTGAAGTAAGTTGATTTAATAATTTGTAGATACATACTTTAATTAATCTCATTTACATGATATTTCAGTATTCAAAATTCCTTGGAATGATTTTCGAAGATAACAAAATTGAGAAGAAAGAAAAATTAATTTTTATGCTTTGGAGTCAACAATCAGATTTTGTCGTTGGCAAAACAGTTTCACTTCAACTTTTGACGTTAATTTCTGTGAGTTTTTCAGTTATTTTAATAACATAAATGTTACTAATTAATATATTTTTCATCTTTTCATCAGATGGTATCAGAAGTTGCCAATTATTTTATTTATTCAATTCAATTATTCATGGAAAATCCTTACAATTAATTTTAAGGCAAAATAAAGTCAAATTTATCTCTTTAAATCATTGTTTGATTTGCAATTAAATGTTTGAAGAACAATGCTGACTTTTTAGGTGTTCGTTCTCTCTGATCACTCGTCATGTTGACAGAAAATATTCCAAACTTTTCAGTATATCCTTTGGCCCATTCGAAGTTGTCAATGATACTCCATGCGGTGTACGAGACAACATTGCAGCCATTTCGCCGAGCTTTTATCACTGATGTCAGATGATCTTTAAAATAATTTATTCTTGTGTCGTCTTCAAGTTCACCTTCGTCAGAAAAGCCATTTTCACTGATCATCACTTTGGGATTGTCATATTTTTCTTTAATCCATTGAAGAACGTCGTGAAGACCTTCAGGTACACTAAACAACCAACGAGATTTACCTTGCAACCAGCTTTGATCAGTCAAGTAAACAGTTCCAGTGTCGCTTTCAAATGAAGTCTCATTGAGTGTTTCTACCCTCGGTTTGATGATTCGACTTGTGTAATAATTCAATGCAAAGAAATCTGCAGATCCAATCAACGATTTACGCATTTCTTCAGACATTTTCGGTAGTCTCGACCATGGCCTACCCTCAGCTTTACTTTTATTTCCAATAACATCAATCATAATACTCGGATAGTCTCCATCTTTTGTGTAAATTGGATTTGCAAACCAACCTAACTGAAAGAAATTTTTCTTTTTAATTTCTTACTTAAAATAAGCAAATCACTCAAAATTACTCTGAATTGCATAATTCTCTCCACTAAACTCTGATCTACAGTTTCATCTTTCGGATAGAAGAATCGAGAAACTAAACTAATCCCAATTTCACCTTTTTGCTTTTCAAAATACTTTTCCTTGTACAAATGAAAAGCAGCAGCATGAGATTGAAGAACATAATGTGCACATAAATATTCGCCAACACCTGAAGCTGCAAGACCAGGTGCATTAATTCCAATTCCATATCCATCTAAACAAAAGTTGTGAGGTTCATTGAACGTTATCCATTTCTTAACACGATCACCGAAATGTTCAAAAATGACATCAGAATAAAGCTTGAAATAATCAACAATCAATGGGTTTGCAAAGCCACCAAAATCTTGAAGGAATTGTGGGAGATCCCAATGGTACATGGTGATGATAGGCTCGATATTATTTTCCAGAAGACTATCAATGATCTTGTCGTAATATTCAAGACCCTTGAGATTCGGGAATGTCGCGTTTTTCATGACTCGTGGCCAAGATATCGAAAATCTGTAAAATTGAAACTAACTTGAGTCTTAAAAGAATTTAATTTTGAAAGCTTTGAAGTTCTTACTCCAACTTCCTTGATTGCTTCAATGTCTTTGTTAAAGAAATGATAAGAATTTGCACTGACATCACCATTAGATCCATCAAGGATGATTTCTGGATGATTGTGGGTGTAAGTGTCCCATATTGACATTTCTTTTCCATCTTCATTCCATCCACCTTCAATCTGATAAGCTGACGACGCTACGCCAATCCTCAAACCTTCTTGCAAAGCTACGAAATTCGCCTTCGAGAAGTTTATGTAAACTGAAAGTCCAACAAGCAACAAGTTAAGCAAAACCAACTTCATCGTAACAAAAGAAAAAACAAAAATCAGCAGCTTCATAAGTAAAAATTCGACTTTCATCACATCACAACTGAAACAAAACTAAATCAAAAATGCACAGAAATATTTTTAATGTTTATTTTATTCTGAATTTTTATTTCAAAAGGTTATCAATTTGAATTTAATGTCATGACATGAAGATTAATTTCGAGTATTTTCGTTGAATAAAAAAATTATCAAATATTTGCGAGATTAATTAAATTAATGTTAGAATCAGTCAATTTTGATTCCTTCTATTCATCAACTTCATTTTCTTTCACGACTTTTTGTTTTATCTTTTCATTAATTTGATTTTTCATAATGTCTTGAAGATTGCTTACAATTTTGTCTTTCGGTTGTTCAACGACTTCTTCTTTTACTTTATCCACAACTTCATCTTTCGTCTCTTCACCTCTTACTTTTTCCATTTCAATCATTTCTGTTTTAATTTCCACAACTTTATCTTCATCAACATCGTCTTTAAAGTCATCCAATGTTTTACATTTTTCACGTATGGCGTTTGCTGGCCAATCGCAGCCATTTTTATTAAACACAAGACCAGTTTCACAATTGAAACTCGCCGCTCTGTCTTGATCACATCGCCAGAAGATTGTGCAATCATCTTCATCTTCATACAATTTTTCTCTATCAGTATTAGGATCAGCACAATCTGGTTTACCCACTGAAGACGTTTCTCCTTCTTCTTCGAAAGCTGATTCAGGCTTTTCATTTCCAACTTCTTCAGGTACACTCTCAGTGGTTGTTGTTGTTGTCGATGGAACAGTAGTTGTCTTCTTCTTCTTCCTTCTTGTCGTTCGTCTTGTTGTCATAACTTCATTTGTTGTCATTTCAATTGGCAATTCGGTGGTGGTTCTTCGTGTGGTTCTAACTGTCGTTGTCTTCTTTGTAGCTGGTTTCATTGTTGTTGGCTTCCTTGTCGTGGGTTCCAATTGAACATCAGGTTCATTTCCTGAAGATTGTGTTGATGGTGGTCTTGCCCATTCAGGACGAGGCGTCGTAACAATTGAAGGTTCAGGCACACGATAATTTCTCATTCCCTTATATAAAACATTCATTAATGCATTTTTATCTCCACACAATCCTTGGAAGTCATCCATATCAATAGCCCAAGTCATAGCACCAGCATAACCTTTCGATTTAATCCAATCCATCTTTATCTGAAGTGAACCTTCATCTTCATAACCAATCCACTGAGTTCCCTTATAAGTGTATGGACATTCTCCAACGTCGTCATATTTCACAGTCCAACCTTTTTCCTTATCTTGTGTTTCAGTGCAAATCTAAATTTGAGTGAAAAAGAAAATTAAAAGATTTTCAATTGTCATAATTTGTGAATTTTATTCTCACCTCGTAATATGCTAAAAATCCTGAAGCATTAGTGTATGGTCCGGGTGCACCTCCACCAGCTTCTTTATTGATGTAAGTTCCCAAATTATAATTTTTATTGCCAGCACTCAATGTGAAAGTTCTTCCATAAAATGGAACTCCAATAACAAGTTTTTTGGGTGAACATCCCATATCAACCCACAACTGAACTCCATCATTGACATTCAGTTTTGCATACGCATATTGATCGTGAGGTCGTTTGTAAAGTGGCGAATGAACATCAGCAAAACCAGCCCAATTTCCACGTAAATCGTAAGTCATGCAGTGAATGGCATCAAGAAGTCTGCGAAAGAAAGAAACTTAGAAAAATTTATTGAGTTCATTGATTCACTTACTCGCAAAGTTCTGGGACGTGATAACCTTCCTGTAGTCTGAATTTAGCGACTGGCACAGCCATCGTAATTTCCCAACCTCTTCCTTCTTTATCAAATGACCTTCGAAGTTCTTCAACAAAATAGAAAAATTTATCTTTATCAGAGAATGATCCACCACGATCAGTTGCTGCGGGATATTCCCAATCCAAATCGAAGCCATCAAAATCATATTCTTTCATAAATTCAATGACGCTTTTGATGAACTTTCTTCGACGATCTGATGAAGCCACCATTTGAGAATATTTCTTTCCACCTTCAGCCCAACCCCCAACGGCAATCATGTATTTAACTTCGGGATATTTCTTACGAAGATTTGTAAAGTTCCTAAAGCCTTTATCATCGATATCCAACTGTGAAAGATTCAAAAATTGGGTGAATTAAGATAAAAATCAAAACAAGTTTCATTTGAGGTCATTCACCTCGGGATCGATCACCAAAACTTGCCATGTAGAATCGTCAACACCGATGAATGAATAAATTAAATGCGTACACATCTCAACTGGAATATCTTCAATGCCATAACGGCCTAGGCCTGGACGATAAATCGCCCAGTTACTGAAGTAACAAACAATACGCGCTTTATCTGTTGAAGAAATTTGAATTATGATTTGATTGTTGATAGAAATGATAAACTTTTGTTTCATTTACCTTCGGCTTTAATTACTGATGCGCCATAGAAAAGTGAATAAATTATCGCACCTAACAGTATTCGATGATAATTGCCTGTCATGAATAATAAATAAAAGTTCAGTGCTAGGAAGTTCGACTGATATCGATTAACAATTACTAATAATCGTCATTATAAATTCAACTGTTGTCGATGTCTTCAGTGAGAATGAGTCACTTGGCAATGATTTTAAATGTCTGATCAAGTATTTGCGACTTCAAAAACGATACAATCGAGTGAATATTTAACTCTTTTGTTTTATAATATTTAAGAATTTATTTCATAGACAAACTTGATGGAATTCTTTTAAAAACCTTAGAATTTTCTAGTGCAGTTTTTTGCTTTCTTCCATCACGAAACCGAATTTTAAATGTCACTTTACAGTTATTTGTCGAGCATCAACAGTGTTGATCTGCTTGCCTTACTTACCCATTGCTTCCAAAAATCACAAAGAATCGACCGAACCAAACGGGAAACAGCTCGACAATAAACTGCGCTCGATGAAGCGATCGTGTATTTATACGAAATCGAGAAATCTTCCTCAATGTGTTCTTCTTAAATCTTTTTTTTTGGAGATTTTTCTCTTACATTCTAAGTCACGTCCGAAGCCGTTCCTTTCATTTTATTTAAACTCGAAATTATTTAAATGAGAGAATTCAAATATTTTATGTTTTCTTAATCGTTCTTGAAGGTCATCAAATTAATTTCCAAGAAAAATGGAAAGAAAATTGTTCAACATTTCATTCTGAGTCATTTTTGTCAGCATCAAGTTCAGGAATAAAAGAAATTTAAATGAAACCTGTTTTTATTCAATAAAAAAATGGATTGAAACATTCGAAAGATAAACTTTTGGGTTCGTTTTACTCATTTTACCGTTTTTATTTTACAATTTATTTGTTTTTCTTCTTATGAGATGTTTATTTATATTTATTCTCGTTAATAACATTAAGAATCGCATAAATGTTTAAATTTGCCATTTTTTATTTGACAAATCTTTATCTAAACATGGAAATAAATAAAATTAGATCAATGAATTATGAAAGCTCAATCTAAGTCAATTAATTTAACATTATGCTTTGACACTTCTAAAATCGAAAAGTTTTTTATATTTTTTGGCAGAAAATTTTCAAGAACTTTATCAATTCGAGTGCTTTAATTAACTTTTTCATTTCACACCCGCTATGATATCGATCCAAATTATTATATGCTACTTAATAGATTACAAAACAATTCGATTAGATAATAAAAGGAAAGAAAATTGTTACATTTTAATTACGATTCAAAAGTATTCAAGTATGTTGTACAATAAACTTGTCTTCGAAAGCTTTGAAGAATGTTGAAAACTTTCAGTACACAAAAATGAATGAAAGAATTTTTATCACAAAAAGAGTCCTGAAGTGATTTATGATTTTACAACCTTCTTGAAAAAGATAATAAGAATTAAGTAGACTAAGAAATAGAAATTTCAAAATTTCTTAATAGAATTCTAAACATTGCATTGTTGTGATTAATATTTAATAGAATTTGTTTACTAATATGACAATTTAAATTTACAATGTTGCAAGTAAAGTTTGTAATTAAATTTTCTAGTGTAAGCCTTCTGGCTTTAAACTAATATGTTTAATGAATGATTTTTGGGTGGTGGATTTTAATTTAAATGATTTTTCTAAACTGAGTTTTGGAAATGCTAGAAACTCTTTTAATTTTTGTAAATAAATTGAAAAAATGACAAAAATATTTTAGATCCAAATCTAGAACACATACGATTTTAAAAAGCTACAATTAGGTTTGAATTTCGTATGTATGAGTTTGTTTATAATCGTGAAACTTTAAATCCATGCCGGTGTACTTGTTGAACCCCTTCCTAAATGATGTAAATGTCTTTTTTAAACCAAAACTGAATTTTAACTCCACTCACACAAACAGGAAAAATTTGTTCAATGTGCACTCACACAAATACTGTTACTAAGTGAATGGCAACAGGTTTCGAACCCAGCCATTCCAATTTTACCTTGTGACACGCAAGCAAATATCAAGCTTGGCGTTATTGCCTATGAAGTTTTAATTTTTCAATTGCTCGATAACGAATCTTTTTATTATCTTCGTCTTTGTTTGAGGCACTTCAACGCTTTTCTTTAACTAATAAAATATATGAAAGCAATTGAGGGATCGAACTGTGAACGTTTATTTTCGTCTTATGAGATTATGAAATTCAAAGATAAGACGCAATTGTTGCCAACGACAGTCTAAATATTTTCTACATTCGATCATCAAACTCAAATGCAAATATCTTCAATAGCGGATGCAAAAGCTAAACGTTTAATTTCTATTGAATCTTGAAAATAATTAATATCTTTGTATGTACACAAGAGGCTTAAAAAATTAAGTCTCCGCAACTCCTAAAGCATTCCCAATGAAATCGAAAGTCGGAACAATGAGCGTTGGCTGATTCACAGAAAATAAATTTCTGAAGCGATCAATAAACTCACTTTCTATTCTACTATCCAGCATTGAACATTTTTGCAAACAGTTATATCAACAAATGCCATGTAATGTATCAACAAAAATATTTAATGTTTCATTTTAGGATGTTGACTTTCAATACTGGTTTTCATCCATTAATACTTTATTGCGTGAAAAACAAATACCTGACAAGTAATACAATTTGTAATTTAATTTCAAATGCTGATTTCATCATGTAGAAATGCTTAAATTCTCAAAGAACTTCTCACGAATATGATACGCTTCGTTTATTGTGAAAGACTGCGGCTTAAGCAAGCCTACATAAGTTATGTTATGCTTTAAAAACCAATAAACTTGTGAAGGTCAACTGATGACGGCGACGTGATAGATCAAAAGAGAAAACAAAAGAAAAAAAAAATAAAAACGAACGGGATTTTAAGATTGAAAACGAAGGTAAAATCATTAAGCTTTTATTTCATATTTTCATGTACTTGAAAAGTTACGTTAAAGAAATTTAATGTGAAACTTAAATGTTAAAATTTAATCACAATCATATAAATACTGCAACCCTTTTGCACTTCTTCCTTTATTTTCATTAATTTCATTTCGTTGTTTGATGTGAGAACATTTTGGCAGCTCAAATTAAAGCAAGTAGGTAATTTTGACAGATTTTTGTTTAATGATCATGGTCATCATGATGGGAATGCGAATGGCCTCCTGTAAGAACAAAACAAAAAAACAGAGAAAAGAATAATTGCTTTAAAACGAGCGTTCAATTAACTTTTTTGCTTGATTTCTTACCAATAAATTTAAGTCCAAACATCAAGAAAAATCCAAAAACAACAGCGAGAAATTGAATGATGCCGTCTTTGTGTTTAGATAGAATTTCAAAGAATATCACGTAAAGGAGTGTTCCAGAAGCGAGACCTTGAAGAATAACAGAGGCGACATCGAATGCTTCTGGGTCGTCGCCATTGCTTAATATAATTCCGATTCCAATACCAAGTGGCGAGACAATGGCATAAATAAAGATATAAAGAACAAGCAGCCAAGTTTTTGTCTTGTGAACCATAAGCTCAACGCCAATGCAGAAAGCAATGACAACTTTGTGTGCAGAGATTGATCCAAACATATACCAAACATTTGATGTTGTGTCTTCTAGCCCAACAGCCAAACCTTCAAAAACTTCATGCACTGAAAGCGCCATCACAATAAGAAGACCACGAATTGACGACACAAGCAAACTGTCGTCTCCATTGAACACTGGAATGTGTGAATGATGATGATGATTGTGGGAATGCGTATGATGATTGTTATCGACATGTTCATTGTCAACTAAATCAGCTGTGGAAACTGTCATGACGCCATTACCAGTTGCTTCTGCTGCTGCTTTTTTCTCAAGTTCACGACGTTTTGCTGCATCGTGCAAACTATCTCTGGGACTGTGTCCACGAATAAACGCTTCTTGTGCTTCTACTTGTTTCTTCTGTTGTCGTCTTAAATAAGCGTGAACAATTTCTTCAACGAAATAAATAATGAAGAATCCAACCGCCATCAGTAAATTTGTAATGGAAAAATCCCATTCAGGTATGCGACCATCATGTTGAAGTGCACCGATGATTTCATCGATTTCTGGTACTAAATGCAAGAATGTTGTGCAGAGAAGAGCTCCACCTCCAAATGAGAGAAGCGATGACACGAGAAGATTTGTTCTTGGATCACGATTTGGATCAGACCAGTCGAGCCATTTCGTTAAAAGTAGTGGAATCATCCCCGATCCCATGGAAAGGATAAATAAAACTGCCATTGTTATGAATTTGGCCATATTAACTTCACTTAGATCATCATGTTCGTGGTCGTGGTCATGATCATGATCATCTGCTTTCGCTAAAAGCTCCGTGATATTGTTCAGCATTACCGTAACACTCATGTTTGATTTTTTCTTGTTTCTTAATTTCTTACGCAATAAAAATTATTTACTTCCGACTTAGCGAAATACTTTCATTTATCATCACAGCCGACAATAAAAAAAGTTTCCAAATTTAGAGAAATTCCCACAATCTCTTCTACTATTCAAATATTTAAATACTTCTTTTTTTTTTTGTATAAACTTGATTGTCGCGAAATAAGTCTGCAACTCCTTCTTTCTTTTTAAATGAAAACAAGTCTTTTGTTTAATCATGCACCGAGAACTTTTATAATTTTTTCTTCTTTGTTTTTGAAACTTGTCTTGTTAGCACAAAAGTCTGACAGTGACTGAAAACAGAGCGACGTTTGTGCTCACCAATAAATATTTCATTCTGTTTTACTTCACGCTTTACGTGTCTTTTTTGTTTCGCTTTACTTAATCAATCAGGTGGTAGTGTGCGTTGGTTGATATTTTAAGTAGTTGTATTCAGGGCTGGGAGTTTGTATAATTAATTTTTGATAATTAAAAATGATTTGAAACGAAAGTAAAGTTGAAATTTCAGTCATTTTCTCAATAAATCCAATTTCAGATTCTTTAATTAAATTTCTTAAATGTTTCTGAAAACAATTCGATTCCAAGCCCTGTGTGGTTAAAAAATTAAATTTTCCAGGGATTGAACATTTTTCTGCATACATTGTTATGGGCTTTATTTAATTTAACTCTCGTGAAAATGAATGGAGAATGAATTCTGAATAATTTTAAATGACGTAGTGCAAGTGAGATAAACAATCAACTGTGAAATATTCTCATTCATACACCTTTTTGTAGTTTCATGCCGTAGTAGCAATAAGAAACGTAGCTGTTAAACAGACGTTAATAAGTTAAGTTGAAACATCATTAGGAAGCACTAATGAAATTATTTTTGTTGTTCTCCATAACGAGAAGAAGAAAAAAAGAACAGATGGGATTTCCACTTAATTTCTTCATAAATTTGAACTTGTAGTAAACAACAGAACGTCATCATGATTTATTTTCGCAAATTAAACTCTCACGAAACTGAAGACAACTTTTTGAAGATCTTTATTCACGACTTTATTGAGAGTAAATATTTTAGCAAAATTCAAATTGACTTGAAAGTTTCATTTATTCAGTTGACAAACTGTTCAAACACGTGCTCGGCGATACTTCGAATGAAAGAAAAAAGTTTTTGTTAAAGCTGAAACAACAACAAGGTGCATAAAAAAACTTCTTTCTCTCTATCTTGATTATTTCATACTTTTATTTGCTATCACAGTTAAGAAAACATAATAAAATTTCATTTCGTATCTTAGCAAGTCGTCATCTTCGTTAATTTAAGTACATTTTCTCTCTTTTTAATTGAGTTCTTCAAATAGTTTCTTAAGAATAATTTCTCTATTTTATTTAAATATATTTTACAACAAAAATAAGTCTTTTCACGTTTACTAAAATATTTATTTATATTCATCCTTAGTTCAAACAAATTGGCTGGAAAAAAGTCTTTTTCTGGGTCGAACAAGAAATAAATTGAATTTGTCAATCTTTTGCGTAGGTATTGTCATTGATAAGAAACGATTAATATCGCCTTTCATTTCTTTGTTATTAATCGTTCTATCCGATTCAATGGAATGGTTTTGAGGATAATTGAAAACAATTAAAAGAATATTTTCTTATCCAGCCATAAACAATTCAAATATTTCACTTCAAGTAGACATTACATTTAGGACTTTAGATTGTATTTCATTAATTGTACGACGACAGAAACATTCTCATTCTTTTCAATGATTTCCTTTCAAAAAATATCGACATCAGAAGATTTCCAACACTTGACGTTAATTAACGTCAAAATGATTCTTCTAAATCACCACCATAATTATTTTCATTTTCTTAAAATTCTCTCTTTAATAAATTTAAAACGAAATCATCAATTAAATTATTATGAAGCTCGTTTTGTTTCTAAATCTTTTTTTAATTAAAATATTTTGCTTTGGGCAAATTTCAACTTTTTAATGATCGTTTTGGCACATTCATTTAATTCTTGAAAGTTTCTTTATAGAATCAGCTACTGAATTAAGAGTAACAGATTTTAGGTGGGTTTGAAACTCAAATTTCTTAAAGTTATCTCAAAAAATTCACAAAACTTTAAGCTTCATGGGATTCAATTTAAGATAAATTAAAAAGTTTCGTCACAAAATTTGAATAGTCGCTCAAAGAATATTAAAAATCTTCAATCTTAATGAGGTAACCATGTAATGCAATTCACATTCTTATCTGTTAAAATATTTAAATAAAGTCTTCTAGTTTCTTGTGCCACTTTCTCGAATGTACATAAAAGTTTTAGCCTTACATCAACTTTTACAATCTTGTTTGATTAAAGAACATAAGAAAAAACTTTTTCGTTTATTGTCGGTCATTTTAAGAAAACTGTTTTGAACTTCAAGTGTGATAAAAATCAACCAGGAAAGAAAGAATTAAAAACTTCTTTCCGATCATGGAAGTTTAAAATTTTCTTCTTAATTTCACTCGCTTTAAATGAAGTTTCTCACTTTATGGATTAAATGTAGATTTGTGGCATGAATGTACATAATAAATTGATTGTTGCGCATTAAAATTCTTGTTGATGAAATGAAAATGAGAGTCGAGTAAATTAAATTTTATAGAAATCCAAAGAATCATCGTGACAAACAGTTACAGTTGAGTTTGTTGACGGACTTGTGTCTCTATTGCCAAGACTTTTCTTTCTCTTAATCGATGATCTTCTGATTGATGATAACGATGGTAATGTTGATGAACTATCCAAACTGATTGTTTTTACAACAGAATTCGATAATGAATCCATTTCCAAATGAGTTTCCGACTCCAAAAATTCACATGCAGCTGAACTTGTAGGAGACAACAATTGTTCACTGCTTTGTTGTTGCATGACGTTGTTGATTATATCAATTTGATTCTTTATATTTTTCTTGCCTTCACTTCGTCCATTTCTAAACCGCGGATAACCAAATGAAAACTGCCCAAACCCATATTGAGGTCCCCAAAGCGACAAAAGACTCATCAAGAAAAATGTTGAGAATATCCAGCTAATTGACATGGAAACAATCAAAAACACTCCAATTTGAATGTAAGCGAGAACATTTGACGGCAACATTAGAATGCCGGAGACTCCTGTCGTAATCGCAGCCATAACCGTCGGTCCAATCATTCTCAACGCAAATCGAGTTGACGATTGACGATCACTCTCTTTCGAATAACGGTATTGAACACCATAATGCAAACTAAAGTCAACAGCTAAGCCAATTGCCGTTGACACAGCGACACTTTCAAGAATATTTAATTTCCATCCCAACAACACAAGCGTCCCAACGATAGAAAATATCGTAAGTGTGACAGTTATGATCGCGTAAATAGAAACCAAAACATTTAGTGTCACAAGTAAAAGAACTAAAAGTGCAACACACATTGCCATCGATACAGCACTTACAGTTCCTTTCGAAAGTGTGTCTTGAAGATCGAAAAAGTCGAGTTCACTAATGAAGAAAGCATTTTTCATACCTGCCGGTGCCGTTTCCAATTCCTTTGTGAACCACGTCTGAACAGTTGATACAAAGTTTTCAATTTCATTAAAGGAATGACTGAATGATTGATTACTATCACATTCGACAACAAGTGCCTTGACTTGTGTCACGATGCTTGTTGTTGTTCGATTGACAATTTGAAACTTTGGACCAGCAACTCCAGGAATGAAATATTCTCGCGGCGTTTCGTAAAGTGCTGAAATTGATTCCGGTAAGCAATAATCGAAAATTTCTGGTGAGAAAGGAAATGTTGATGCTTCACAACATGGAAATCGATCAATGTCACTCATACTGTCTTTACACTTTCTTGCCATCCACGAAATTAAATTTTCAATGAAGCAATTTGGCACTAAAAGTCCAAACGATATTTGATAAAATGGCTGATGCTTCATTCGTCGACAAAGTTCCAACAACCACACTTGAGACTCGACTGCTGACACATTAAACGAAGAATCTAATTCGAGTTTTCCACGCGATGTTGGATCCAAAAAATTTCCATTGTCAACTGGCTTCACTCCCCACACAAATCTTATCGGCATTTTGAAACTGTCCGACGACGTGTACATCTTTTCAAACCAAAATAATTCTTTGTAAGATGCTTCATAGATCTCAAAAGGATGATCACTTGTGAACAATCGGAATGTTGGTGTGTCGGGAAGTTCCAACTTTGGCCAGTACAACACAAACACTGCACTTGTCACACCGAACAATCCCAACGACACTATCCAAAATGCTGAGTAATTAATCACTAAAGCGATGATAAAGTCTTCAATTTTGTCACTTAATTGACTGTAAAATCTCACAAATGAGTCAATCGGCTTTGTGAGAAGTTTAAAGTTGATGAACCAACTTCGACTAAAGCAGTAAATTCTCTCAGAAATTGACACTGACGCAGGCAGCCAAGAAATCATAAAAAGGTAATTGGCCAAGACGGCTGTGCCTGCGAAGATTCCAAAACATCTCACGGCAGTGATTGAGCTTGCATAAGAAGCATAGAAAGCAGCTGCAGTTGTGAGTGATGTAACTAACATTGACAAAGCTGCGTGTTCCAAAGTCTTTGCCATGACACCGACGAGCGAGTCTCTCGAATCAGGCGAGTAAGGATCAGACGCAAATGACGATGTTGGGCTGCTTATGACTTTCTTCTTTCTTTCATTATGTACACATTGCCAGATTTTCATGAAGATGAAAGCATCGTCCGATCCAATTCCAACAATCACGATGAGAACCAACATGTTCATGAATGGAAAGAATTTCATTTTGAAAACGATGATGTAAGTGAAGTAAGAGATTCCTAATGATAACGTTACAGCGATGACTGTGTTGATAGTGACGAAGAACGACGAAGTGTAAAGCCACATTGAGATTAGGACAAAAATTCCTCCAAGTCCAACAAGCCATGCATCCGACAACAAAGATTCATCAAATAAAGCATTTTTGATGCCTAAATCCATCGCAACAACACCCACAAGATCTGTTTGCAAATTCTTCTTCACCAATTTATGATAGAATGGCAATGCATCTTTTCCTTTAGCTATTGGCAAGAAAAGCATCACAGCACTGAGACTTTCACTTGTTTCATTTAATTTAATAAAATTCCGATCAGTTAGGAAGTGAAGAATGTTGTAAACGGCATTGAATTGTGCACATTCGTCGGGAACACGACATTTTGATTGGGTGCAATCGTTGTTCAATTTTAAACCATGGAAATACTGGAAACATTCGAGAAGAAGCGACTTTACCATAGCGACATCGTCGTCCTTTAATTATTAAATAAATTAATCAATAAATCAATTAAAAATAAGAAGCAACTTACATTTATATCAAAACATGAAGTTTTGTTAGATAAAAGAGTGACGTAATTAGGCAATGTCCAAGGACGACAACAATTATCAGATGAAATTTCTTTCTGACACAAATCGTTGTATCCATTTGTGTTAATTAACTTTTGTTCAAGTTCGCACATTGAGAGCAAAGCATTTGCGTCAAACATCGATTCATTTACATTCCAACGAATTCTTTTGATAACAAAATGAATATATTCTTTATCTGAAATAGATTTAAATAGTAGAAAATGTAAATAATAAAATCTTTTATTCAAAACTTACTTGGAGATTCACAAAAATATCCGTCAGTGCTGTGAAAATCTGTAGTTATTTGCGGAGGTTCAAGTTGTTTAAATTCTTTCCATTTCTTTTTCTTTAATTCTTTGTTTCTTTTGTCAGTCTCTTCATCGTAAGATTTGTTCGTGCCATAATCCCAATGGTTGTGCACATCAAGACTTGTGTCATTTCCTGTATCATCCGAATTGTAAGCGATGTCAACATTAAAACTTTTATTATTTGTTGCGAATTCTTTCAATATCTTCATTTTTGTATCAAACTTGAGTCTCTTCTTCTGGTGACGGCTTTTGTTCTTTCGATGCTTCTTATCAAACTCATGTTGCTGGATCTCTTTGGGATTAACAATTAAGGTTCCAGAAGGTCTTGTCTCTTCGAGAAGATTACGCCAAGTGGTTAATTTCTTTGAAATGTCAGTTCCACGGGCCTCGAAACCCAATGTTGGATCACTAAAGTCTGGAGGGCTCTTCAAAAGTAGTGCTGATAAAATGCAGGCAAGGCTTACAAAAGAAATTACGAAAAGCACCAAAACTGGACGAAAAACCAGCAGTTTGTAATAGAAAATCATTTTCTATAAGTTGCTGATGAAGAATTTAACTTTTCTTTTACATTTTTTAATGTTTATTCAATAAGGATCTTTAATGAAATGACATTTTTAACTTTTTCTTATTTTTCGGAGGAGAAAAACAAAAATTTGTTTTTGTCAATAACACGCTAAGCCAAATTTGAATAATAGAAAATCGTTAAAAATTGCAAGTTGATTTTTGTGAGAAATATTAAATAACAGGAAAATTGCTTTTGATTTTTCTTTTATTCATATATATGAGTTACATTTGCTTTTATTCATCATATAACTATTAAGAAAAACTTCAAAAGTGGAAAAAAATGCAAATCAATTTATTGATGAATAAAAATCAGTTTTGGTTTCTTAAGAAAAAAATGTCAAAATAAAAATGAACAAATGAAACACTTCAATACAGTTTTTAGAAGAAAAATAAATACTTTTATCATGGATATGATCGACTAGCATGAATTAATACGAAAATCATTTCAACACATTTAAGATTTTTAAGAAAGAAATTTCACTCTTAATTTTCTTCAGAAATCTTTAAAAACTTTTTTTGTTTCGCATTACATTTATGTAAATAATTAAATAGTGCCGATTTTTGATAACCTACACATTACTTGCTTCATTGTTTCGCTTTCTTTTCATTTCATTGCTAGTTATTTTTGTTTTTCATTCTGTGTTTTCAGGTTTTATTATTTGCTTCATACTTGTAAAGTGCAAAAATATTTCACTTTTCAACATATTTATCGGGGGTGGCATTTCTTTAATTTATCTATAGGCTGGAGAAAATTTATTGCATGATTTAATTGTAGAGAATCTAACGGTGTGCATTGATTGATGATTTTTTGTTTTTGTTTCGTTTCCAAGCTCAAAATACGCAACTACTCTAATAAAGTTTAAAACTTTCTACATTTCTCTTGCATAAAGTAATATAATTGTAAAATTATATTTCCTTCTACTATTCATTTTCTTTCATTCTAATTCCAATTAAATGAAGCAAACTTTTATCTCTTATCTATATTAGGATTCCTTAATATTTGTTTTTCCTGAATGTAGATCTTTGTATGTAATTTTCCTTTTATATTTATAGATAATTTTTCATTAGTAACATTTGTCAAGAAACGTTTTTTTAATTTGTCAAAAATGTCACAAATTATTTTAATGAAAGAAATGAAAATTTACGTCACTTTAGTTTCTTTTAAATTCTATAATTTGAAGAATTGTTTTGTTTACATTTGACTTTCTTTGCGCCATTGAAATGTGCTCGATTTAACACCAATGCTTGATGATCCCTGACTGCCTGAGGTGATGTAATTATTAGTACGTCGTATTAAATTCGCTGCTGAATCAATACGATTACGGATAAGGCGCATTGCTGGGTTTGTGGCTATTCCAGTACGTTTATTTGATTTCCTACAGAAGAAAACAATTTCAAACTTCTTCTCGACACATAACAATTATTATTCGACTCACGCTTCTTTCTCTTTTTGCTCTTTGATGTTGTTACCCAAAATGATTCTCATGTGCGTGTCACGCGCAAAATGATCAGAATTCACCGACGTTAAGTTATTACTCATTGTTGGATCTTCATGTGGTGAACTCAAATCGCTACTTGGAGAATGCGGGGGCGTTGCGTATAACGGTGACATACAATCAAAAAGATCTGCTTCATTGACATTTCGTGCTTGTTGACTTGTACGATATTCATCAACATTCGGAAGTACTTGAGCGTGCTTTTTACCGTTTCCAACAGCAACACCAACAGACGGTTGAATGATGTGTGAACTTTTCGAATTATGATGACGAGAATGTTTTTGTAGTTGTTGGGTGAAGGAAATTGGAGCCTGAGGAAAAAATTTTCATTGAATAATTTTCATCGTTTGAATAAATTTCCAACTTACTTCGTTACTGCTCCCTGTTGATTGACTAGAAATGACGCTTTTCCTTTTCTTTGCACTACTCGTATCTGAATGCATCGTGTTCTCGTAGAAATTGCTACTTTGAGTTGATGTCGTTGCGTGATGTTGATGGCCGTGACTGTGACCGATGTTATTGTTAGCAGTTAAGAAGTTGGGATTATGAGGAGTATTTGGTGATGGTTGAAGAATTGATTTCTCATGAGGTTTATCAGGTGATTTTAATTGTAAGTTGGATTGATGTTCAGCTGTTTGAAAAGAAATTTTTATCACCGACTGTGACAAGATTTAACAAGATTTTCTTACTTTTTGCGTGATTTTCTAAGATTTTTATGACTCCATGACGATTCGATTTTGCTGCGAGTTTATAAGGCGTTCGTCCGCAATGGTCTGACTTCAAAGGATTTGCTCCATATTGGAGTAACACAGAAACACATTCTTCATGTCCCTCTTGAGCTGAAATTCCCAAAGCAGATGCGCCTTGCTTGCAAGCATGATCAGGAATGGCGCCGTAGTATAATAAAAGTTGCATAACTTCGTGATTTCCTTGCCATGCTGTAATAAAATCGTGAATTTCATTCCAAAGAAAATTAACTTGCATTGTAAACTCACCACATGAATGCAATGGCGAACGACTCTCAAGATCCAAAGCATTTACGTCAGCATTTCCAATTGTTATTAGCATTTTTACCATTTCAACGTGTCCCTGTAATGAATTAAAGTTTGCTTTTCTTGAAATCATGACAGAATTAATTATTCATAATGAATCTTAAAAGTTATGAGCTAATCAACATTTTTATTGTCATTTTACATAACAAACTCTCGTTAAGAGAAAATTAAATATAATTTCTTTAATTTTTTCCTATCGAGAGTTTATTGTTAATTTTGTTGTTTATTTTAAAAATAATTTTAAATTAATTTGTTGCAATTAAGCGAGTAAGTCAAGTCGCCCAATCAAGTCAAGTGAAAGAAATTTATCAAGTCAAATAAAGTCTTACCTGCCACGATGCAACATGAAGTGCTGTTCGACCTTCACTGTCAGGAATATTCACATTAACATTTGAGAAATCAAGAAGAAATTTCACAACTTTCAGCTTATTCTCAAGTGCTAAAATGTATAAAGTTGTCCTCGAATCTGCGTCTTTAAGATTTACATCACATCCGAATTTTAATAACGTTTGCATGCACTCAAAATGACTTTCAAGACATGCCAAACGGAATGCGGTTTTCCCATCGTGAGCACGTTGATCAATGCAAGCGGAATGAACATCCATGAGAGCTTGAATGACTGTGTTGTGTCCTTCTTGTGCCGCAAGATGTAAAGCTGATTTTCCTTCATTGTCACATTCGTCAATTTTAGCGCCTGATTCGAGAAGTTGAATGCAAATGTCAGCATAGCCTTCGAAAGCAGCGTAATGAAGTGGCGTCCATCCAGCGTTGTCTCTGTGAGTTTCGTCCAATCCTCGATCGAGAAGTTGTCGAACAGTTTCAAGATTTCCCTGTGCAGCTGACACGCTAAGACAAGTCCGTCCTTCAGAGTCCATGCAATCAATGCCACAGCCCCAGAACAACAAAAGTTTGACAACTTGAGCATGTCCACTTGTGCAAGCAGCCCACAATGGCGTTCGTCCCATTTGATCAGCAAGATCCGGATCGGCTCCATTCTCAAGCAAAAGTTCACAAATTTCTGCATTTCCTTCAAACGAACTCACCAACAATGGCGACATTCCTTCGTTGTCAGTTTGATCTGTGTTCGCTCCGTGCTCAAGAAGCGTGCTAATGACTTTGCTGTAACCAGTTGAACCACAAAGTGCTGCCACACATAACGCATTTCTACCATCTAAATCTGTGTGATTAACTTCAGCATTTTTCTGAAGAAGAATTTCCACAATGTCGTAATGTCCCATGTAAGACGCAGCAATCAAACTTGTTCTTCCTTGTCTGTCAATTGAATTTACGTTTGCTTTAGCAGCAATCAGAATTCTTACAATGTCTTCATTGCCACTCCACGATGCAGCTCTCAAAGCTGTTCTTCCTTCTTTATCAGCACGATCAATGTCACATTTCTCATTCGATATCAAAGCTTTGACAACTTCTGTATGACCTCCCCATGCAGCTGATCTCAATGGACTCCAACCATCAGCTAATTAGAAAAGATTTTTAATAAAACAAAATTTTCAAGAATGTTTTTTACTCACCATCAGCATGATTGACATCAACTCCAACTTTCTTACGATTTGTGTTTGGATCGATCTGAAATAAAGAAGATTTTAATTAAGAAATGACAACTTTGGATTTCTTATCAATCGTCTTCTCACCCAATTGTATTCCAAAAGAAGTTTCACAATCTCCAAATGACCATTTCGTGCTGCGATATTCAAAGCAGTTTGTCCATTGTGATCTTCAATTTCCAAGTCGATTGGACCTTTACAAGCTCGCAATGCTCGTTCCATGAGTAAATGATTGCCATCGTTCGCCAAGATATGAATGAAAGCTTTTCCTTTATGCATCTCAACATCGATTCGTTCGAATTTTGTTGAGTTGTCTTTGGCGGTTGATGGATCGTCGATCGATGATGCTAAATCCAAGTTGTTGTTATTGTTGTTAATGTTATTCACTTTTTGTTCGACCATGCAACTCTTTTCACTTGACAGCATCAATTCAGCGAGTTCTGAGTCAATTGTTTGCGATTTATCGGAAGGAAGCGGCGAATTCATCATTGAAGAGTCGCATGAAAGTTGAGAATCGAGATTGTTGATTCCAGTTTCCATTAACAGTTTCAATACTTTCGCGTCTGTGGGAAGACTCGGCTTGAAGAAGTCACCAAGAAAACTTGAAAAGTCACCAGCAAGTTGTCCATTTAGAAAATATTGAATCATTTTTCTACTTTTCTGTGCTTGATTTTGGTCTTGTTGGAATTCAATTTCACAGTTTTTACAACAGTTTAATGAGTTTGAGTAGAAGCAATCACTGAGATTAGCTTTCGATTCGAGGAGTATTAAAAGAACATCAAGTTGAGAGTTTTTGGTTGATAAATATTCAGCTGACTTTATGAGATGATAAACATAATCCCGAACTTTATTAGGACAAAGTTGATCACTGATCAAAGTATAAAACATGGCAATCATCAAGTGACCTTCATTCAAGTCACATAAAAACTTCTTCGTACTGAACTTCACATCGATGAGCCACTCGCAGAATGAATTGTGAAAGATTTTTATCGTTTCTCTCTCTTCGTCCACTTCCAAAATATTCTTCATCAATTCCAAACGCTTTTGAAACTCTTCATAGTCGATTGTAAAGTTGTAAGTTCTCAAACAATTGAATACAAAATTCTTATCGACATGATCGTTGCACGCTAGCAAAATGTTGAGAATTGGACGAATTTTCATGTATTGCTTTTTGTTAAAAGACTTTTGACAAATGTAAAGAAAGAGACCATAAAGTGTACATGGAATTAACTTAATCTCACGAAACGTGAAAAAGTTTTCTTTGATTCCACTCAAAACTTTCTTCAAGTACAGTAGACATCCATTGGACTTAATGTAAAGTTGATTCAAACTGTCAATGATCTCTTTGTTCAAGTTTATGCCACGAAAATCAACATTCAATCGATTAATGATATATTGCTGAACATCTTTCACGACATGACTCTTTCTCAGATCATCCAATGTTAGTTTCTTGAACCCGGAAAATAATTTCGTGATGTGTTTATTTTGTTTTTTTGCTGTGCACACAAGAAACAGCCACTTGGGAAGCAAGTGAATATGATTTGAAAGCAATTCTGCGATGTTTCGACTCTTTGTGTTGTTTTTACCTTTTAGTGTTGTGATGAGAGTGCCATCGTTGAGATAATTCTCGTCGATTGAGTCAATGAGCATTAAAAGCGCACTTTTTGGTGGCACAAGTTCAAGTAGTGGGAAGAGAATCGCTTTCTTGAAACAATCGTCGGGGTTCTTCTCAATATTGTCGACAATTAATGACTCAAATATTTCTGGGTTTTGTTGTAACATTTGATAATAAGCATCAGCAAGAATTGTTCGACAATCTTTTACTTTTGGTAATGGCGGTGGGCGTTCTGACTTCGGTTCATCATCTTCATTCAAAAGACTTTCTTTCGTTAATGATGAATTGACTTCTTGTTCCTTATCGACTAGAATGTTTGATTTGTCTTCTTCAATGGCATCACGAAGCTCATTAGCGATGTCTTCTTCGAGTTTTCGGTCATTTATGTCGGCTATGCCTTCACCTCCACCAGTTTGAATCAATTCATCGGAACTGTTCGATGGCTCAGCAGGTGACGGCGAGTTCTTCGTTATTTTATGTCCAATCTTGACTGGAATCTTCGACTTTTTACTTGGACTCGATGATTTCGATTCAATTTTACCTCCACTCGCTTCATCTTTGGTTGAAATCTTCTCGATTTGTTTCTGTAATGGCGGATGTGTCGTGTACTTTGACGACGTCTCTTCATCATCTTCATCATCATTTTGAATATTCTCAATTGGCGCCGATTGTTGTCGAATGACTTTCGTTTTACTTTGACAAAATTCAGCAACTCTTTGATTCAATTTAATTTCACTTAAAATCATTTCTTCCAATTCATGATCGACGACATGACTTGAACTGTTATTTGCTTCTTCTTCCTTCTTCGTCTCGTCTTTCTTCTCATTCTCAGTTGTTGTCTCAGCGACATCGCTTTTGTTCCATAAACTTGAGAAGCTGAGAATCTGAAGAACCATGTTTCGTATGAAAATGCTGAGACTATGACAATTTGGATTCTGACTGTTGACGAAGTAAAACGAGAGAAGTCGTCGATTTAAAATGCCTTTGGTTCCATTTGTTCCATGAATGATGTCATTGCAAATTGTCGTCTTTCCACTTCCATTTGAGCCCAACACAAGATAACCAACAACGGGAAGATTTGAGTTTTGCATCAGCTGTTGTTGAGTGACACCCGCAATTGTTTCAGGCAGTGTAGGTGGAAGTTTCTTGAAAGTTTTCTGTTCCAATGACATGGCAATTTTCTTAAGAACCCATTCTCGATTTAAATTAATGTTGGCTGTTGATGGCGCCAATCTCATTGAAACGCCTGGCGTTGATGTGTTGTTAACGACATCTTCCTTCGCTTGCAATGAAATTTTCGCTTGAAAATCAACCAACTTATTTATGAGTTTCTCAGTCTCATCCAAATCAGCGCAAGCTTCAATTGAGTCATCTAAATTTATGAGATCTTTATCAACTTCATTATCATCTCGAGACATGTTCAAAGCAGCATCTTCATCGTAACTTTCACCATGTTGATCCTTCAAAACATTCTGATGCACTAAATTTACGAAATGTTCTTTGCGAGCAAGATGAGAGAAACTCGAACCGATGTGTTCTTTACCCGGTGGTTCGACCTTTCTGTGCATGTGTGCAGTGTCTTTGAGAAAGTCTTTGATGCGATTCTCGCCGAGTTCATTGTTCAAATGTGTTCGATCCATTAGATTTCTTAGTTCGGTGTCGTCACAACCGCCATTGTTATTGCTGTGATGGTTCAAATTACTGATTTTCTCTCCATCAGGGCCTGGCGATTTGCGTGATTTATGGCGGTCGGATTTACGCAGTGGCGTCGCATATAAAGCGTCTTTATGGTTCATTAAGTTGTTCATTGTCAAGGGTAACTTTCGAGTGTCGTTGTTGTTGATGCTATTCGACGCTTTTCCTAAACGATAATTCGACGACTCTGACGATGCAAATTCATCATTTTGGTTGTTGTTGTTCACCGCTGACCTTTCAATGGGTTCTGTTACATTCTCATAAATTTCATCCTTTAAATGTGGCGATTTCGTTGACATTTCAGCTCCTGCTTTAAAATAAACATAGAAAGATAAAAAAGATAATTATTTACTCATGAGCAACGTCAAAGTGATTTATTAGAAGTAAAAAAAAATGTCAAGTAGCGTAGAAAAAGTGAAAATTCGCATGAATGTTTTTGTTTGTGACAACGAGTAATTAAAGTTGTTTCAAGTTTATGACAAAATTATTAACTTGAATTTAACATAACTGAGAAATCAACTTAAATATGTTCAATGACACGATAAACTTTCCTTCAAATATGTTTCTTATTTTCTTCAAATCGACAGATAGAAAACAAAATCAAAGCAAAATACAAAAAATCAAATCTAACAAATAAATCAAACGAAATTTCTTCATGTTATTGTGTTATCTTATCTCAAAGCGTTTGATTTCTCGGCAATTCGTTTGTCTTAAATGACGCAAGTAAACAGAAAGTTACCCTAAAGGCAGTGAAATACTCACATATGAAGACAGAAAACAAAAAGTAACAAAAAATAAACGTTTCGTTGATTCTTTTGCCATTTGACTGATGAAGAATCACTCGTGGTTTATATTTAGAAGACAAACGAGTATAACTAAGCAGCAAAATTATTTTATTAACGACAAAAATGTTTCCTAACTTATCATGTTTACCAATTTTATATTCATGAACATCAAATCGTTTCGCTTTTCACAGTTGTCGGCTTGATGAGTGAAATGAAAAGCGAGAGAAGGAATAACTTACACATGTTGTCAGATGTTCATGTAGATTGAGACGATTTGTGTTTTTTTGTAACCGAATACAAACCAAAAGCACGCAATTCCATTAATTTCAATGAATTTTACATGCAATTGAGAAGTCTCGCAACTTAAACACGATCAAATGTTTAAAATTAATCAGAAAATAATCTTCTTGTTGCGTTATGTAATTTTAATTGTGTTGTGACTCTACTGACTTCATTTCACTTTACAGAATTCTGATCTGCAGTCAACAATACAGTGACAAGGACATGACACATTTGAATATTGTGAAGTCTATGACAACGAAGTGAGAATCTTTTTAACAAACTTTTTCCTCTCGTTTATTTACTTTTGATGGCGACCAAAAATGGAACAAAAAAACTGTCGAAAACGAGCAAAGAAAATTGGATGCGAAATAAATTTTTATGACAATTACTTTTTCCTTTCTTCTTAAAATTACAGATAAGGGTTTGCAAAGATGACATGCGGAAAATTTCTGTTATCACACATTTAATGCTTTTATATTAAGTTGACCGAACAAAAATGTACGAAAATCTTTTCTCTACTTAAATATTTTATTCAAGGTTTGCATCTGTTTTCCAGTTTTTAATCTCCCAGCAAGTCCAACGACTCATGTTGTCATTTAGTTTCTACAAACATTTTAAAATACGAAATTGAAATCTTAAACGAGAGATTATAAACAATTTGTGTGGTTCCACAAATGTCTCCACTTTCGCTTTCTTAATTTTTTTGTACAAAATTTGAGTTTTCTGACCGGGAATTCCATAAATTTTTATGAAAACAGAATATTTTAATTACAAACACATTAGTAATAAGCCTGGAGGATTGAAAATTCCAAATGTACCGCTTCAGCTATTACGGCGGAAGAAGAAACTACAACACCGAGCAAACATTGCTATGAAAAATAAACTTGACGGTAGCACAACGCAACGACCAACGCAATCTTAATGGTAAACAATTTTAGATATTTTTTTCACTTGCTTGGTCAACAACCCAAGATTGTTCTTAATTTATTTAGCGTATTTAGGGCAGCAAAGTCACGTGAAGTAGGCGAGGTTTATGGCGCCTTAAGTCGTGTGACATTTTTTTATTTTGGATTCAAGCTTTCAATACGGAATGAAAACTCATCAACATTTATTTGCATACTAAAATGGCAATTATATTTATTTAAACTGACGGCGGTTTGTTGGTCAGGTTTAATGTTTAATGTTTATATAACGCGCCACAACAAATACGACGACGACAAATTTAATATTTTATTGAATAATGACTGGAGGTGGAACAAAAGTAGTCGAAATGGGACAGAGAATACCTCAAGTGGACACTAATGAGACATAATCCAGTTAAAATGGTTAAGTGAACTCATGCGTGCATGACATAAGTCAATAAAAATCAGAGAAATACTTTTTCAAACATTAAGTGTCAATTGAATCAACAGCAATAAACTTTGATCTATCTAATCCAAAGAACAAAACATGCAATGATAATAAGACAGAAGTTTAAGAAGAGGGAAACACATTGACAAGTAATGGCAAGATATCCATTGAAATGTGTGATTTCAGTAAGAACAGAAGAATTTCCTGTGAATTTTTCTTACTGTTTGATTAGAAAAAAACTTTTTTCTTTTTCCAACTCACAAAGTTCTTAATTTTGTTTCTGTCTAATCGATAAATCTTGTTTTTGCTACATCACAAGACAAATCTTAAAGACCAGAAAGGAAAAATCTTTAAGAGAAAAAAGTTGAAAGGAATTTCTTTTATCTTTTGATTTTTATCCCAAAGAAAATCTCAAAGCATTTATTAACGTTATGGAAAATGTTTTCTTTTTTCGCGATAGAATTCCAAAGAGAAACAACCCGCAAAAAAAGGTGAATTCAGGTCATGTGAAGCCTAAAAATAAAACCAAATAAAAGGAAATGAAACGCCAGCTTGTGGAAAACAAGAAATTTGATACTTTTTGCCATTTTTCCTAGCATGAACAGATTCAGAATTTCTAAACATTGAGCAATAAATTTTTATCATGATTGATTGACCTTCAACTCAAATAAATTATACAATGTAAATAGTCATTGCACTTTAAAATCTTTGAAGTTAAATTACCCATACTTGAAATCCATTGAACTGTCTGAGATATTTTTTAATATCAAAACAATTTCGATGAAGTTGCCAAAAAATGCCTTCAAAAGTATGAAAAAGAATTTCACCTTAAATCTTAATATTGCTGTTGGGATTTCGTGATATTCTTAACGATTATTTCAGTTACTCCAACGGATTGTGAAAATATGTTTGTCTGATAAATTTCAACCAGAATGTTTTCATCAATTCCTGTTCGCAACCGAACAAAATTTTCATACAACTGCAGTCTGAGAGTCTATGAAGTGAATCATCGTCTCTCCTTTATGATTTTGCATGTTTTCTTTTTTATAATTTCTGTATCAAGATTCATTCTGTGTTATGCTTGGTTCGCTCAAAGTTCAACAAACCATTACAACTCCTGTCTGATGTTTTAAATTCTACTTGAAACCAGAATATTTATGATGCAACGTGTGTCGTTATAAATTTCGGATTTAATAGTTTTGATTTAAATTTGTAAAGTCGTCTGATAATTTTCTTTTCTCCCGTTAAAGAGAAGATGTTAATGACGAAACTTTACAGCTCCATTTTATGTTGCACTTTACAGCGATGAGATGAAATACCCAAAAATAGAACCACAAATTACGTTGTGCAATGCGCGGAAGAAAAAAGATTTTGTAAAAAGATTTATGACATGTCGGTATGTCACTACAACAGATTGTTCCAGCTTTCGTCTTGCTTAACATTTTTATCATTCATACAAGATGGGAATGAAGGAATGCGATTATATTTGTATTAAACGAACAATAATTAGATAAAGACGTGCTTTCCCTTCGTTGAATTTTAAACAAACATTCAGTTATCGATTTTATATTTGATGATCTTCGAGAAGAAGACAACAAATTAAAAATAAGTTTGGAGATAAGACTCTTTATCAAAGTTTGTTTATAAGCTTTCAATATGGATTAAGTATTGAGATAATATTAAAATGATTGTCAATGTAATCGAGGATATAAAAAGATTAAGATTTCGTAAAGAGCTTGAAGTGTTTTTTTCTTTTCTCCTTGGCTTACTCATAAAAACGTCGATATATCTAGTGTCGTAAATATTTGGTTATAATTTATTCATTAGTATTCTTTTTATTCCCAAATTCTGATTCATTCAGCAGCAAACAAAACGAAAAATAATCGATAGTCGAGTTAATTTTATTAAATTGACGGTCAATGAAGCACTTCACAAAAAAACTGATTTGCTTCGCCCATAAATGTCAATAGGAAGGGAAATGGTCGACTAACGTTCTCTAATTATAGCTTGCCGCCTTTGAAATTCAACAAATTTCACAGCTGAGCAGGAAAAAAATCACAGAAAATGAGTTAAAGTTCATCATGTACATAAGCTAATAAGAAAGGGAGGAAAGAGCCCCAACGATGTTGTACATTTTATGAGTTGTTGAAAGTCGTTGAAAGAAAGATTGATGATAAAATTCATAATAACAACCTAAATGTGATCCAATGCGAATAATTTTTAAAATTCTACATTGAAATTGAACTCAAACTTGTAAAACGATTGATGGGAAGTCAATAATGATAATTATATGTTGCGTGCAAATGTAAAGCTAACTGTGAACCAATTCAAAAGAGTCAACGCATTGAGAATTAAAAATTTTTGCACTGCTTTTGTGAAATTTTGTTAAAACACTTTTACATTGCAACAATAACAAACAGCGGGTGATGGAAATTGTACAGAAGCCTTGAAACGATTGAATGAAAGAAAACGAATAAAATATTTAAACGCTTTAATTACTTCCATCTTTTTATAAATAAAGAGCTTATGAAATCATCTGTTTAAATATTAAATAATTTTCATTTGTCACGACTTGACACACATAATTGTAAATCTTCTGTAATTTAATATCTATTTACGATATTTGAAAACATGCTTACCGGCTGATACTATTAATTAACAATTTTTTTTTGTCTCCTTCAACAATTCGTGTGTGACGAATTTTTATTCCTTTAAGCTGGGGTTGGGCCGATGAAATATAATTCCTCAAATGATATTTTATATCCTTACGCGTTTAATTTATCCGCACAATCATTAATAATAATGCCAAATCTTATAAGAAATTTTTTCACTTATCAGACAGTCGCTTTGTTCCACTTCTATACTTGTGCGGATGAGGAAAAAAATATCAGGAAGACGGTCTTCTTCTTATTATTATTGTTCACGTAGTTTTTGTTGTGTATTTGATGATAAGCCAAACCTACGCAATAATGAAGCTCAATATGAAACTATTATCATATTTTAAGTTGTTTTCCATTCTTCACTACATAATGCTCTTATTTCTTTCTACTTGTATCACTTTTAAAAAGATCCAGTGTCACTAAATCTTCTTTTAAATATGAATGAATGAATCATTCGCAACACAGAAATCAATTTTACAACAATCAAGAACGGATGATTGAAAAAACATATAACTATGTAGGCTTAAATAGATTGAAGAACCAAATTATTTTGAAACAATAGTCTTTTGTCTAGCTCAAACCACAAAAATTTACTATTTTTATATTAATTGAACGCGTTTTTCATTTAAAATTCTTAAATAAAGTCGGAGCGAGACTTCAATTTTTCAGATTTTTTTTTTTTATTCCAGGGGAATGAAAATTGTTTTGAACCGTGATGTTTATTTAAACTGCGTAACAGTTCAATTCAAAGACCATAACGGTTCAATAAACTGAAATGAGACGAACTTACCGCCAAAAGTAGGCTTTGTAAACAAACTAAAAAAAATTTTAATCTAATTATTTTTTAAAAAGAATTTATTTAAAAACTCACCAAGTGATTAAAAAGCCAAGTGATGGTACGAACTCGTTCTCAACAAAGTGAGTAATATTCTTATTTTCAATCATACAAAATTCTCATTTTTATTGCATTCTAAAGCTGTTTCAGAAAATCCAACACAGAATCAAGAAAAAAAGACCACCAAAACTAAAAAGACTGTGAAAAAGGTTCAACCTGAAGCATCAACGACTATTTTGGAACGTGTAGATGTTGCAATTGAAGACGCCAAATCAAAGCCAACTCCGAAAAAGAAAGTTTTGCGTTCTCAGAACAAAAATGGAGAAAGTTCTAAATCAACGGCAAAATCCGATTTAGTTGAAAATGCCGCTTTGAAAAGAAGAGCTCCAAAGAGAACTAACAAAGCTGAAGTGAAAGTTGTTGCAGGTGCAAAAAAGGAAACTGAAAATGGTGATCAGAAAAAACCGTCGACGAAAACTTTTGATACCATTTCTGAAACAGTTGAAGACAAAGAAAATCTCGAAGCTAAAATTGAAAAACCTGCGGAAACTTCACATCCTTTACCTTTTGAGACAAAATTATCTCCTGGAAAATCAGTAGACTCAAAAGGAAAACGTAAATCTCCAATCAAAAAGAAAGACGTTCAATTAAGTAAAACAAAAGCAGTAGAAAGTAAAGTTAAAAATAGTTTGCTGAATAAAAAACTTTCGGAGCAACGGAAACAGCGTGAAAATAGTTCTGCAATTACTGGAACTAATTTACCATCTACAAGTGCAGAAGCAAAGGAAATTAGCGAACCAATCTCGACGACAATAAAAGAAGCTGAACAGGAACCATCAGAAGTTGCTAAACCTAAAAGAGGTCCAGCTAAAAATAAAAAGCCGGTTAAAGCTCAGAAAAAAACTGTGAAAAAAGATGATAAAACTAAAACTATTGAAACTGAAAAAACGCACCAAGAACCAAGTGAACAATCAGAAGATGTCAATGATGAAGAAGAAACTAACAAAGATAATCATGAAACAAATGAAAAACCTAAAATTGCGACAAGAAAACGTGGGCGAGTTAAGACAGAGAAGAGTCCTGAAAAACCAGTCGAACCCAAGAAGAATAACAAAACACGTGCGCTTAGTAAACTTAAATTGATGATTGATTTTAAATTTCCAAAACGAACATCGCGTAGAACTAAAGCAGCAAAGAGAAAGTCTGAAGTTCTTCCTTCAACATCTTCAGGTTCAAAAATTGTTGAAAGCAATGAACTCTTGTCAGAAAATTCAAAGAAATCATCTCAACCATCATCATCGAAAGTTGGAACATCATCAAATGCAAGTGAAACTATTGAAAAACCTGATAATGAGAATGTCGATCCTTACAACTTTAATTCATCTCAAACTGAGAACAAAAGTGTCAAAAAACCAGTCAAGTCAAAGAAACGCGTGTCGCCAAAGCCTGGAGGAAATATGGAACTGCTGATGCAGAAACAAGCTTTGGATATTCTTTCTACTTGTGGTGTTCAGTATGATTCGTTAAGAGCTAAGATTGAGCAACAAATTAAAATGCCATCAGCACCAGAAGTTTCTTCAACTTCATCAGCAGATTCGAAGATGAAACCACAAAAGACGTTTCAGGAAAGAAATCTTCAGCTTGAAAATCCTTTTCATTCTAAAGTTTGGAATTCACCAAGAGCATCGATTTCTCCTCCGTTCTCAGAAGAATCTTTTGGTCCTAAATTTGTTTCCGGCTCGCCACCAATTCAATCATCGTTTGCAATTGCAATGGCAGAAAAAGCAAAGAGAACTTCTTCGGGATTAATTTTAAAAATACCAGCAAGAGCAAGTTATGTGCTTGAATCTGAAGAGAAAAATGAAGATAGTCAAGTTTTGGGAGATTCAAATGCTGAAAATATTATTCCAGACGGGATGAAATCGCCCAAGAAGAAGGAAATTAATAAAAATCGAAGTCCGCTTAAAGCTCTTGCGATTTCTAAATTGGATGTCACTGAAGTTACTGAAAGCATCACAGAGATTGATGAATTGACACTTAAAGACAAAGAAGAGAAGGAAGAATTTAATCAACCAACAACTTCAAAGAAATCTAAGGTCTTGTCATCATCAACACCTATTGGATTAAAAAAAACCAACACGAGAACTTCTTTTGGTCATCTTTCTGGGATTGAAGAAAATGCAGAAGAAGAAGAAGTTAAGGTTGCTAAATTAAAAAAAGTTCAGGTGATTATCAAAATAATTTTATTCATATTAAATATTGATTTTTAAACATTTTAAGGTGGAACAAAAGTCGGTCCCCAGTCGTCGTCTGCGACGAGCTGCCAAGCGGCTTAATCGCATAGAAGAAAATTAAATTGACTTCGATCATGATCCATCACATCATTAATTAAAACTTTCTATTCATTCCAACAAAATTAATTAAACAACATTCCAGATATTATGTTTGCAATAAAATATTTCTTTATACTCTCAGTTTTTATTTTAATTGAGTTTAATAGTTTACAAATGAAACGATAAATGCGGAAGTTTATTCGTAAAATATTTTATAATATTTCAGTGACCAACTGATCTGCTTTTCCTTGAAATGATTACAAAATTTTAGGATTGGCAACACGAAAGATGTTTGGAACCATCGAAGAAATTGTCATGAAAAGTTCTTCGGAAATGTCGTGAGGTAAAAGCAATTGAAGAGTGCTTAATTCACTGCCACTCCAGCTTGAAGATTCAATCATGAAACCTTTTGTGCATTTAAGAACAAGTTCAGCTCTTCGAACACACCACGACATTGTCATCTCTTCCGACATTTGATGCTTTAGTAAAGCTGGAATTGTTAATTGATGGCAATCATAACTATTTGCAACTTTCAGAATATTTCTCAAGCCGAGAATGCAAGGATGTCTTGAATTCATTTCAGTCGTTGAATCGTCATAAACAAGATGGAAAATGAGATGAGCTTGCGATAGATTGGAATGTTTTGTGATGAAGAAGTCGCCAGGTTTCAAACGTGTTGACATCGATGTTTCACTACTTCCTTCATTTATCTTCTTCAGATCATCTTGAATACTTTCAAGTTGAGTATCAATCGGATCGAAATGAAATTCAGTTGAAAGATTTGCATTTCTTATGATTTTCTTGTTTGCTGAAACTTGCGATTTTCCAGGTGGAACAAGCACAACAATTCCGCATAGAGAGCTTGAATAAACGCCCAATTGAATATTTCCATTAATCATCAGTTCATTGTTTTCATTAACTAAAGGACTGCACAAATCAGTAATATCAGCAGCTAAGATTCTTATGTTGTGCATCGACTTAAGTTGTGATCCAAGATAAATTGTGAAAGATTCTTCCAATTGAAAAGGTTTCTCACAAACATTGGGAAACATTGAAGCTTTGTTTCCAACTGGTGTTGAATCAGAAGAAGACATCAATTTGTTACCAATCTGTGATGTTATCCATTCACGATATTCATTTCTCTGGTGACCTTTTTTAGCTTCCAACTCCGATTCGTATTGCTTGCGCATCAAATTCGATGCACTGTATTGTTGAGCTAGAAGCTGATTTATATCATCTGATGTTGTTTCAACATCAAGAAGATTTATCTTGGAATCCATGACCTCCTGTTGAATCTGATTCAGTTCACCGATTTCTTGTTCCATTCGAAGAACAAATGACGAAATTTTTGATGCATAATTTTTTTCCTTCAGCAAAATATCTTGAAGGGAACTGGAATGGACCATTTGATGGTAATACTGAGCAAAGATTTCATCGTTAGATGGACAATCTTTTTCACAATAATCCAAAAGTTCATCTGTAATATTTAATTTGGATTAATCATTTCGATAACATGAAAAATCTTTTTTTATCACCTTTATACCATTTCTCGAGGTTTTTAACAGTTTCATCGACTGTTATCTCATTGTTTCTTAACTTTGTGATGACTTCTTCATCGAGCTCATCATAGTTTTTCTTTGGTACTTCATCACTAGCAGAGTTCTCATTAAAAATATTTTCAATCATTTTTTTTTAAAGATATCGAAGAGAATCAAAACAAACCCAAATAGAATTTTTTGTGGATGTCAACAAAACATAAGAGCTTTAATTCTAATTATTTATTATTAACGTCAGTAAATATTATTGAAACCGATCTTAAATAAAAGAGAATCAATAACGATAGAATGAATAAATGAGACGATTCTTAAAAGTTTAAGTAAAATATTCAAACTGGGAGGCTTTCAGAAATATGCTGCACGTTAAAGATTTGAATTTTAAACGAAATTTACCCGTTAAACTTTTTAAAATCAAAATTTATTCTTCTCTTGGATAATTTTAATCTGTTCAGATGATTTGCGTTTATATTAAAAGATATCTGAAAGTAATTTAAAAAGTAATTTTTAAAGATAGTCACAGCATAATTATGCAATAAAACGACTTACTTAACATAAAAGATATTGATGAAGAAAAAGAATTTTAACATTTTTAATATTGTTGAGATTCAATCTTTTTTTCTTCTTTCTTAATCCTTTTTCTTCAGTCAAAGGCTTCGAATATATTAAAAATTTTCGTAAATATTTTTTAATTTCATTAAAATTTAACCTTTCTCCAGGCTATTATCTATATTTATATAATTTTCTTCAATTTTCAAATTGATTTACTTTTGAACTTTTTATAGATATTTTTCCCGGAAAATAAAAAAGAAGGAAAATTTCAGTATCTATCAATTTGTTTTATTTTTCCTCAATTTTCTTTTATCGTAATGTTGCAAAAAAATTCTTCCCTTCCTTCCAATACATCATCCTATCTATAAATGAAGCAGCAAAAAACTATAAACTCGACCGTTTTAAGGACACTTTATGAGTTTGTCATAAAAAATTTCTTATTTTTAATTTTCTAGTGGACACATGAATGAAAAAGTTATTCAATTTGAAAAGGGTGAGAAAAAGTTTGTCACGATACTAACTTGAATTTTTTTCTTATTCGGTCGGAAATGAGAAATTAAATGAAACTTTGGTTGTCAGTGTCAGTTTTCTTTTTACAATTCCAATTCCTACAAGGCGAGTAAACAAAAGCGATGAAAAGGAAAATAGTCAAGAAAAGAGTTACTTTAACTCGACACTCAAGCATAAACTTTATAAATTTTCAATTTCCAATTTTCAACACGTAGAAAACTTTTTCGCTTTGGCCCGAACTTCTATAATGCTTCATTGTGTTGCTGATGTTCTACATGAAGCCCAATAATGTTGTTCAATTATATATTTTTGAAGAAAAAATTTCTATGAACTTTTTATGACAATAAAAAATAAGCCAAAAGCTTGTTTGAAGCTTTCGGGATGTGAGAAGAAATTTATTTCCTCGTCACATTTAGGGGTGAAAATGAAGAGACCGGAAAAGAAAATTAAATAACTGTCTCAAAAAGATACACAAGAAGGAAGAAGAAAAAAACTTCAAAAGTATTGACGAGAAGGAAGAGAAAAACGTAAGTCTATCGAGTAGCGAATGAAAATCGCAAAAATAAATATTTAAACATCATTGGAAGCAGAAGAGAAATTTCATAATCGAAAAACCACAATCCTGTGTCGATAAAAACATGACGTCTGAGCTCGATTTTTGGCAATCTCATAAGCAAACATTGAACTGTTTGTGGGAAAAGCGGAAATGTTTCTTGCTTACATTTTCAAGGATAAACTTATTTTAAAAAAGATATTGAAGATCTCGCACATTTTTACTTCAATAGATCAACAACGTCATTATTGGGATTTCATGAAATTGAAGATTAATGTATCTTGATAGATATTTTCCTGATACTTTTCTCTCCTGAAGTGCTTATTGGAAATTCTTTTAAATTTTTAAGAACAAAAACATTTCTATTTAAATTCGTGAATTTTTTCACACTCATCGGAGATTTGCTTTCGCATGATAAAATTTAAAAAGCAAACAATTTCATTTATTTCAATTTCATGCTTCAATATTTGATATTGAAAGAAAAATTCAAACAAAAGCAATCACAATATCATAGTTCGCAACTTTTTAAAGAAAAACAAATGACAAACAAAAGTTTGCATACCTAACAAAGTCCCTCATATCACCTCAAAGCGCTAAGGTGGATTTGCAATTTCATATGCTTACTTGCAAACTTTGTGTACTTATATTTGCTCCCTTTAGACTTTGAAAAGTGAGTGGAAGTTTGTTCTCTCTTGTATGAATAACAAATGACCCTCTTTAAAGTCGTCTCTCCAGGAATAAACGACATTCGGTCATGGATTTGTTTAGTTTTCCCGTCTGTTTAAACATATCTCAATAGGGATTACATGGAATAGAATAACGCTTTCATAATTAATTCCCACCGGATTTTGTGGTAAACAAGATAAAAAAAAATTTCACGATGATTATTTGCATACATGGATGGGTAAAACGTCGAGTGTAATTAACAAAGACTTATTGTTATTCAACAATATTGCTTCAAACTTTTCAAAAAGCTACAAAAGGAAAGGAAGAAAATTGGTTTTTGACGTTTGCATAATCAATCAATGGAAATTTTAATTAACATAGAAAAATTGTAAAACGAGGGAAACTCTGCGGGAAAACTGTTCATTGTAAAAGAATAATGAATTTTCATCAATTTTTCATCAATTTAATATTAAATCAAACTGATTGTAACTAAAAATTTAAATGTTCTCAAATATTTCAATTAAACTTTTTTAATTTCATATTTAATTTGTAATCAAAGTTTCCTAAATTTCGGAACTATCTTAGCAAGTTTAATGAAACACTTTCTTCTCAACTTGCATGTATCTTATAATAAATAATCTCTGATGCTGATGATGATAAATATTTAGATGATAAGTGCTGCTATGTAACTGTGTAATTCATAGTTGAGTTTCATAACGAAAACTTTTTCAACTCTCGAGAGAAAACCTTTTTTTTTTGTTTGCTGTCTGCTTTACAACAACTTTATTCCTAGAATGCATTGCACAACCAAACCCAATGCAATTTTATGACATAAATATATACAAAATACTTCTACGATTTCATTGTAGTGATGGCATCATTCTGTAGTGAAGACAATTAAACTGTATGTGTTAACTGCAATTTATGCTGTGATGCAAACTTTGCTTTGAACATGATGTATGTATGTAGATGAATGTGAAATGAATGCCGTTTTGCAAGACTAACGGTAAAGTTTAAATATATTTTTTCTAAACTGAAAAACTATTAAAAATTTTCTCCCTTCCTTCAAGGAAATTAATGATGGTACGTGAGATGGAAGAATGAAAAGTTTTTCATAGCTGAAAGTGCACCATGCACATGCACGTTTCATTCTCTGTAATGGAAAGAAAGATGACAACAAAATTCTTTGGATAGAAATTAATTCCAATTTCAAATATAATTTTGATATTCATTTCACAGTTGAGTTTCATTGTTTCTTTTATTCCTTTAATATTTAATCAGAACATCACGGAAGAGTTTTCTGTATGAAACTTTCAACATTTTTTTTCACAAAATCTTGGCAAACTCAAAATCGCACGGGACAATAAATGTTGAAAGAAATCCTTTTGTCAAAAGTTGAAAATCTGTTAACGTTGATCTTGAAGGTGTAACATTATGATGTCTCTTTTTCCTCTGTTTTCATTGTTGAAATAAAATAAAGCAGAACAAAGTTTGTGTCTACTCTTGTATGAATTGAAGTGTTTAAAATCCTTTTGCCTGAAACTAAGTATTTATACAATCTTTGACTCAAACTTTAAACCTCCATCTCTCTTTCCCTCTTCTGTCGTATTTCTAACAATCATCTTGTGTCATGGCTCATCATTGCGTCATCATTGTCTGAAATTGTTGAATAATTCATAAACGAAATCATTTTTCACCCATTGTCTGTCTGCTACGAAGCAAATTTTCACTCACTTTAAAAAGCAGAAGCACAAGGGATTGTTTGTGAATCATGTTATTTATTGCTTTCATTATTGCTAAGTATAAAAATGCTAAAATATTTTTAAAAAATATTGAAATACTCACAAGGGATAAAAAAAGGATCAAATAATTTTGAAGAACATTCTAGTTTTCAGAAAAAAGGTTCAGTTATGTACTGCTTTTCATTCAGAAAATAAAATGAGCTGAAAGTTTGCTCTTATATTGATAATGACATACGTTCAACATCTGACTTCAAAAAAGAAGGAAAAACTAAACGGAATTTGAATTGAAAATTGTTTAGGTCACCCAACTATGGGAAAGTTAAGAAGAAGAAGAGAAAAGAAAATTCAAAATCGTGAAATTGTAGAAATATATTTCTGCGATTCAATTGAGGAAAAAAAGGGATTGGAAAATAATCTTACAAGTTGAAGAAAAGCGAAATAACAATTTTATATAAAGGAAGAGAAATGATATTTCGTTTTCCATGGAATATTCTTGCTGCATATGCCTTGGAGCTCTTCAAGAAAGTTATTATTTTTCGTTTACTTCAGCTGAATTGAAAATGTCTTTATTGAGTGGCAATGGCACTGAATTTGAAGAGAAGTTTTCAAATACCTACATAAGTATTTCTTTTTTCCTACCCTCCTTCGAGTTACATAATTATTCGCTTCAACAAGAATGCCTTCGGAATTGAATTTTTAATTTTATTATTTTTACATTCTTCTCATTCTACTTCGTAGACAAATAAATTTCGTTTTAAAATTACAACTTAAATGCTTATTTTTCTTCTCTTTTTTGCATCTTATGATAATGGCTTTCGGAAAGCTTTAAAATATTTAGGTATCTAAGTCTTAAATTTCAAGAAAACTTCTCATTATCTATGTTGAATATAGGAGGAAAGTCGCTTTTAAAAATTACAGCAGATATCTTTCAATTTAAATGTGCAGGAGAAATTTACAAACTTCTTCTGCATTAAATAAAACGGAGAAGCTTCCGAACAACATAAAGCACTTCATATCATCATCGTTTCAAGAAATTTAACTTCCTGAATTCGACTACATTTACTGTTTATTTTTTAACGCTAGTTTGATACGACACTCAGAACTTTGTTACGAGGTAAGTTTAAGTGTCGAGTTCGGTTATGATATATCTAGAATTTCTTTAGGTGATAAATTTAGTTTAATAATATTTCCCAGCTACTAACATATATCTATCCCAATGTAACTTGCGGTTTCTCGATATCAACTCAAGCTGTGTGTGACACATACACGTTTTATGGCTTTATGTGTTATCGGTTTCTTGCTTAATTTTTTATAATGCACATGAAAATAGCAAATGGACAAAAATATGTGCCTTTCCTATCAATGACTCTCTTTCTAGCTTTTTTTTATTTCCTTCGTCCCTTAACCTTTCTCGCCCATCTACAAATGTAATGATAGGAAATGAAGTGGAGAGGCTTTCACTGTTAGACACGCCACGCTGTCCAAATGATATCTTTCTACATGTAGCGATTGCTGAGCAAAAAAATATGTCTTTTAAGGAAGTGAAATTATATATTCATTTCTCTACTATCTTAGTTTCCTTCTCTTCATTCCTGGCCGAAGTCACAATTGTTTTCGAACGTTTTGTGCTGAAAAGGGTCATTTTATCATGTCATTTACTTCGTTTCCATATTATCTCTCCCACCACTTTATCCATAAAAGTATTCGGTATTGAGTTCGGTAGACCACACATTTCGGTTGAAATAAATACATTTGTAGATTTTTTTTTTGTTTGTTTCTTCTTTTGCTTTCATCTTGTAATATGGTAGACAAGGTTTTGTTCTAGCCTCTGCTATCAAATACATGAGATACTGGTTTGTATCAAGTCAACCTTCCTTCCACAACAATGACTTGTCCACCCGCTTTCTTTATAACTTTTTCCTTCCCCACAAATTTGTCGGTTACAATGTTGTTTCCAATTGATATCGCTTGACAAATTTACATTACACAGCATGGAGTCAGTTGTGAAATTGTTGAAATGAAAATGATTAGAAAATAAAGTCAAACCATCGGTAATTTAAATTTAAAAGTGATTTTTCATGCCTTCTAAAGCAGATATCGTAATAATTATCAGAAGTCTCGGTAAACGGAAGAGACGAAAATAATTGTTTAGTTTGACAAATTCTTTGCTTAAATGCTTAAATAAGGGTGACATTAAAAAATTTCCCTCACTCCATTTCTGTCGAACATTTATTTTATAGGCTCAAGGCGTGAGTAAAAATCTTTAGACTCTGACTGAAATTGAATGATTTTTCCCTTCTTGATTTTCCCTGATAACGGTCTGGTTGGTTTCTTCCTAAAATGTTGAGATGTCTATCAAATTCAAAAGATTATTTTTTTCTTCTTTTTTTGAAGGAGATCATTTTTTTTAATACAGTGGAACTTCGATAAACAGATAAACCTTGATAAACAGATATTTTTTTGTCCCCTTGAATCGAATTTGTATGAAAAATTGCCTCGATTAACTAATGCACCTTCAGCCATCGAAGTTCCACTGTATCACAAAAATGAATGCTTCTCTCAACATGATCTAAGGAAGAGACTTATAAAGTTTTAATTCGGTACAACATTATTTAAAAAATTGTTTTGAAATAATCTCACATACTTACCAACCAATTGAAATTCATTTCTTGTTTCACCACACCTTTTTAAATTAGAAATTCTTGTTCATAGTTGAGATAGTCTTATATGGGATATTGAAAAATATGAAGCTTTCATCAAACTTCTGCTTCGATCCTTAAAAAATTCAACTCGAACATGAAGAGCACTTGGAATGTAGTCTTAAAGAAGAATTTTAACTTTTTCTATTTTTATACTTTGAAGTTAAGTTTGTCGTCATTTGCAGATAATTTTACAAACGTTTTTCTTTTCAGTAAAACACGAACATTATCATAGTAATTTCTAAGCAATAATTCAACAACTTCATTCTATAAAAATCAAGCCAAAAACTTTTATTAGGTAAGTTTTTAAATTGAATAATTTCATCGTTGTCAAGACTTTCATACTTTGGTAACAAATCTTCTGCTGCGATTTAAGAAGAGAAATAGCAGATAGGAAAATCTTTGAGTTTGATCATTTGCCATGAAATCACGAGTTTTACCAATCCTTCTAAATGATTTAGCTGCAGATCCTTCCCTAGTCTTGCTTGAGGTCAATACTAAGCCTGAAAATTTCCTTTTAAATAGCATTTTGTTTTTCCCCAGATTCTTTCGATATTTAAGAGCTTTGTTTCCATTCGATTGAATAATGTTTTCACTTCATTTGGCTTTCTTTTATATTGTTAATAAAATTTTGGTAGATTTAAATTCCCTTCGATATCAAACTTTTGACAACATACGTAAAAGATGAATTTAGTGACAGCAGGTAAACAATTCTTCTTCTCTCTTTTTTTCTCACTATAATTTGTGGAAGTTCAAGTGAGAAAAAAGGAAAAGGTAAATATAATAAAGTTTCCGTGTGACCTATTTGAATTAAAAATGCATGCTACATGTAAGGGATCGAGTAAGAAAAAGCAAAGTTTTAAAAATTAAAACTTTTCAACAACAGATATCTACACGTTGAGGGTAGATATTTTATTTTGTTTGAGGTTCTGTTTATGCTTGTTTTCTAAATTATGGCGTGGGAGAAGTTTTGCTTTATTTCGTTTTAAAAAAATTAGTTAAAAATTCATATTTCATCCTCATGTAACATTTTTGTGCAGCGTTTCATTCTTTCATATTTCTCGTACATATCTTGATCTCATTTCTTGTCTTTGATGATTGTTTTGCTACAAGTCATCGGAGTCATAGCTTGGATTACATTTAAAATTTTTCTTAGAAAAATTCAGTAATCTTTATGTTACTCTTCGAATGAGTTGTGATAAAAATAAAAAGTTTTACTTGACAAGTATATCATTGACAAGCTAGGAAAAAACATTAAGCTTCCATTCAAAAGTAATCTCACATTTTTCGTGCCAATATCCGGATATATTTGCCATCAAGACTAATCTTCACTTTAGGGCACAGCTCATTCTTCTGCGTTGTTATACAAGTATCTTTATAAGATAGAAACAAAACCTACTCTCGAATAAAAGACGATAGGTAAAGCTTTGTTGATGATTTAAAAAAAGAAGGAAAGAATAGAAAAGAAGGGAGTGGTAAAGTTTCCTTTCTATTCTTTCTCTGAAGTGAAGACTGAAACAACAAGTTGATTTCTATGGAATCATTTCAAGGAACAAGACTTTTGAACTTGCTTAGGGCGAAAGGTTTTAATTTAATCATCCACAGGTTTTCGACCCTTGGGTAAAAATTTGATCTTTTATATCCGGTACCTGTTATTTCAAGAAGACTAAAAGAAGATATTTGTTACCACCTCCTTATTTAACACGCATATTGTTTGTTTATTTTTATTACACAAAGTAAGATATAAAGGGAAAGGAAATGAATCCCAAGATAAGGAGAAGAGAATTTGATGAGATGATGTGTCTATGGCATTGTCAATTCTTCTTATTCAAAGCTATTGTTGTTTCAATTTCACGAGATTCGAAAATGATTTCATGATAAATGACTGGCCAAGACCTGAATGCTGTCTTGTCATCTTAAATACTTTTAATGAAAGTAATTTCATGATAAAAACTGATGAGATGTTAGGAATACAATGTAAAGGATAGAAGAAAATGATTCTTTTTCTCAATTATTTCTCATCTATCTCAACAAGCCAAATACTGAAGTTTATTTTGATGCCTTGATAAGTCCGAAATGCGAACCAAGATTCAGCAAAATTCCATTGAAACAGTAACGAAGAATAAAGAAGAAAATAGAAGGTTTCACTCATTGTTATTGATTTCGTTAGGGTTAAATTTAATTACGAAAGTGATTTTACGAGATTATAACGCTGCAAGAAATACCCAGCTCCTAACTGAATGAAATCAGGCTGTAGAAGGTCTACAAATTAATGTTGATCGTCAACAATTTAATCTTAATTATTTTGACTAACCACAAGAATTCATTTAGGATGAGGTAGAGAAGTAGAATAGGAAGAATGAGGGGATGTTTTATAAGAGAATCTCATTTTATTTATAGTGCTTTGAGAACTTGCTAACATCAGCTTGATAAATATGTTGTTTTCGGCACCCGTAAGCCATGTATTATCAACTTTTGAGGTTAGTATAGATAAAAACGCTTACAATACTAAATTTCAATGCAGTTCCAAATTCCTGCTCAATCATTTGCTGAGTAGATGGAAATCTAAAGCATAAGCAAAACCTCAGTGAATAAGCAGAAACTCAACAAGCAGCACGAAACAAGGAGAGAGAAACGTAATTAACTTTATTATTAAATGTGCTTTTGTTTTCTATTGAATTCCGTTTCTCATGAGTCTGAATATAATTTTCTACCATAAAATGCAAATTGAAATGATGTTTCGTACTATTATCACATATTTGAGATGATTTTGAAGTTGTTTTGTTCTCATGTATGCTAGGAAATTCCTAAGTAGAGGGTGAAAAGAGCTTTTAGGAAATTTAATTTTATCGCATTTTCATGGCTGAGCTGACTGTTTAAGGGGTACACCAAATTGTATTCGGCATTTTTATTTTTACTCCTCAATGGAGTGAGAAAACAAACACTTTAAATAAGGTGTTTGACGACATTTGAGTGGGAGTTTTTCGATGTGAAAACTGTTTAGCGTACTTTTCTGCACGCAGTAAGGTACCGCATACGCTTACAAATCTCTGTGCTTACCGCACAACTGAAATTCATCGGCGGCAACAAAATGGTTTCAAATGCTTTTAGCGTTAAATAATATATCGTTTGCCAACTGACTCAAGTCAAGTACGTGGAGGTGGTGGAGGGTTAAATGAAAACGCAAATTATCCGTGACGTGAAGAAGAAGAAAACAAAAATTTTCTTTTTCTTTTGTTGTTTTTTGTACAAATGAAATGAAAGCTTTGATTGTATTTCTTCAATGACCTTTATTTACTTTCATTGTGAATAAAACGGAAAATAATAAAATTAATTCACCTTTGCTATTAAACACGGCTTTAACATGAACCGACTCAACCTTAAACAGGTGTGTGGGTGAGTCAAAGTAAGCGCAGCAGAGTTGAGTTTAACTCATTGATTAATCTTTTTAATAAACAAAATTTATAAGTTATTCATTAATGTAAAGTTTTTTTCGTCGGCTTTTTTTTTATGTTTTTACATGTAAACATTTCAATTTCAATGCTGAGTATCAATTATTTATATTGTGGATTTATTTGATGCATAAAATTTCGGATTTTTCTAAAAGTCGTTGGCGAGAATTTTATTTCTTTTTGTTTCGACTGAATCGAGGGAATTTTCTCAATAAATTTTTGTTGACTCTCTTCTTGACGTTCCCAAAGCTTTCCAATGGAGTTTTCTTTGTTAAGCATGCGTGAGAATATTTTGAATGATTTTATTGCCTATTTGGAGCAATTCCTGAGTATGAATCGAGCTTTTGACTGAACTGCTATAGCACTGTTAAATCAACCGTAGGAAACAGCAAATATATGCATAGATTGACCTGAAATTGATATTTTAAAACATAAACATTTCATATTTTCACATCATGTCAGATGTAATTAAATTTGTTCGTTTAAATGTTAAATTGGTAAACTTAATTTAATCAAGCTAAATATACATTTGAAATGTTGTTTTCCTTATTTTGACATATGAAATTTAAAAGTCCTTGTTACAATTCCTTTTAAACCTCCACTCGACACTCGACCGTCTGTTTTGTTGATGGCATAAATTCAAATTTAATTTGGTATTGCTGCAGATGTGTTTATCCCTTCGTATGAACAATATATTCAACGCTTTTCTGTCTCAGATATCGCACATTTTCCGTTCCTCGAGAGCACTTTTTTTACTTTGATTTATGCATCTGATTCAGTTCTCCGTTCTTCCGCATGTGACCCCAAACAAGAGAAGCAATGGCTTGGTTTTCACACTTTCAGACGCATACGAAAATAAAAAACGACAAAACGAGTTTAAACAAGGCTAGTTTGGTTATAATTGAGATGACACGTTGGTGGTGCACCATTCAGCTATAAAAAATGTAATAAATTTTAAATAAATCTATTTAGATAATCTTATCAAATATCTTTATAAATATTTTCTCTTTGCTTGTGTTGGAAATAAAATAATCATAAAAAAAGGAAGGGAAATGACGAATCTCTTTTAAACTTGAAACAGAAACCACCACTGTTAGTTGAGTGAAATAAATTAAGCACAAAATTAATTGTTTTAATGTAAATAGAGAGAAGCTTTTCGCATACATGTAATATATTTAAAGAAAGAAAATGGATAGAAAATATTAATTAACACACAATGTAAATTTCCGCAACAATGCCGACCTTTCCAGCTTACCACATCAAACCAAGCGAAAAAGCACATAAACTCACAAAATTAACAGAAAAGCGAGCACATATAGAGATGAAAAATAGAGTAAAAAAATGCAAAAAAGGAACAGCATAATGATGTTGTAATAATTCCAACACAAAAAAAGAAGCTCAGAGCGATTTTTTTGTTATTTTTTTTCTTCTTCTCTTGAGAAGATGTTTCGATCAGATGAAACGTCACTAGTACTAGCAGTAGTAATAAAATTTCCAATTCCAAAGGAAGAAGATAAAATTAAATTGAGATGAGAAAGCGTCGGATAGAAAACGAATAAAATGTCACGTCGTTAATGGATAGAAAATCTTTTCTGAAACATAACAAATTAATCAAAGCATTAACAAAAGGCGAGTTTCAGACACAACAGAATGAAATTGAAGACAGCAAAAAGTAATGTCGTACTAAATGTTTAGCATAAAATTTAATTATATTTTACTCCTCGCATTGATTAAATTTGAATTGTTTTCAATGAAATTATACTACAAAGGCAAAGAAAGAGAAGAGAAAGTTTTGAAGATTTTTTTCCCGCGGCTCTTCTCGCACACTCCATAGAATTCTAATCTCGCAATTAGCAAATTATTCATGGCATTTACGAGTGCTTAGTTTTATATCTATTGATTTCCCCTCTCCTTCCTCTAAATATTTATTTTCTTTACTCAAACTTTACTTTTGTTTTTCTTCGCAGAGCAAAAAAACTTTTTTTTCCTTTTTCAATTTTTATCAGCAATTTTTCCCATCATCTTAACAGGAGCAAATAGAAAGAAAAAGAAATCGAGAAGTGAGCCAAGATACATCCACCAAGAGGTTACAGAAACAAGCACAGAATAATTTTCTATGATTTATGGTGTTTTAGGAAAAGTTTTTCAATTTTTTGCCATTGTTTTTATACAAAATTATTTTTTTTTTGCTTTATTTTAAAGAAGGAAAATATGTACATCATTTTCACGGCGTAGTGAGCAAAACGTGCGCGCATTGGAAGTGAAAATTTCGAATGAATTCGAGAGTGTGAGACAAGAGGAAAAAAAAGTTTTTGACAGCAAAGTCTATTTCATATTTAAAGTGTTTTTGATTTCAATGATTTATGATTTAGGGCCATCATGAAGTGTAATTGAGTTTTACGATATTTCTTTTTTTCCCTTCTCATTCTTACCTCGCTCGGTCAAAAATGTTTTCTTATTCTTTCTATCCGCATCCATCCAATAATGTGCTGCCACGATTCTTCATGAGAACCGATCCCTGGTCAAGAATTAATGGCCACTGTTTTGGATTCCGACAAGCTTCATGAGTTTTTGAGCAACGGTCTCGCAAAAGGATTGATTTATTCTTCAACATTAATTTTCCATCTTTCATTTCACTTCTGCTTCGTGAAAAAATTTTCGGAATGCGGAAGTCAGCCATGAGCTGAGTCATTAACCCAAAAAAAAACAGAGAGAATGAGAAAAACTTTCAGGGGGAGGCGTAAATAAACTGTGCATAAAGACGACCCTAATTAAATTCAGCAAGAATTTGAATCTTTTTCGAAAGTTTTCGGGTCGAAAGCTTTTCCCTGTCGATTGAATGTTGACTGAGATGCGTCCCTGAAAATTAAATTACAGGAGACTTCTGTGCTTAATATCAATTGTTTTTTAACTTCTCAATATAAAATGATTTTCATCAGGTTGCCTGAGAAACTTCAAATATTTTTATTCTTCTCTTTATTACTTTTTTTCTATCATCATAAATGACTGACTCTTGGTATTTCTCCATTCATTAAGTCCAACCTTTCCCATCGACTTTAATTTCAAACATTTTTTTTCTGCTCTGCTTGTGAGCCGCGGGAGTGAAACTTTTATGTTTCGTTTTTCTTTTTCACTCGATTTTTACTAGAATGAGGAGGAGAAATGTTATTTGAACTCACTTCTAATTCAGCTCTTTGTTCATTTCTGCACGTAACTAGGAATCGGGTTTCTCCACTTTTCGAATCATCGTTTCATGCTCATTACTGTTTCATTCTGCTTTACTTTGTTTTATTGATTTCAACATAATTTCATCATTAAAGTCTTATTTAAGAGACATTGCCTCTTCTGTTTTGATCATAATAAGACTTCATTGTTTAAATTAAATTTCGTCTGAAATTCTTAAACCTACTGAGATAAAAAACATTTTATTAATTTTTTTATTTCTTGGGTTTAATGGAATTCGGTGCTTGAAATTAATGTTGTTTAAGGGGATTGTAGTTTAGAGCTCGACTACTGCTGCTCTAGATTTCGACCACTCCCTGCCAGTTTCTGTTTCTGTGTTTTATTTTTTGATTTATTTTCATTTGGAATTCATCAACAGAATAGAACAGAAGAAAAAATTTGTATTGAGAATCATCGCATTTTTTTTAATAAAATGTTATGATCACGAATCATGCTCATTTTAATTGAACTAATGAATAAAGAGCTCATGAAAATTTTTTCATTAATTTCAGCCACATTTTGGCTTTTGAGTATTTCAAGAATTTTACGAAAAACATTTTTTTTGTTCAACAAAAACTTGTCAGAATATTGTAACATATTTCTTGCTCTTATAATCTTCTATTGAGTCATTAAGTACTCGCAAAAAACAAAAAAAAAGGTCTTTAAGTACTAAACGAAATCTGAAAATTGAAAAGTTTTCTATCTCTCGAAGACTTTACGAAACATGGCAAGGAACATTGAAACAATTTTATCTTCTTTATTATTATTATTATTCTTGTGGCAAAAAAGCTTCCAAGATATCCTGAATTTCATCCTTGACAAAAGTTATTATTTATGCCAAATAGTTTCGAAATTCGATTTTTTTCCTTAGAATCTCTTACGTTTTGTTTCAGTCATGAAATAAATTTTTAAAGCTTCATTTATATCAGGACAGCTCGATACAAGCTAAGGAAAAGTTTCCAGACTTTAAATGCAGTATCGGAAACCATACAAGGATTTCTCTTGTTGGCCAACATCTTAAATATTCAGAAATAAGGAAACCGAACTTGTTCACAAGCTTTCTCGATTTTTTTGAATAAACATATGAAATATGAACAAAGCTTTGCCATGAGACAATATGAAATTTTCGAAACAATACCAGAAAAGAAAGACCAACAAACTTTTCTTTAGAAAAATGAATTTAATTGATGCCATTGATCTGCAACTTTTAAATTATTCAAGCAATTTTGAAAAAGCTTTTATTAAGTAAATATTTTAAAAGAATCTTCTCGAGGGACTTGCGTGTTAACATAAATAAAATTATTCTTCTTCTCCATATACGGATTAAATAAAACTCAACCAATGCATTTGAAAGGATGATAAATAAGTTAAATTTCCTTTCCATTCTAAGCTAAACTCCAAAATTATCCCGATGTTGCATAAATATTTCAATTTTATTTATTCTCAAACAGAAGATTTTTAATTAAAATTTTCACAAGAATTGTAGATGTTTGGAAAAGTTTTAAAATTAAATTGCTCTAATTAAGTTTGAGAATTTTCGGTTACGTTACTTGTAATAAAAAATAAAATATTTTTGTACTCCTTTGAATTCCACGGTAAAGGAAAATTCCATTACCATAAAACCATCCGACTAAGTGTGTAAGTAAAATACAATGAACTCCATGAAAAAGCCATTAGTGGGTCTGTCTGAGTAATATTTGAAATTTTTATGATTATCGTGTTCAATTGTATGTGAAATTCATTTTGATATTAAGCTCAACATTTCGCCAACAGTTCGACATGATAAGTACTCGATTTTGTATCAGAAATTTCCCACGAAATGAATGCGTTTCATTCAGATAATTATTTGTTTTGTGATGCTGAAACATGCCATCCATAATGGATGCACATTTGAATCAAGGAAGCAAGCTTAATCGAGTAACAGTGAGAGAGAAGGAGAGAGAGAGACGTTTTCCATGATGTTTGTTCACATTTAATGGGTCAGAAAATTGATTTTGCCAGTGGCAATGATCCCTGCTCTGAGATAATATTTTAATAAATAATTGTAGGATTGCTTTCAGACTTAACATTGAAACAAAATAAATTTTTATGACTAAATTCGACTCCAATCAAGCTTGGTAGTCGTTTCGCTTCGACACCGAGATATTGAAGTCATAACATTGAACGTTTTATGGCCAAGTGCAACACAAATGACTACACTGAACTTTATCTCTTCCATTATTAAAAATATCTCACAACGATGACGATAAGGAAGGAAAGTATTCTCTTTCTTGATACTTTCGAAACGTTATGAAAAATAAGCTAAATAATATTTTCCAACCGAAGCACATGTGGTATCCATCGTTAAATGCTGATAATAAGGGAAAAAATTGACATTCATCGGATAAAAAATATTGATAGACATATGTACTTACATACTAAACCAGCTTTGATGACGACGACACTCTGTTCAATCGCATGCAGTAGGGAAGTAAAATGTGATATTTTCATTTCATGATATAATTGAAGTTATGATGAGAATGTCATTTATAGTGAAGTTTAAGCGATAATAAGAAGAAGTGCATTAAATTCTTGATTCAGTTAACCTCGCTTACCACAGATGTTAACATAAATCAATGTCAATTTCAGACAAAACAGTATAATCTGTTCAATCTAGTGCAGTTTAGTGATCTATGAAACATGCTTCAAAAAGAAACTGGCAAGTATTTAATCTTTAACCTGCACTTGAAAGCATTCATATAATTTCTTTAAATATTTTTTACTTCCATCCTTTACTCACAACTACAATTCGTTTATATGTTTTTCACTCTGTAAAACTTGAACTCGTCGAAGTATTTCTCTTTTTTTATCAAAAGCAATTCAACTGTAATCTCTTTATTTACTCAAAATATATTTTCTTGTGGAGATTTTCAATAACTTTGTAGATTGCACTTTCCGTTATCAACAAGATTTACTACTTTGTGAAAGTTCTGTGATAGACATTTTTTCTTGCTTTTACTTTACATTGTAGGTTGTTGATGGAGATTTTCAATAGAATTCGTTCTTAAATGCACTTCATTAGTTCAACAAAAATTCTCCGTCATAAAGCTCAATGAGTGTTTAAGTTCGTCGTAAACAAACAATAAAACAATAATCATGTTTTAGCCAATGATCTTCGCTAAAGCGTCTCAAATAAGCTCATTTACCATCGTATTCGAGTACTTCGTAAACGATTTAATACTCATGTGTTCATAAGCCGAAAATAATCTTTCTTTGCTTTGCGTATCAGATGAAGTTGGTCGTGCTGATTGTGGCATGAACGAGAAGAAAATGACAAGAGGAAAGGAAGAGAAAAAAAATTAAGCTGTTCACTTGACTTACCATGATTAACATCAGATTCCCTTTTTTGTTATTTTTTTCTAGACGCCCCGGAGGAAAAATTAGTTGTACAAAAAGTCCAATTTCCCAAGCAGTCGTTTGATATGAAGACGAGAGGCAACAAGAGTATCTCACGCGTTAAACTTGCTTAAGATTTCCGGTCAATCGACTTTTAATTAAAGATCATGCTGATTGTTGATGAGGAATTAACTCGACAGGAAAAGTCAGACATTGATTAATTCATGGAATGTTGAGTTAGTTATCTTATGAAGTGAAATAAGAGAGCAAAAGTTGAATAAGAAATTCAATTAAAACATTTAAACATGAATAGATTTATGCACAATTACAGAATTAACTTCATTTCTAAGAATCGAGAAATTTCTTTCGAATCAAATGCTTTAGAAAAGGGAGAAATGAAATGAGAAATAAATGACGTTTAATACCGTCTGCCTTTGCACTTTAAATTGAAATAGATCTCGTTCAAGTTGAAAGCAAGAGAAATGACATTGTCAGTGAATTCCGTAATTATTTCTTATGTGCAGCTTTTCAACATTTTTCCTTACGTTCCAACTCCATTCATAAGCACGCTTTTGATAAATACTGATGAAGGAAGAAATACCTCCTCGAAGTTTTATGAGCATTTAATTTTACATTCTACTTGCATTCAAGAATGTTGAATATGTAAGTGAGCTGAAGTTGAATTCGACTTAATTTTATTTTGTAAATTTACCTGCGGCGTTGACTTTCTTTCCCTCAGTTTTCTTTTTACACATAAAATTTAGTTTGCTAAAAAATTTACGACATCGTCTGCATCAGTTAATATCAGTTTATTACACCACAATCGTAAAATGCTTTAGAATATTTAATCTAATTTTTGTGAAACGCTAATATTAAGCAAGCTCGTCTCTCATTTTGATATCAATAATTAATTCCTATGGATGTGGATTAATGAAATTTATGTCAAGATTCTTGCTGGTTATGATGCCGTAAAATTTGTTTTTGATTTTGCTTGATTTTCAATTTCTTTCGCTTGAAGAAAGATGCTTTTCTTTCCCTCTTGCTCTTCCATCGTCGCCGAACTTCATGCCAAAGTTTTTGTGACTCATCAAAAGAAGAAAGTGAAAAAGTGAGTGTTTTTTATTTTATTTAATCTTATGACAGAAAAGCTAATCAGACAAGGAAAGTGATAAATTGTAATTACTTTCTCGGCTCTTTATATCTCATTCTCTCATCTCGTTTTCTAAGTTTTTGATCTTTCATGGGTTAATGCTTTTTCCCTTTGCTTGTCCAATGGATGAAAGAAAAGAAAGAACATTATCTTTATCAAATATCAACAACTGAGCTAAGATGTTACTATCAATGATAAAAGCTTTTTGTTGGAATCAAAAAGTCGTCATATAACTTTATTAATTGTAACATGGTTTACTCTCCCCATGCTTGTCATATCTTTTCTTCCTTTTCTTTTGATATATTAAGTTCCTTTAATGGACCATTTTCTGATTCTGCTTTCCTTTTTCTTTCATTTCTTTTTGACAGTAAGAAGAGGGTTGTTCTTTGGGTTTGATTATGTTTATTTATTGATCATGAGAAATGATGTTCGATTCAAAGAAAATTTATGACGTCAGTTGATTTGATGGAACCAACAATGAAACTTTCAGTTCATCTTTAATTCTTGTTCTAGTTTCTAAAACTTTTCTCCTTCCTTGAAACTTATGAAGACTCACAATTTTCTTGTAAAACATGAATTGTCTACTTAAATTGATATGACCTTACAACGTCCTCAATAATTATCTAAAAAAAATTAAAAAGTTCATAGTTTATGGTTATTTTTGTTTCATCAATAATTTCTGTCAAACTGTTATTCAACAATTAATCACCCTCTAGGCTGACTAACAATTAAACGACTTTCGTTTTAATGAACTAGAATAAGTGAACAATAGTAGGCTAAAATACCACATTTAATTACCATCGAATATGTTAATAAAATCCCTAATCATTCATTTTAATGACTTTTCTAAACGCCGTGTATGAGTTGCGATAAAAACATCAACGGTGTGATTTATAACAGCGAATTATTAAAACATGAAGTAACGAATGAAATAAAAAAATATCAACTCCCTTCTAGTAGAAGTTTAGATATTCACGTCATGCGACAAATCGCTTGTAGATTTTTTTTCTTATGCCGACAAAAAACGATAAAATTATTCCAAATCGATAACAAGAGTTTCAGAATTTGCTTAACAGATTTATTATAAAGCATTTAAATATGCAAAGAAATAATGATGATGCTGAAGAATGGAAAGAAGTTGTTGAAATTTAATTAAAACGTCTCATTCGTAGCATTAAATTTGCATGAAAAAATGTATAAAATAAAGTAAAGCAACATTTACGCATCAGATTTTCGTACATATTTAACATCTAAGATTAAAGTTATTTCTGATTAAGGCGCAAAAAATATCTACATGAAAGTGTTTCATGTGATTACATCACGGAAATAAAATAAAATTAAAATAACATTAAGAAGTGAAAATTTATTTTCTCATTTTCTCGCTAACGCTCAGCGGGGTGAGTATCATTTCTCTTTCATTGTTGTGTACATTATGATATCCTTTTCCGAAGAAGAAAATAAAACGAAAGACAGGAAATGATTTCAATGATTAGAAGAAAAAAACAGGAAATAAAAAAAAACGAAAACAACGCGTAGACTGAAGACGAAAAGAAAGAAATTTTCTTTAAAAAACGTTCACAAGTCATGTTATTGAGGAAGTAGAAAGAAGCATTGCATGTTAAGCTCTCATAACAACCAGTGTTAGAATACATCGGAAATTCAAATGAAAACAAATTCTTAATTATGTTTAGACTTTGTTGTTTCTATTCACGACTCGCTAGGTCGTCCCTTTTGACAACAAGTTCACATGAAAGATAAGAAGATACAAAGCAAGTTTTTATCACCAAAAACTAACCGCTGTGTTAACATCCAATAAATCAATGATTTGACACAGCTTTCGTTTGTTTTTATCATGTCGAAAAGATCAAGTAAAAATCTCAATTTGATGAAGTCACACAATTTTTTCGACACGAACTTCGTCATTATGCGGCTCGACAAATTTTTCTAAGACGAGTTTGAAGCCTTTTTCTTCTTCATATTTGATACCTTTCCTCGAATATAACTATGGATAAAGTTTTAAGTATATGAACGAATCTATGTGCCTTTAATTAATGAGATAAAAACCTCTTCATAGTTTGAACTTGCGAAGCCTTTTTACCTCTTATGACTGTGCTTAAAGCACTAAAGTTATATCATTTACAATTTATGTAAACACTTATCTATGAAACTATAAGGCTGAATATGGCTGGAAGTTAAAGTGTAAATATTATTTAGTTGATACACCAAGAAAGATGTGGATCAGCACATAAGTATTCATATAACAAAGAGCAAGCATAAGGGCGGCGTGAACTTTTCCGGTAGTTGAAGGTTCCATACTTGAACATTATAAGACGAATACATTTGAATATGGAGCTATCAAAAAGCAAATTTATTCATGTTCTGTTTAAACGCCTAGACGTTATACATAGTAAGAGATCTCCGTCTTTCTTTGAAGATAACTTTTGTTAATTTTTTAACCAAGGCATGAAAGTTAAAAGAATTCCCATGGCAAAGATTTCTTTCTTTAAATTTAAACTATCAACGGGAAAAGCCTTGTGATGGAATAGAAATTTCTTCTGTGCAAAAATCATTTGTGGGGATGAAGAAGGGAAAACAGATAGTAACGAGATGAATTTTAAATGTAAAGAAATTTCCACTTTTGAGAATTTCCTTTATCATCATCGCATGCCATTTTCATTCCACAGTTTTAAGAATAAAGAACGAAGACGAGGAAAGCGTGCAAAATACGGAGTTACAACGGTGCTGCTGCTCCTGCTGCTGCAGAAGAATTTCTTTTTCTTATTTGAATTGTGCATAAATTTCTGTTTCTCTCCTACAAATCGATTTACAATTAAGTGCACGCTTAACTCCATTCAAAAAGCGGGTAAAGAATGTGGGAAAATGAGCGAATGAACGAACGAACGTAGTCGGAAAGAATTACTTACAATCAAACGTCTTACGTCAGCTTTTTATATTAGACAGAGTGAATCGTGATTGACGCTTGAAGGATGGTAATTAAATATTGTGCAATTATGGCTGCTTTCATGAGCAAAGCGAGAATGCTTAAAGCTTAAAAGTTTCTTCCGCCTTGCCAGTTATTTTTATATTCTATTCAATCAACTTCTTTCTCCTGAAAGATAATAAAATAAATTACAAATTGCTAAATTAAGTATCTTCATTCGTTTTCATTGCACTTTCAATTGCATAATTTTATAATAGCAAATTAGTACACGTTATTATTCAGAACGAAAGGGGCTCGTAAGTTATTTAACATTTGAATAAACATGTATGAAAAATTATTGATTGATGTTTGACATGCTTTCAAATCGTAAATACATACACAAAGGTTGCAGAGGAGGGTAAGAATCATGCAAACTTACCCTTATGTGCATGTCGGAAAAACATTTCGTTCGAGTGAGTATAAAAATTGATTAATGCTTGGCAGTGGTTAAATGAATGTGAAATTATTTGTGCGTGGGTTTGTGCACATCAGAGTTTTGTTTTTTGACGCCTTCATAATCAAAAGGCAAGCTCAGCTCAACAATAAAGAAAATATTTTAATTCTGTGATTTGATGTGCTTGCAGAGTTTGACATGAATCGACGATCAAAACTTTTAAATTATTTATCATGAATCATTGTAAAAGATTTGATTGCGATTGAATATCATTTTGAAGTTCAATGATCCGAGAAGATTGTTAGGATTAGAATTTTTTAACTGTCCATTCGTAATCACAAATTGAAAATTCATAAACATAGAATAAAAACTCTATCAGGAATCAAATAAAACTTGAAATAAAAAAAGTTTATAATCGACCAACTTTATGTCAGTTGTTAGTTATTTATGGTAATCGTGAATCAGCAATCAGATAAAATTGACAAGAATATTGATGAGGTCAGTAGACTACGTTTAGTTGAAAGTAATTACGAAACAACATCAATAAGCTATCATTAACTCAGACTACAAAGTTTAAATGCTTCGTCAATCATTCATGTAAAATCCAACTTTAATATTTGGAATTTCCAAGGACATTCGACTAAAGCAATTCCCAATCTACAAGATGAGAAAACGAAAAGCAGGTGTGAAGTAATAATCCTAAATTGTTGACCATATTTCCGGAATATTCTCGCATGAGAAGCCTTTAGACCAAATATAAGTTGCATAATTGATTTATTACCCGAAAAGTGATTATTTATTACATCACTTTCCTATAATGGCTCTGCGTGAGTGGAACACTTGAGTGATACGCAAAATCATTAAAGCATACACATTAAATAAAAGTCAATCTATCACAGCAGTGATTAAGATATCCTGTGGATTTTTTCCCTACTCTTGCCACTAAAACATTGATTTCCTATCCCCACATGAAAGATTGTCGGTAATTTTGATACTGGAAAGGAAGTTTTCTGTTGAGTTTTATGAAGTTGATGACTCAGACACTTTTAAGCAGTGAAAGAAAAAAAATCAATAGGCTTTCAAATAAATCCTTGCTAAAGCTCTTATGGGAATCTAAACGACAGCAATGGAAATTGAAGCGAATATAGACCACACACTAAACTTACATAGTCTAAATAATAATTACGATCTAATTCCACTGAAAATAAATGACTTATCATTAATAAGCTTCACATTCTCACTTCATATATATTTATACTGCAAGAACCCAAAACACAACCCTCGTGTTTAAAGCAAAAGTTGGGGCTGAGAAAAATCCTATAAAACGTGATGTATTAATCAAGCACATAACCTCGCTCCTACTTACCAACGTCAGGAATGACTCTTCGGTTTTTCGTGTCTGCTATGAAAGTAATTTTCTGTTTCTGGGATTGGAGGGGGAGCCGTGCAAAAATATAGTTTAGTTGAATGTGGAATGAGAAAAGGATTTTACGGTAAATATTTCTCATTCATTAGTAAGTCGCTACCAAGTACTAGAGTAAAATATCAATTTATAGTTGATTGACTTTATCTAAATATCTATGCATGTAAATATGTATATAAAAATTTAATTGCAGAATATTTTCATTTTTAATAAAATATTTATATATTCAAATCAAAGCTTACAAAGTTGAACTTGTTACATGACTTTATTACTACGTTGTAAGTTTGACTTAGTAAAATCTAAATTGGAAGCATGTTTCAGCATAACCTCAGGTGCAACCACACTAGAGACGTTTATTTATTAAGTTGGTCTATGCTTATGCTGCTTACATACGCTTAATTTAAGATGATATCTAATTAACTTTCAAACAGATTAACGTTAAGAAATTATAAGTTTCTAATTAAAATATGAAATCCTTTGAATCAAATAATTGACAAACGAAATTGAATTTGATAATTGAATCATTTAGTCGTCGTAATTTGTTTTATAAATTAAGGCAAAAATGAAATCATCATTTTAATTATCTAGTTTTGTTATCTAACAAGTGATACTACAAACTTCTGAATTTTTCAATATTTCCGAGAGTTTTCTATTCACCGATTCATTTCATAATTAAAACTTGCTTCAACCATCTGAAGTACCATTGAAAACAAATGTTTGTAGCATGTATGCACATACATGAGTTATTTAGGAAACGAATTGTCTTGTTTTTAATTTAGAGTTCGTTTTAATTCGTCTATAGAAATGAACTATTGTGATTATGAGGCTTCATGCAATTGCGTTCAAAAACTTTACCATTCACATATGATCAACTTTTCCAATCTCTTATGGATATTCAAGCATGTATGAAGAACAAGTTTAAAAAGCTAAAGAGTTGTTTCCCAGAATTGCTTAGGTTTTGATTAAAACTTTGAAGAGAGTAAAGAGTAAAATCAATGTTTATGTTTTATTTTTAAATTTGTTTTCAACTATCTAATTCATAGTTAAAAACAAATAGAAACAAACAATCAACTCGTGAATAAAAACGTGGCAATGTGTGTGCGGAATGTTAGCAATCTAAACGATTAACATTGTTGCTTCTGAAACTTAGTTTATTGAATATTTTTAATGCATAAATTTATTTCGATGGTGATTATTGATGCGAATTTCCTAGCATTGATAAGATATTCAGGATGTTGAGCTGGTTAATCGAATTAACAGTCTTGACAATCAAGTTCACATGCATTTGGGACTGCATTTGGGTTTTGAACTCCAGGACAATCTGGTGACCAGTCTCGAGGATGGATGCAAGCTTGTTCTGCGTAGTTGAAAAGTGTCATACAGCCACAATTTCTTTCAATTGTTCTCCATCCGTATTCGCCATTCTCAAGAGTTCTCTCGCATTGCCAGAACATTGTTGGATCTGGATGTGGGAAGACGTATTGGGTGTTGGCACCAATGTTACAGTTTGGAGCTGGGCAAGTTGGATTTAAATCAGGCATTGGGCAAAGTTCGCAACTGTTCCAGTCTCTTGCGACGCAATTTCTGCGGCATTCAACTCTTCCGTTGATCCATCGGAAGGCGTCTCCACCAATGTATTTAATTTTATTTGCAGCTACGGCAGCAACAAGAACAAACAAGACAGCAATAACTTTCATTTTGATTGTAGGATTGAAAGTGCGGTTATGATAGAACTAACTATAAAATTGAAAGCTCTCTCGCTTTATAAAGGCGTCTATAATTAAATTTTATCAGTTACTTGTAAAATTTGTCTGTCAATTAGATTGTGCAACATTTCCATGTCCACAATCACTGCAAAAATGAATTTCCATCTTACCCTTGTTGAACATCAAAAAGTTTTAATTCAAATTGATAAGAATTTAATTGATAAAAGAAATGCTCCGCAGGTGCTTTTAAAGATTGATTGCTGTTTTAGAAAAAAGAATTTCATTTAAGTTTAATGATACAATTATTAACTTTTCATTTTCAATTTTGAGTAGATAAAGTGATTTTTTTTATTTGCTTTATTTTTTATCACGACATGCTATCAGTCACGTTCGAGAAATATTTATGCATATAATGCATGTTATATGGAGAATATTTTTATGAACACATCTCACCCAATTTGTTTATGTAAATGGAGTGTTTTTTTTCTTTACTTCTTTTACTTATGAAGAGCTTCTGAATGTCCCAGACAAAGTGCAAAAGAAAAAGAAGTAAAAATTATTCTATAAAGTGAAGTTAAACATGTAGTCATCCTCCCTTCTGTTCAAATGGTACTTTGAATGAGAAAAGTGCCTCGAAATATTTATTATGCATGAAAAGCAATTTAGCGTTACAGCTTTTTGCATTATCCTGATACAAGGATGTTGATTCATGCAAGGATGACTGATAGGTTGATGTATCCATAAAAGAACCTTGAAGGTATAAATAAAGTATGAATGAATATTTATAAAATTAAGCATAAACCTCATCTCTTCTTTTATTGTCTCACTTTCAAGATTTTTTTATATTTTTCTTTTTCAAGAAATTTAAATATCAATGTGGAATCTGCATGAATGTTTCACCTACTTTAAAATCATGCTAATCTTATGAAGATTTGCTTCTTCTGACATAGATACAAACATCTACTTATCTAAATGGAAAATACCAATTATATTTTTAAAACCATTTTCCCATTTTCCTATCGTGTTGAATGAAAATATTATTTTTTGAAATTTTCAAATTCCATGTTTTTCAATACATAAACACATATCTGCATATATTTTTATGTAAAATTGTTGTTCATACAAACAAGACCTGTACGATACGAAGTTGATATCGAATTTCAATTATTTATAAACTTAAATGAATATTTTAAAAATGAAAAAAGCCACATATGTTCGCTGAAAAACTTAAAGTAGATTGGTAAGAAATTTATAATATTTTGAATGATTTTTATTATATTTTCGGATTAAGTAACTCAACAACGGAAAAATGGGAAGCCAGAAAACGTTTTAAGGATTCTTGCATTCTTCCCAAAGTACAAAAGATGATTTGTGAGTTTAAAACGAAGTTTCTTTACATGTAAACACCGATTCAATGTTCACCTCAGCATCATCTGCGGTTATGATCTCCTTTCTTGTTCGTAAATTCTTTTCTCAAAATGAAAAGATGATTTATGCTCTGTTATTGCAATCATGCATTTCATTTATTCACTTTAGAACGAGATTTGAAATGTTCATCTTGAACAAAAGGAGCAACTTTGTTAAAGTTTGAATGAGTTAGAATAAAGTTGGGAAGAATCTTCAATGAAGAAATGTACAAAGTGAAACTCAAAATAAATACATTCATCCCTTGTCCAATATATCAAATAAAAGGAAACTAAATCTTGGTGGAGGCAACGAACAGAGTTTATTTTCAAATAATCATAAATAACAATTTTTTCCCGTCTGGTATATTTTTTTTCTACCACCGAAACGAAAGAGAAAAAATATGTTTGTTTGGAATGGAAACGGTATTAAGGATTCTCATGCATTCATGCATCGCATTCATGGACACATATCTATTGAAATTTGAACAATTTTCATTTCGAATGGAAAGGGATGTGTGCCCGATGTAAAATACAGTAAAATGTAATAAAATGAAGACAAACGTTTCTTGTTTGGACTTTTTTTTATTATAGGAATAGGATAATATCTATTGGATATATTTTAGGGAAACTATAAATTTTATTAACTAAACTTTATCATTTTTTAATAAAAAATAAAACTGCTAGCGATTTTATTCAGAAAGATTCATAGACTTACAATAAACTGAATAATTTCCTAAACTTCTCTTATCTAATGATGTCACTTTCATGTGATAAATTTAATTAGTTAATTTCCTTGTAGATATCACAGTTATCAAGTTCAACGTTATATTTTTGATGATAACGTTTGCAAATTTGTTTGTCAAGAGTGTACAACATCATCCAGTTGTCATCTTGTGAAAAAACCTGAAAATAAAAATTTAATTTCGAAATGGCAATTAAAGAATTGTTGCTGTGTAGATAAAACATTTGAAGCAACATTGTGGAGCTTTTAAAACATTTTCTATCCACAAATCTCTGAAAGTTGAAACTTACATTGTCAATCTCAATGCTTGGGACGAAGCTCAAATCAATTTTGTTTGTTTGGTCACCGTGAGCTTTGAGTAACTCAATTCCCTTAGCTGATTCTGTTCCATTGTAACAATCTATTGCATGCTTTAAATCATATCCACCTGTACACTACAATTTCAAAATGTTAAAGGTTTTTCATTGGCAAATAGAAACAAAATAAAATGTATAAGCGTTTTACCTCATCAATACTTGATTGAAACGATTTCATCAGACACGACACGATTGAAAAAGCTTGTTCTAATGAAGAATGCTCTAAAATACATGCATGGAGTTTGTTTAATTGGCATTCCTCACGTCCTAAATTTAAACAAGAAAAAGGAATCAAAACATGCTCATGTCAAATAAAAAATTCTTTTACCATGCTGACATACAAATTTCCATTGTGATTTTTTATGATTCCACGAGTACTAAATAGACAGGAAGTTGTTGTTGGCAACAGTTTTAGTTGTAAGAGAGAAGCACAAATTATTTGTTTTTATTGAAAAAAAAATTGTTTTAATAAATAAAAATTCGATAATCAATGTGAAACAGTATCGTAACGAAATTTTTAAAGACTGAATACACTCGATATTTATACTCATCAAAATTCCAATTTAATCCTCTTACCGCAGCTTTCCCATAGGGCACCAACTTTAAATCAATATTGCTTTTCCTCTTCTCCCAAACTCGACTCAATTGATTGCGAAAGAATTGCAAACTATCGGAGCAAAGTGCTTCATAGTAGACGCGAACTGGTAATAAATTTATTGGTGGTGTCGATTCTGTTGATGTTTCTTCAGACAATGTGAGAATTGATGAGGTGCTGCATATTATTGCAATTATTATCAACTTCACAAACATTACTGACTTTCTTTGATATTTTAATTTGTTTATTTTCTGTTCTTCACTTTCCAACTCAGAGTTTGTTTCGATTGAAGCTCAAATTTGAGACTGTTAAGCATTCATACGAGCCAGCCTTTTTACATTACAAAAGATCCAAATGAATGCTCTCGATTGCGAAGAAATAATAAATTTAATGTCAAATGTTATCGCCTTTTATTAAGTGAATTCTCTCATGAGCTTAATACAAAAGTCAATATTTTCAATTTCGTTATCACATTTTTCATGTTTCACTTCTTTAAACCGAAAATCGAGTGTAAACTTCCCGACGATGGCAGTGAAATTGTTTTGTTATCAACAATAATCGTTGATGCGTGAATAATGCGACACTGACATGTAAATTTAAAAGTTTTGAAAGCTTTTTGTTGTTGTCGAGATGGATTTACTTATTTCAGAAGAAAAACAATTCTTTCAACTTATTGAATTTGAAATTTAATACAAGCACGAATAAGTTAATATTGGAATATTTTTCTTGTGTTTATAGCTAAGTAAATATCTAAATTTCATGTCTTATTTTGTTACTTAAAATTATTAAATAATTCAACGTCAAGTTTTTTTTACAAACCGCTTGAATTTTTTGTTTTATGTTGCGAGGAAAAATCTTGAGATTTTCCAAAAATGAAATAATTTTAAAATAACTCATTCCTTCTTTTCTTTCAGATTTCAATCAATGGGAAGCAGAAGAAAATAAAGAAAACTTTTCTTCCGAATTTCCTTTCATGAAAAATCGATCATGAATGCTTCAGTAAATAATGTATTGCTCCCAAATCTTTTTATTTTCTCATACGCTTCTTTTCCCTTCTTCTGGTTCAATTAAAACCGATTTCCGTACTTAACTTCTGAACTTTATATTTTCAGTTACGCTCCACCAACATCACATAAAATGTATGCTTCGAACTTTGCAAGGAATATCAAACATATACAAAGCCATATAAAAATACTTTTATAGAATTTGCTTAAAATGAGAAGAGATATTTATATGAAAATTGTAGATATCTATCTATTTCCGTCCAATTAGAGATTCTTGTAAATTTATACAAAATTTAAAAAGAAAAAACTTTTTGCTTGGTAAACATGAGCTAAAAACTCTCGTTTGCTTTTTAGTTGAACATTGAGTATATCTTCGATAATGGAATTAACAGTTCTTAAAACATTATTTAGATCGATTTCTCTAAAATACATGAAAATGCTTGAATCTCTCTGGAATGTTCATCAAAGATTTGAATTAAATTAAAAAGGTTAAACATAAATGCCAGTTTAAACCATTAAAAATAAATTTCTATCAAAGGATATAAACTGAACTAACAGTTCAGTCAATATAGGTAATTGACCAAATTTATGTGACCTCCTTGTTGGTAATCCAACGAGTGATTGATTTTCCCAAAATTTATTCGAAAAGTCAGAAACAGTAACAAAGCAAAAATTGGTGCAAAAATGCCTCAATATAACCCTGAAGACGTAAGAAATCCTAATCTTTACCAAAGGCTTTAGATCAGCAACAATAAAGATTAGAAAATCAATGAACATCATATCATCCATTACAATTACAATTGAGAGTTTTTATGTGTGTATATGTGTAAGCTTCAAGGAAAACATCTTGATAACCTTTTCTCACTCTACCTCATCAGTTTTACTTCGTCATCTTCCCTCAATCAAGCTGAGTGAAAGGAAGAACTAAAAGAAAAGAATTCGTTTCGTTGTGTTACTGAAATTTATGTCAGATTCTCTTCTTGAAAAGTGGATGAAAGGAAAGACAAGACAGGGAAAAATCTGTTACAAAGTATCAACATTTTTTTATTTATTTCCATCTTCTTTATTCTGCGAATTTTTTCATGTACAAATTTTCTTATTATTCAATGATGTTTGACCTTTTCTCAAAAGGCTCATAAAATGGAAAATAATTCACCTTCCTGTGTCGATCGTGAAACAGATTCATCGATAAACAAATTTGATACATAAAATATTTGCACTCAACAGAAGAGTCGATAAAGTCGATGATTTGATTGTAATTGCGCTTGATTTTACTGGAAATAAAGAAGAAGAAAAGAAATTAATTGAATTGAAATCATCATAATGATTGAACAACATCACAGTAATTAATTGATCCTTTAGGATACTTCCGACTTCCAAGTAAAAAGAATATTGAAAGCCGAACATTCTTTTTATTAGTCATTATTTTTATGAAAACATACCTAAAAACAAAACTTCTCTTGTATCTATCGAAGGCAATGGAATTGCGAATTGCTGTAAGCCTTGCTGTTGAATGACAGTCTCTTTATTTCCACTCCATATGATGGGTGATATGGTTGCGACACAACGTATACGCAATACGCTATCCTCGAAATATTGTGAATTTATTCTCATGTTTAGCCCAATGGACGTGCTGATAAGGTGATGAGTGTGGTTAACGTCGGGGTAAATAATGATATATTTGGGATTTGTTATCTGTTGACGAGAGATAAAATAAAGTGGCGAAATGAGAAAGTGTCACACATGGAAAACAATTCAATGTCTATTTCGTATGGTCATCGTGTATGTAAGTTGTTTTTTGTTTTCACTTCTATTCATCTTTGTCAAATGCCAGTCGAAATATCTACATAGCATCTAATATGACTGACATAAAATGATTACATTTAATCGTCACAAATGACATATAGAGAATTTATTAGATCATCATGTTAATTTGTATTGATTTATCGTGAATTTCACCAAAAACTACTTTTTAGTGATGTTACATCGTAAACTGAATGATTTGTTTGTGATTTCAAAATCAGCTTGACTTTAAAATAATCAAAACAAATCTTTAAGTAATCAGTGAAATATTCACGAAAAAAAAGGTAAAGCAGCAATTTCCTTAAAATTACTTGCGACTTTAAATGTCAAATTTTATACTAAACACACCTGTTCACTTTAATTTATTTTCATTTTCCTGTGTGACTGAGGATGGAATTATTTTCTTATTCTTTCAAGCAGAAAGCTAAGATTTCTCCCACGTAATTCATCCTCCAATAAACAAGAAGAAAGAAATATATGAAGCCGATAAAAATGTTCTTTCTTCTTGTTCTCGCCTTTTTTCCCAAGAGATGAAATTTTTATATAAGCATCGAAATCAAGAAATTGATACAAAAATGTTACCATGGGAAAAGCTTTAAAGATTATTTTTATACTTTGGTGTGATACTCATCATAATTTCATGGTTTTTGATGTGTTAAAATTTATGTTTGGATTTAGAATTGATTGAAAATAGAAAATTACGATAACTTATTAATTACTTTTACTTGATATTGATGGATACATTTCTACATTTCTTCTGACGCTCGTTGTCATAAATTGTTGAAAATCAAACTGTCAACACGACAAAAGAAGGCAAAAGCAATTCATTAAAATAATGTGGATTTAAGTCCTTTCGTAGCTTTTTTATAGAGTGCGAAACAGAAGTGAAAAGCAAAACAAGTGGTTGTAGGAAGTTTCTTTTTCCTCCCAGTAATGCTCTGAAAATGTTTCCATGAGGGGGAGGATGAACAAGGCAACTTTTTTTCGTCTTTTCTCTGTCTCAGCTCATCAATTTTCATTATGATGGCAAAATATTTGTCGTTTCATTAGATGCTTACCGGATTATCGTTGATGAAAAATTGTAACTTCGAGGCTGGGTAGCTTCGCGCTGATGTGCAATTTAAATTCAATTTGTCACCCGATTGATACGCTTCTTGTTCTCCATGTATAAATGGTCCGTTATTAGGAAGATCTTTTGAGTGGGTGGGAAGAAGAATGTTTGCAAAACTCATGTTTATATTTAGAAACAAAATTGAATGTTAAAGTATTTTTTTACTTCTTATCGGATACTTACAAACTACTTGCATGTAACTCTCACTTTGAACTGAAGAGAATGATGGACCTTCAAGTGAGACTTCGCACTTGTAGATACCTGTTGTAATTTAAGTTTATTTAAAGTATTCAGAACAATGAGAACAACTTTGAAAAGTTTTACCTGAACTTTTGAGTGAAACAGTTCTCAAGAACACTTTATAGCTATTGCTCCTTTTATGCTGTGAATAAGAAGAGAAATTTTCAAATATATTTGAATTGTTTTCAGCCTTTATAATGAAATTAGAACCACTTACATCAACTTTTATCCCATCGAAACTGTAACTATTTTGTGGTGGGCTGGCTCGTGGAACAAACCGATAAAACTCTTCTCCATCTTTATACCACTTAACCGAATACAAAACTTCTGCTTCATTCTCGTCATTGTCGTAGTATAAATAATTGTTTCGTCTGTAATGTCTCTCGCTGTTAAAATTGGATCTACTATGGATGCTTCTATTATTCAATTCATACTGACACTCGAGAAGAGCGCTTTCACCACGGTAACGTACAAGTGGAACGACTAGCTTGGATAATCGCAAACTGTTCGTTGTTTCTATAAAAAATGTTAAGAATTTGACTTTCTTAATTTTATGTTTGAAATGTGATAAAAGAAAAAATTGCCTCAATGCACATTATTTATACCAAATTAAATATCACGTTTAATAGGTGTGGTTGATCATCACTCGACATAACAGACAGTTTCATTTCACAAGGACAAACATAACAACAAAATATCACAATTCACGTATTGCTAAATTTATTGGTGTCAATTGAACCTTTTCACTCATGTGTTCAACATAAATTTACATTTCATCGAATTTTGTTGCAACTTGCAAATATTTTTGTTGAAAATATTCATGAAAAATGTTAAAACTGTGACATAATTTAATTGCAGTTAAAATTCCATCGATTTGTTCTACTCATCGTTGTAAAACTTTTCTCTTTTTGTTTGCACACAAAGTTTCTGAAACTGCAGTTATAAAAGTACATTTAAATGTTAAAAGTGATAAAATTAGTAAATATTTATTCACCAGACACTGAAGTTAAAGTCACTGTAATTATGCAAATGATTTTCTTGTTGTGTTTTATTTAAATTTCAATTTACAAAATATGTCGAGAAGGACTCTTTAAAAAAAAGGAAAATGAAAAATAATAAAAGGTAAGCAGTAAAGAAACTAAAAATGTCGTAAGAGGATCATATGTTGTATACCTAACGACACATAAAAAAGGGAAGACCTTCATGCGAAGCACTTTTATAAGTCATATTAATAAAAATCACTGTCTCGTCGCATTAAAGGAGATTAAAACTGTCATGTTTAAGATATTTTTCCTAAAATATCTGAAGTAAATGGTGAATTAAATATTTCTGTTTGTGCACATTTGGATTTAATCTCGTGAAAACCTTTAAAGTTTCCATTCTTTTTTTTTTGAGTTTACCAATCTAATCCTTCTTACCTTTCTCAATGAAAACTAAAAGAATCCCAAATCTCAGAAGAAAATTCATTTTATTTATTTTTTTAATTTTTTTTCCACTTTACTGATTTAATTTAAGGACCGATATGAGAAAACTTGTTTTTTTACTAAACATAATCTTCTTTTCTGTTCTGATGTCAAGTAAATACTGAGAAGTTTTTGTTCTAGCATTAGACTAAATAAAAAAGTGTAAGGGAAAGTCCTGGAAAATTAACTTTCCAAACATTCTCATTTTTCTTACAACAACTTCTCGCGCTCACCGTAAAAACGTGTATGGTAAAAGAGAAGTGCAGCAATCCTTAATTCAACAATATACCTACTTTAGGTTGGAAAGTGAAAATTGGACTAATGCTATTCATATAACGTTTACATGTCAGATAGAGATATGAAATTTGACTGAACAATGTCATATTCGAAAAAATCATGTTTCACATTACATTTTATCGTGATACTTAATCAACCCAATTTATCACTATGACAGCCTACTCAAAAGCCGATTTATGAGACACTGATATGAAAATTATTTTGACTATTTAGATACTCGTGATGAAATTAGAAAATTTCACGAGATTCATTCTGAATAGCTGAATTTCGTTATTAATATCGATCAAAAGTTATACGATGCTCATTTGTAATGAAATATCGTTATGACTTCTATGATTTATAATACGACTAACATTGAATCAATGTTGAAGAGATGATGTGTCATTACAACATTCACTCAAAATAATTGTTTCGTTGCTATTTTTCCTTTCGAATAATTTTCTTTGATTTTTCTACTACAAAATAAAGAAAGAAGAAAGAAAATCTATTTATAAACAAACATTTAACTTTTTTTTCACGAATGCTAAATGTTTGAAAAAGAGTCTTTGAAAAGAAGTTTCAGTCTTATATTGTTTAAAATTTCCTTTCAACAGATAAAATGCGAAAAGATGTTAGTCGCCCTCATAAATGTTCATTGATGTGTTACTTACTAGACGATGATGGTAGTTTATCTTCTTTGAATGGAACGACCGAGTGAAATATCAAAAGATCACTTACAATCTTATCTAAAATTACAATTTTTCTTCTGAAATATAGAAAGGGTTTGTTGGCTTCGTCTATGACAGCAGATGATAAATTCATTGAAATAAATGAAACAGGGGAGAAATGTATTAAACGATTCTTCGCTTTGAAGAGACATTAATGGCTAAATCACTCTAGAAAGTCAACTGAAACTGTTTCAGCGCCAGGTTTGAGACTTTTGATTCATCCAATACAATTATTCTTCTTCCTTTGGAGAAAATATTAATGTAGTTTCTTTTTTATAAATAGCTTTTCATTCATTTTGACTTAAATTTATTACACCATGATACACTATGATAGCATAACAGAATATAAGCGATAAGTTGAGACCTGATGCCAGAGGCAAGTAATTTTTCATAGTCGAAAAATATGCCTTTTTAAATATGGCCATCGTATTTAATCACGGAATTTTAGCCAATATTTTGAAAGCTTTTCACGAGCCTTGTTGTGAACTATTTATTTACAAGGCTCATTTCGATAAATTTATTTTCCAAAGTAAGACAGCAAACTTTGTTTCTATAAGATTTATAGGAGGAAGAAATGAAATTGCAATAAAATTTCTATTTAAATAGCATAAAATAAATAAGACGTGATTTTAATTTCAAAGACATTGATAGTAGTTTAATCTAGTTGGATGCGACAATTTGAAGTGGCACGAATATTTAACTACCAACAAAGTTGGGATTTTAAATCAATTTTGAACTGAAAACTCACTCAGAATAAAAGATTTTCCTGTTTAAATAATTTTTTTGACAACTTATAGCAAAGTTAAAAGCTGAAATGTTTTAGAGAAAAACTTTAAGAGAAGATTGCTCTCGGGAAAAGCGAGAAAAAAGAACGAAATCAGACGTATTTACGTATCTGCTTACAAAATGTAGATTTCAGTTTTCCAACTCGAGAAATGAACAATGCAACATTGATCCCTTATTTACGTTTAAATCTCAAGACAACTGAAATGAAAGAAAAAGGGAAAATCCTTTTTGGTAATGCATTTTATATTGTCGTTTCCTTTTACAATGCTAGAAGTTGAAAAAGGAAAGAACATAGCGAAACTCGTTCCATTATCTTGACTCAAGTCTTGATTGATGTCGGAAAATAAGAAACTGTTAAAATATATCATACAAGTTGCATTTCGGTTTTGAATTTCCTTTTACATTCTCCTAAGATTGATTTTCAAAGTACATCAAAATATCGAAATCACGAAGGAAATCTGAGAATTTAGAAATCGGAGAGTGAAATGTATTTATTTCTATTACGAAATTTGTTTTAAACACTCAAAAGCTTTCTTACTTATCTCTCTAAGCTCGCTTCTCTTCAATCTTTTCGATTCAGTCCCTTGTTGAGCTTTCGTGTTTTTTGTACTTTCATAAAAAATACAAAAATATATTCAGTTTGTGAAGTTATATTTAGCAAATCTTGTGAATGAAAGACTTGAAATCTATATCTTTAAAGCAAGAAATACGCAACCACCGACACTTAAATCGTCAAAGTTATTTTCATATTTTATTATTAAATGCTATGGGTAAAAAGCATCGATAACGTCAAACTTCATTCTTTGGTTTAATGATTATTGAATCATATTTTGATGACATGAATTCATGCAGAAGCTGAGTTGTTGAAATCAGAGCTCGGCTTGACTTGATAGCTTTTATGGCTTGACTTGAAAAAATTTTATGACTTGACTTGCTCGCTTGGCTTGACTTGAAGGAAAACCCAAACGAGTCAAGTTCCTGGTAGGAATGAAAAATTTTCAATCTGGTTTTGGTAAATATCAAAACCAAATGCATAACATGAAAGATTCTTGGATCGAGTATTTCTTAACTCCCTCAATTTTACTTAATTTCATTTTTTATTTCTCTTCCTCACCTTTTTTTAATTCCCTTAAAAACGGTCCCATGTTAATTATTTTATTTCTATTTACTCAAGTGAATTTCATTATGAACTTCCAAATATCAATTTAATTAAACTAATTGGAAATTAAATTCCTTGCTTTCTCAACGTTATATAAGAAGCTTTAATTATTTTTATTCCTGTGAAAAAGAAAAGAAATTTAATCCATTTTATTAAATGTTAGAAGGCTTTAAAGTATTTGATGGTTTGTAAATTTCTAATTGTCTTTGTTTAAGACTGCGAAATAACTTGAGTTCCGAGTAATTACAAGATTTGTTTAACGTGAAACTTTCTATCATTAATGAAATAAAGAAAATCAAAACAAATACGAATATTCTGTCCGCCTTCTGTTATATTAATATAGGCTTTAATAACTAAGGAAATAAAGAACACAATAAAAGGCTAGATTGCCAGAGTAAGCTTTTTATTTCCCTGTGCTCTGCTTCACCAATAATTATGTTTTCACTCGATACATTCACCATAGAAAAAGAAACTCATAAAAAATTACCACCCTTTAAAGAGTTTCCTTGGTTATACACACGAATTTCCTATCGATTTTCGTTTCATTAGAAATATAATGTTTGCGTTATTTTATAGTCGTACTCAACCATTACCATTCATCCAGGGTCGTTAAAATAAGGAATTTCGAATGATCTAGTAAGTCGAGAAGTTTAACTTGAAGTATTTCAGTCAGGACCTGGAAATGTTTAACATCAAAATGGCAATTTGAAGCATTTGTCTACATAGAAATGGAAAAAAGAAATATTGAAAATGTTGACACATTTTGTCTGCGCTTTTCGAAAAAAAAGAAGCACAAAAATAACACGTTCGACATTATCCTTAGACGTCACATAGTTCATTTGTTTCTCATCCTATGCTTCCTTCCCCTCACTCACTCTGTTTTTCTTTCGTTTTCCTCCTTCACCTTTTTTTGGATTTTTTTTTTCGATTTTATTCAATTTCACTTCAGTTACTACTGTCAATCAACACCACACTTAAGGAAAAAAACCGTGCATAGAGAGGACTTGAACGAGGCTTTTTTCCTATTCATTCACTCAGTACAATTCGAAAGAAATGGGAAGGAAAAAGAGAAAAATTACACATCACGAAGATAGAGATGTTGACGAATTATTTATGCATAGCAGACTGTGTGGAACAAATTTACCGTGAAAAGCATATATTGACAGTCAATTTTTATTATTTTTTACTTTTTCTCTCTATTTTTTCCTTTTAAAGAAGAAGGAACATCGTGAAAATTCTCTAACGCCTCCTGCCGAAACATGACTATGAAATAGCGAAAGGATAATAAAAGTTTATGTTTTAGAAAACTTTTTTGAGGTTTCGAGAGCTTTTCAGCTTGTTTTTGAAACAACGATCGATGGTTTGCAACAGCTGGTTTCAATAAGGTTGCGACTCGTGATGCAATCAAATTTTGATGCCACACTCACCAGTTGAGTATGTTGTAAAGTTAAAACACAAAATTCCATTTCGTTTGATATTTCTTATTTTTAATAATTTATTCGTAAGTTTTTTAATTTACTTATATTTAAATAAATATTTACAATTTCTTTATTACAACAACATAAGGCATTTCCTTCATAAAATATTTTTTTTCTTAATTTAACTACATATTTTATTAATATTCATCAATTTAATTGATTTATGAAATTCTTTTGTGTTCTCTTTCTTTTGACTTTTAAAATTTATTTTACTTACTAAAAAAATGTTTTAAATATATTTATGATATGACTATACAAAGACTCCATAAGGGAAGAAGTTTAAATAAGTTTTGTGATATGAATTTGCATAATATGTTTGCTTTCACTGTATGATATTGTATTGTCACTGTTATTCCAATGATGCATGATGAAGCTATCGTTTTTCTTCTATTATTGAAAGCTACTCTACTTATTTCACAACGATATTCTACCGTAATTATCACCACGCCATTTTGAATAGTTTAGAGTTATTTTATACAATTGAATTTTGTTGATTTTCATCTAACAAAATGTTTTTGGAATTTAATAAAACAACCATTGTAATGGAGCTTAACACAGAAATCAGGGAAAAAGGAAAGCTTTGAAATAAATTTCCCGGAGTTATACGATCTGGTCTTTCATCGATAGCTAAACTATGATCGTGAAATCAGTAAATTAATTTTAATTAACTTAATAGCCTGAAAGTTTTATCTAGATAGAAAATCCAGTAAAAAGATATTTAATGAGTGAAAAACTCCTTCTTTCGTGTACATCGGTTTATGTACAAATTGGAATCATAATCATCCTGTTTGTTAAACAATTTTTATACAAAAGTCCTTAATTAGAAGCTCTCTGATGTTTCACTACACGCTAATTAAATGATCAAAACATCGACGATAAAGATTGCTATGAGAACAATTGCAATTGGATTTTTCAGACTTTCTGCATAGCTTCTGACTGTGAATGAAAATCGTTAATTACTTGAAGTGCTGAGAGAAAATCTTAAAGCTTAGAAAACTCACCAAGAAGCATCGCTTCACGATTATCCATTAAAGCAGGTCTTCTATGTAGAATACTTTCCCGTCCTGTTTGCCAAAGTGATGGAGATAAGCTAGCTATACAACGTACCCGCATTATGCCGTCGAAAAAATGTCGTCCATCTACAGGAATACTTAAACCTACTGATGTCGTTATTAGACCATTTATATGATGAATATCTCGATATTGTGTGAGATAATTAGAATCTGCAACCTGTAGAAGGGAGAAAAAAATTAATAAAAACTTTTCTAAGCTCTTGTTACATATTCAAGTTCTTTCCGCTATTTCAAATTCTTGAATCTTCATTTTCAATTTTCCAAGTCATTAAAAACGAAAACTTTAAAATTTTCCACTGTTCATAATTAAGCTCGTTGAATTGTTGTAAATTTAATATCGAGTAAAAGTTTCAGATATGCAAATTTTTAGTGCTTCGTTTTATTCCTTCCCACTGCATTTATGAATAAAGATAAATTATAATTGAAAAGTTTGCATCACATTGAGTGAAGGGGAGGATAGAGGAGAAAATTAATGTGAATCGAGGTTTTGTGGGAAGTTTTTTTTCACTTTCACAGATAAATATCTATAGATATATTTAAATTCTTATCTTATTCCATTTTTACTGACAGATTCATTATTCGTTTATGTAATCTGCTGTCTTCCGCTCGTTCTACTTTCAATCGTGAAATGCTTATAAAAATATTTATTTCGCCACTTGAGTAAAGACTCGAAAGACTCGAAAGAGACCAAGAAATCATTATTTTAATGCAAATATTTCAATTTAAAATTCTTTCCAAACCTCGTAATAACTTGCATAAATTGAAATATTGTGTGCGTATAATTCTTTTTGATAATAACTTCCTTTCGGGAAAATCTTATCTTATCATTAATTTGATTTAGTTGAGTACATCCTTCGTGGCATAAATAAACGGAAGGAGGTTGTTCCTCCATCCCCTTGCGCTTATTTTTCAGATCATCGCTCGAATTTTTCTTTTCTTTCACTGTGTGAAGTAAAAGCTAAAAATTAATATTTAATTTTACTTTTCCCGACATTTCCATACATTTTACGTTCCCTCTCCAGTCTTTCTTCAGAATACGCGATTCTTTCCTTCATACTTTTCCATGATTCATCCACTTTTATATTTTTCTTTGCCATACTCAAGTAGCGAAGAACATTAAATTCGCTTTAATTTAATTTATAGTCAGTCAAGTGATTTAAAACTTCCCTCGTCGGTAAAGTATGGAGTGAATAAAATCAAATGACCTGTAGCATTAGTGCGTCTTTAGGACTATTATGTTCGCTATCTTGAATCCATAAGGATAATTTATTGCTCCACATGAGGGTTATTGCTTCAATTCCTTAAACTGTAATTATCCTGGATATCAACTCAAGATATCTACTTTTCCTATCGTAAACATTTTTTGACAGATTAAAAAAAATCTCTCAGGGGTTAATGCTGCGTTCTTCAAGTGATTAAACTCAAATTTTCCTCCGAAACTTTTTCAAACATCGACTTTCCGGAAAGTTTAACGACTGAAAGTAAATAAATTAGAATCTCTTTTTCCCTAATTAAACACACCACACCGATATTCTTATTCCCTCTATCCTTAAGTATTCATCAGTACTGCTTGGAATTTATTTAATACCTGCTTTGTAATATTAGGAATTTATGCTCAGCAGTAAAGATATTATGATGTTTTATTATGTTGTGGATGAAATGGAGGTTTTATATTATTAAAATATTGTATTTACAGCTCAAGCTCATCGCTTTCAGGCTTTGGATTAGCATGCACGCTCATTCATTCATTTTTGTTTTCAGAGGAAGCTTTTCAGTAAATTTTCCAACGTTTTTGCCTCAAGTTTTACCCGAAAACTATCTTCCATTAATATACTGTTATTTCTATATCTGCCAGGAAGTAAACGAAGGAAAAAATATTCTAAGAAGATCTTGATTAAAAGACTTTGAAACGAAGGAAAGTTTGAGCTTGGGAGCCAACGAATAAAAACCCATAAAAAACAAAATATGTCTATGAGAAAATAATTTATTTGGAAACTTCTTTACTTTATTTCCACAGTGTTGTTTCATATGCCCTTCGCTCACCCGAAAATTGTATAGAAATTGCATGATTTCAGGTGATTAAATAATGAGACCATAATACACACAAAAGTTTTCGTTTTTCCTTTTTTCCGATGGTTTTTGTTTCGTTGAGGGCTAGTTTGGAATAAAAAAAAATATGGGTGAATCAAAACGTGGGAGTGAAACTCTTTTCAAACAACAACAAATACGAAAAAAAAAATCTTTAATCAAGAAAACTTATCTGATTATTTAGCATTTTCATTGTAATAAAAATCATTTTATGAGCATTTTCATTTCCCACACCACAATCTGATTGAAGTCTTTTTTCACACTGAACATAACAACATAAAATTATTCATTCAAAAAAATTATTTAATGTTGTTGAAGTTGTAATTTACCAGCTATAAACATTCCAAAGTTCTTGGAAAGCTAATTCACTAATTACAAGATAAAATGTTTCTAGCTTAGAAATTCGGTTCTTTTGTTTCAAAATGCCACCAACGAGAACAGAAATCACAGAAGAGAAAACAAAAAAAAAGTAAATTCTCCGCACCCTACAACCTCGAGAGAAGTCGTAAAAAAGCAATACTGCAAGACAAATTTAAGGAAACCGCGAATGTAAAATCTTAAGGAGCGAGATCTGAAAAGATATTTTATTGTGCCGCCTTCCCTTCTTTTCCGTTCCCATTTTGTCTTGTACGCATATTTGTCTTGAATTTTACACAATAATAAACCATAAATTACGTTTGCTTTTCCCAAATGAGAATACCACCGTCGCGCTAACCGTGAAGTTCGCCTTTCTTTTTGTTGCTGAAACTTTTGTGGGTGGAATGCTTTTGCTTTTTACGTGACAAGAAGAACGAATTCGTACCGTTTCCGTTTTCTTTTTCGCAGCTGGAGGTATAAATAACCAGGAAGATACAAAGTTAAAAAAATAAAACTTTACTCATTACCATTAGACATATCTCTAAGAATCGAATTGAATGGAGATAACGTCCAATATTATTGCAGATAAAAGCCAGAACAGAGACATAAAAGGAATTAAAATTATTTCTGTATTTGCTAGCTTTAAAATCTGCACATTTTTCGATACATATTTATTCTCCATTAAACTCTGAAATATCTTAATTGATTTCAATAAATCGACCATTTGATTTACATTAAAAACATCATCAATGTTGGTTCATGCTTCGTATCTTCGAAACCAAATTGACCGCTATTTTTTGTTCATTCGCACATCGAAAGAGGATTTCGAGATTTTATCATGACATTAAAAATGTAATAAACCAATAGCGGAGAAAATCAATTTTCTCGTTTGGCAAATTTATGCAGGTCAGCTATTTACATATTACGGTCCCCGACGAATCACTGTGGGCCGAACTTTTTCTCTGCTGTTTTAGCTGTCGTTTTAATTTGAATTTAATGAGTGACGGTCGGGTGTATTGTGTGTCGGCTTTTAACATTTCTTTATGGCTTCGTTCTGATAAGGTTATCATTTCAGCCCGATCTGCTTTTATTCGTTTCCAATAATCCTCCTAACACTTCAAGTGGAGAATATTTAGAACGATGGAAATTAAGTTTCCTTGAATGAAAAATGATTAATGGCAAATAAAAGAAAAAAGAAAATTACAATGCGACATAGTTTTCCTTTTCAGTTTTTCCACGTTATTCAGCTGAATATTTGAGCACAATTTATGATTTATGAAACTTTCTTAAATGAATCTCAATTTCAATAACTTAAAATCTTTCATTTCCTTTGAAATTCTTGGAAATTAAAGTCCAGTGATATTGCATTAAAATGCTCCAAGACTTGTGAATGTCTGAAGTGACAGTCGTCTTGTCAACTCTTATTATTTTAAAAAAGATATAAAACGTGACGTAATTTTTTCTTATTCTGGCAGCTGACAGCCACACCAGTTAAAAATTTATTTCAGTGGTGTATTCATAATGCAAACCATCATGAAGACCGAACAATCACAATTAGTTAACAAGGCATATAAAAGATGTCAGATGATTTGATACTTGAACTCAATCTAAACTTCTTTCATACAAATTGAACAGTCTTCGGGTTTGCTGTCATAAATATTTCTACTTACTTGTTCATCGTTAATGTACCAAGTTAGAATAGATTTTGGCTGAGATTTTCCGGACGTACAGTTAAGACTCAGGATATCTCCAATTTGATATTGCTTCTCTTCCCCATTGATCACTGGACCTGATGTTGGAAAATCTGTTGGGATGAAAAAGGAGAAAATGTAAATGATGAAAATGATTTTCATTTACCTGTTGAACGAATAAGAACAGAAAAAAATCATGGAAACCTAAATAAGTGTAAAAGTGGATCTAATAACATCAAGCTTGAAAAGATGGAATGAAGCAACTTGAAGCAAGTTGCAATTAAAAACTTTTTCGTTTAAACAGATCGAAAAAAAGAAGTTTTTCGAATAAGGTTTTTGCTTATCTCCAGAGTTTTCACTCGTGAGGAAAACTCGAATCAAACGAGTTACATTTTCATGCTGCTTCCCTGTCGTTTTATTTACTTGTGAAAAAATTATTTGCGTAAATTTCCTTGATGAGTTTCTTTAAATGGTGAAAAAAAAACAAAAACTTGTAGAGCCGACTTGAAAACTTTAATAGCTTTTTCCATCTTCTTTTTTTTATCAGTTAGACGTTACATGCACAATCAACACAGTCATTTCACCATTCATAATGAGGTTTTAATTTTATTAAAATAATATTTTCATAGGCTGACCAAGAAAGAAAAAAGATTCATTTTGAAAGCATCTTGATGGAAAATTATTGTTTTCTCTTCCAATTCTTATCGGCAACGCAATTTTTCCGTTCTGTTTCTTCAACTCTCATAAATTTTAATTTGCATGTGACCATTCCGTTTTTTTGTACATAAAATTTTATTAAAATTCAATTAGAACAGCGCTAATTTATGCGAAACATTTCTGCTCTTCCCCAAAGAAAATCTTTTCAATGCTTTAATTGAGTTATGAACGGAAGAAAAGTTTTTGAATTTCTGCTGCAAGTATTCTTTTACGGTTAATGGCACAAGGCATGAGGCCCAGGGATGCGAACGTAGTGGGTGGAAGAATAATACGAACAACCTGTACAACAGCAACAATTTCATTTAACGACGAGTATTGTTGTTTCCTGTTGAGTCATGCGGGACCAATTTGGAAACATTTTTCTTTTTTTTGCCATTGTTTTTTCGTCGTCTATTCTACTTCATTTCTTCAGCCGAACATAAACTTTAAGGATGAACAAATTTTCGTTGGTCTCATTTACTTGATTAATGTTTCTTTTTCTTTCATGTCACGTGAATGAAGTTGTGTCTGGATAATTCTTGTAAAATGAAACAATTACACGCCTTTTGCATGACAATGTGCGATGACGTTTTCGAAAGTCAGCGACTTTGTTTGTTACGAACAAATATAACGTGAGAGAAAAATCATAAAGCCACATTTACCAACTTATTCACCTAACAAAAAGATACTTTCCAAACTTTATTCCGGACTTGAAAGAAATTCGAATAAATTAATTGAAAGTTATTCCACAACAAGTCGTTTTCTTCCAAAATAAACAGGAATAGTTTAATTTTATTTCATGAGTTGAGAGGGTGAACCATTATTCTAAATTTTCATTGGAAATAAGTCAATTCAATACGCAAACAACACAGCATAAAGTAAATTGAAACACCAAATACATTAACCGACACCCAGCGAAACAAAAGAACAAAGCAAAATTTCTATCGACAAAGCAAGATGTTAAAGACTTTCATTTTCAATTGAGTTGTTTCAGGAAGTGACTTGCAAGTTTTTTCTTTCCATTCTTTGCTTCTCAGTCCATGCATACATGTATTTGATGTTTCTTTATGTTGTACTTTGTAGTATAAAGCGTGAATGGCAGGATTTATTGAAAGGATGAATGAAAAGAATGAAATTGTGTTTGGTATTAAACCGAACATTGATTCCTGCTTTTGCAAATGTTTAAGGTGCGATGACAAATGTTCTTGTATTAAATTCCAATGTGAAATGGCAAGATGTAGAGTTTTGTAAAATAAGTTTTAAGTCGAGTTATTACACTTAAGCTGACAGTGAGATTTATTTAACCAACCTAGTCTGTTGTGGTTATCGTTACTCTTAATAAGATTTTTACCTTTTTCTTACTCAGATCTTTGCGATGTGAATTTATTTATCTGTTTATGCGAAAGCTTTAAAGAGATTTTGAGGAGATTGATACTTAAAACTCCCTTGAAGTAATAAAATGTGTCCCTTCTGTGTTGACATTTTTTCTTCTTCTCAACAACAGCATAAGAAAGAAAGAAACAAGTGATGGAAGAAACTTTAACAATCTAAATCTTTGCAACATTCGTATTCCATATACTTGAAACATTAAAAACTACTCCGCCCTCTCGGTTACAAACATGAATTGTAAGTATGCTTCATGCTAGGTTCTCGCCTAACTTCTTTAAAGGTTTCAGTCAATAGCGTAATTCAAACTCTTAAGAGTTTATTCATTTCATTTCAACAAAGTGCAAATGTGAATGCATTTTATGAGTGCTTTTTGCTGTTAAAATGGATCTGAAAAAACGAGCAATGAATAGAAAAAGTATGAACGCTTTAATGAGTTGCTTCTTTCCATTTTGTCAAAAGGAACTGAAAAATGTTTTGTTGTGTTTTTTTGTTTTAATTAACTACAAAAAAACATTAAAATGAAATTAGAAACAAAAGAAGAGATTAATTATAAGCTCTTCACTTACATACAACTTCCAGTTTGCCTTCCCCTTGCACTGTTTTGAAGTCTGGCTCTTCTGCTGAGATCTCACAACGATAAATCCCTGTTGACTTCAATGTCACGCCTTTCAGGTAGACTTTTTTACTGTTCGATGCCTGATGCTGAGTAAGAGAAATAAAAAAATGTCTTTTAATATTGTTGAAAATCTGCTGCTTTAATGATCGTTAAAAAATTTATTTGAGTATGATAAAGGAAAAGAAATGAAGAAATGTTAATCATGCTTTCCACATAATCATTTTCTAGGATAATAAAATTACTGAATTTTTTTTTATTCGAAGTCATAAAGAACGGGTTTGCATGAAAATTCCGATTCTGTTAATATTTATTGTGATTTATTGATTTTTGAGAACTTTTTTCATAAGGTTATGAAAATTCCTCGATTTTATAATGATTTTTCCTTTCTAGGGAAAATACCAAAGCATGTTGCAAAAAAATATAAAAAATAAAAATCTCAACAATTCAACCGAATCCCGAATTATTTACTGCAATGAAATTTCAAAGCTTTATTGAAAATAGCTTTTCCAATCTCAATAAACAGTGTTCGAAGGATTTATAGAGCCCGGATAGCTATAGGCATGAAGACGAAAAAAGAATGAAGGAATCATTCTGCAAATGCTTCAGCAAGTCTCACAGAAGAAGAAAATGTTAACAGTCGCTTGCGTTTCCCTCCGTTAAGTATCTCCTGACGACGACAAAATAAATATGTAAATTTACTTTTATTGAATTTAAATTGCGTTATCACATCGCAAGAAAGAAAGAGAAAAGAATAAAAAAATTTGAATATCAACATCGAAGTTTCTATCGTGACAAAGTGGCAGGGATCAACATTCAATTAGCAAATATTTCACAATCGCATTTGCTATGTTTACGCGCTTCACTGCCGTCTAAGGTGTAACATCATAAATCCTCCCACTCAAAAGAAGAAATGAAAATTTGTTCGCGATTTTATGCAATTTGTGATATAATAAAACGAAGCAAGCGAGATGTAGACGTGAACAAAAGCATGAGGGAAACTTCATGATTTTATTCTTGCTTGCTTGTTTTCTTTCTTCTCTTTTGAGCTTTTATTATTCCAGCCGTGGAATTGCTTTGCAAATGAGGGATGACAGCCCCTCTCTATAAAAATTTATCTTATTTCTCTTGCATCGAGCCGCCCTCTTCTCTTACTCCCCAGTAATTTGTTAAATGTTTGTGTGTGTATGTGATGTGAGTTGCTTCCTTCTTTAACATTCCAAAATGTGATTATGTTTCCAAGGAAGCAAATTGAGTATAAAATTGTTATGTATAGACGGCTTTAACGCTTTCAAGTAATGTAAATTTTATTAACAGAGTTTGCTTGATGTTGTACCGTTTTAGGCTTCTCGTTTTTCTATTCTCTTTTGCATATTTACGAGTATGAGACTTTCCTTTAAACCTGATAGCAGTGTGAAAGCTAAAAAAAAATCGACAATAGGATATCTGCTTTCTGTTTTCTTGTTTTATTATAATTTTTTTCTTGCGATGTTTTTAAGGAAAATTATCCCATTTCCTCACGGCTGACAGACGCAAGAGAGAAGAGGGACAGAAAGATAAATTTTCGAATATAAATTTTAATTAGCAACAAAAAAGAAATGCCGGAAGCATTAAAGGATAAAAAGAACTTTAAACACAACGATGCTTAAATCGTACGACGAAAGGAACAAAAAAAAACGAGAAGACACAAGTTTCACTGTCTCATTAAGATTATAAGAAAGAGAAATGTATTATTTTTTTTCTTTAAAAGTCTACTTAAGCTCTATGTGTATAGAGTGCAGTAGAAAGCGTGAGCAAAGAGAAGTATAAAAATACATTTATTATGATGATTAAGATATTCATTTCAACAAATCATGGGGCATGAGAAACATTAAATAGAATGAGGAAAAAGCAACGAAAAACTTTCTCCTACTGCTTTCCATAATTTTTATTTAAACACAAAGTTTAGTTTTGCTATTGAGGGTGGATGATGATGAAAACATATTGCCAAGAGCTTTAGCTGATATATTAGAATAAACTCATGAGAAAGATTTAATACTTACATCAACTTTAATCCCTGCCACTGTTGGTAAATAAATTCATGTTGGAATGTGAAAATAGAAAAATAAGATATTTAAGATAAATTATTTATATTATCTACAGCTACGTGAATTATTTAAATTTTCACACGTGGCTTTTCCTTCTTGCTTTCAGACATTCATTTTAAGTATTTATAATTAAAATTTCTTTGGAATTCTTTTACGAAAATTTGTTGTCGAGGCATCTTTAAAGCATTTAAATATTTGACTTATTTTCATGCTTGAAAAACAATTGTATTGAAATTAGTCAATTAACATGTTGATTATCAGGTAATAAATATATTTAGACGCCAGATGATGTTTCTATCATCTGATAACAAACCTTTGTAGCTGTTTTGTGGAGGCTTTGCTTTTGGAACAAATCGATAAAACTCTTCCCCATCCTTGTACCATTTGACTGAGTAAAGTGTCTCAACTTCATCATCTCTATCATGATAATTGAAATTCGAATTTTCTATCTCGTCGTCAGAATCTCGTTTGCCATTAAGTTGATAGTCGCATTCGAGAATTGCTGTTTCTCCCCGGAATTTGTATTGCGGTATAATGATTTTTTGCAACGTCAGGCCAAGCACAGCTGCAAGTAAACAAGCATTTCAAAAACGAATTACTTCAAAATTCTGATGAGGTAATTTATTTTTTTCGGCAACATGGAAAATGTTTACAACTATAAAGTTGAATTAAAAATCTCTAAAACCCATAAAGAGATAAAAAAACGAATCTGGATTGCATTTTTCATCATAACGTCGTTATTTTTATCAATTTTCCATCTATTGAAATTTTAAGCGAATACATTTAGCCTTTATTTCCTCAACTGGGAATAATAAAAGCATATGCGGTACGTTTAGAATAAAAAATAATGTAAACAATTCAATGGGTTTTAATGTTTAACAAATTTCCCCAGCGGTAAAGAAATCAAAAATAAATTTAAATCTTGTGAAAGCCGGAAATTGTTTCATTCATAAGAAAGGTTTGTCGGAACCTTTGTTTTATTTACAAGCAGACGTGACAAGTAAAAAAGTAAGAAAATATTTCAGTAAACATTTCGAGAGCTTAGATTTACGACATCGAGCTGTCCTCAATTTATCTTCTTCGAAAGTTGCGGTAGATAAATATTTATTTATCTTCATTTGTTTTTATTTCCAGCTTGTAATCAGCTACGCGCAATTCTTGCTGCCTGATAGCGAAAATGAATTTGTGATTTGATTCCTAATGATAAATCTTCCTTATAATATTCGATACTATCGGTGTGGGATTTTAATCAAGTTTCTTTTAATCACCTGATAAGATATTTCGATTTGAAATTTTTTTTTTTCACGGTCGTAATAATTTTTTGATGGATTTTAACGCTCTTCGATCGAAATTACTTTTTAGTTGATTTTCTAAATTGTTTCGAAACAGTTAACATTTTTACTTCCCGGTTAATTTACAATGTCAACAGCTCACGTTCAATCTCCAATCGCTTTACAATTACGAGATTGTGAGTTTGAAGATGATGCCACTCCACTTGAATATGTTGGCCATTGGGATAAAGTGGGAGGATGTGCTGAAATAATTAATACCGGATCATCTGCTATGATAACATTTCCGAATCGTAACAAGAAGCCATACATCATCGGGGGACCATTGAAGCAGAAATTTATATTCGAGCAAATTCATTTTCATTGGGTAAAAGTTTTTTTTTCTCTTCTCAGGCGAATTATTTTTTAACGACATTTTCGTGTTGTTTTTCTTTGTTCTTCATCTCGTTTTTAGGGTGATTGCAATGACTTCGGTTGTGAACATTTACTGGACGGAAACACTTACAGCATGGAAGGTCATTTGGTTCATTATAATTCCAAGTACAAAAACTTTCAGGAAGCAGTTGATAAGCCGGATGGCTTAGCTGTGACAGGTTTTTTCTTTCAAGCAGCTGGAGAAAAAGACTGTGTTGAGTTCAGGAAAATTTCTGATGCTGTTGAGCGTGTTGAAAAGACTAATTCAAAAGCTCGCGTTACTTCAGACTGCTTATCGTTTTTAAAGCTTCAAGAATTGAACAAACATTACTATAGGTATGTAACCTCGTCACATGTTCACCTCTCACGTATCTCAAGTCGCAAGCAAACAAACATTTACGTAATCAATTTTTCAGTTATCGTGGATCCTTAACAACACCGCCATATTTTGCATCCGTTCAATGGATCGTTTATCGTACACCGATTTACGTCTCGGAGAAACAAATTGCAGCGTTTCGATCGCTTCGTTCTCAAGACGGAGGAAAGTGCATAGTTAACAACTATCGTGATATACAGCAGCCCGTGAACAACCCGAAAATTATCTTTACTCGAAACGTTCTTAAATCGAAATTGTAAAGATTTTTATGTTATTCAGACAGCGATGATGCTGCTGCTTTTTTTTATATGTTACAATAAAACGGAAAGATTTTTCTTGCGATTGTTGGGAGGATTTCGACGAGAACGATGCTTGAGAGTTTCATGCTTAATAATGGAATGACTGTATGCTGCTAGTATGTGCCACTTTGAACTCACACTTTTTTAAATAAAGGAATGTTGGATGCCATGAGGGTTAAAAGGCTTTAGATTTCTCAATTGATTAGAGTGAAATACTTTTTCTATTCATTTCTATAACAGTGAAATTAGTTTTCTTTGCTTTCCATTCAAATGTAGCTAATGTGAATGTAAATTATACAGAAAGCTGATAAAATAACATTAATTGAAGGCTGATTCATTTGAATAAATTGAATGTAAGACGTTGTTATATAGACATTAAGGTAGCACCACAATACAGCAACATTTTTAAATAAGCAACCCCAAAATGTTATAAATGTTTAATGAAACAACATAAACTTTTTTTATAATGAATTCTTACAAGTCAAGCGTTAAAAAAAAACCTTCTTATTTGAGATCCAATTCTTATTTTCCCATTTTAATTTGAATCGCACGAAAACTTCCTACCAGATCTTTTGTTTCAGTGAAGGTTTTGTTATTTCTTCCTCGTTGTTTATATTCCCAGTAAAATATGAACGTTTTTTACGACTTTAATTTTTAATGAAATGCAACAGCAAGGAAAGAAATAAGAACGAAATCCAACGCGACTACACCGAGATTTATAAGATCGTACAAGAATTTTTATTAAAATTACAATAAATTTTTATGCACGCTTCAGCACTGTTCAGACGCTTAAGCTTTTACTTTGCTCTCGTTCAGTGCAATGAGAATGAATGTTCTTATTCTTAATGAAATTGTAAGTAATACGACTAAAAGAAAAAAGAAAAGAAGAAGAAATAAAACGAGAAGTAGGATTTAAAACTTAAAAAGAAAAGTGTACAATATGCTCCGCTGAGAGAATAACAATGAAAACTAAGAAGTTTCCAAAAGGAGGGAAAAAGAAGAAAAATGAAATAAAAAGAAACTTCCAATGCTATAGGGACGCGCTCTTGCAAATTTCATAAAATATACATAAATGTAAAACGACAGTCGTTCGTGCTTTGAATATTTGCACAAGAATAAAAATGCTCAGTCAGAAGAGGCAGAATGCTTTGCAGAAACTGCAATTGCTGTTTGTTTCGTCTTCGTTCAATAAGTATGAATATTACTCGATCGATTTCCAATTTCAATTGTGAAAAGCGACAACGATAAAAGCATTTTTATAACAACGCTTTCTTTATTGTCAGCATTAACCTTTGATGTTGAAGGATGAAAAATTATAATTTCTGATTAATTATGAAATATTTAGAATAATTATTCACTCGCACAAAACAACAAACAATTTCATTATCAACTGTGTTTGATTTGATTTCTAAATCACTTAAAATGTATTCAAGGAAATGTCTATGCTTGAAGCTACAATTAAAATTCGAGTATCTAAGCGCACATATTTTCATTTATCAGAATGACATTACATCAAATCTGGTATCTGAAAGTTTAGATATTCATGAATAATCGACAATAAATAAACATTTAACAATCCAGAGAAAAAACATTTTGAATCATTATCAAGCTAGTAACAATTAGGAGCTATTTTAATGAATAATTTATGTATCGCGATGTTTAATGAGCTGCAAATGAATATTTGTAATGAAAACATCTACACCCACGCGTAAAATGAACAATAGATAATGAACATGTTATCAATCACTGCACTCCATTTTCATCAAAATATACAAAAAAAAATTGTCAAAAGCAATGAAAACAAATTAATAAAGAGACTTAAGTATAGCAATAGCTTGAATGCTGTTGTACTCATTCGAGAAAAGCGATTATTTCGAAACACGAGAAGATTATGATGAAGTAATTATTCGCATGATTAAGCTCTCAACTGAATGTAAATATTTTGAATACAAATATTTTTTATTTCACAATAGCTTAAACTATCGCACAAAAATTCAGAATTTAACATGAATTACCGAAGTGAGTGTTAAAAAAATTAAAAATGCAGCTTCAACTCTTTATCAGACTGTGGAAATTAATGTAGCGAGCTGAATAATTAATTGAAATGGAATATTTTAGTAGTGAGACTAATGACGGAATAAAATGATTCCATTTCGATATCGTGAATTAAATTATTGGATTAAAACAATCTGTTTGGATATCCTCAACATATTCAACGCATAAAAACATTCACAACCTTTAACACAAAACTTTTGATTGACTCGAACTTAAAATCATGAAGAGAATGATTGAAAAATGAGAATCAAAAGAAGACCTTGAAGGTTTCTTGATTCCATTTCTCTTTTCTTTTCTCAACTTTTCTATTTTCCCATAAACGAAAAATGAAAAACAAATGATCATGATAAATGTTATTTCATTTTTCTTTCATCCTATATTCAAAGCTTCAGTAGCAGATAAATTTTCTCTTGTATTCTTTCAGCCTCAGAGAAGAAATGAAGAAGGAAAGGAGAGAAAGGTAATTTAAAGAAAGGATTTCGCTTTTCCTTTGAATCTTGTGATTCACAAGCATTTTTCAGAGCTTCTGTATGTCAAGCATTTGTTATCCTGACGAACAGCAAAACATTACATAACCGAAGCTTCGAAACTAACGGCCAATAATGAAGTTCATTAATTTTCCTAAATGGGATAATACATGTTGGCCCCAAAGAGGTTAAAACACTAAACTAATTTCGGCACACGGGGCCAACGATACACACAAACGACGGTTTAGGATAATTTGACCCTCATTGACTTAAACGTAACTGATTTCATGCCCGACCTGAGGGGAAACGAAATGTGGAAGAGAAAGTCGATCCACGTTAACACTCACCTTGACAAAACGTAATTAAAATAATGGTGGAAAGGAAACCCTTAGTTTTTGCCATTATGTTGTTACTCTAATTATTTTCTTGAACTCTCTTGAGTCGATGTTCACCTTCCCTTTCTGGCCTTTATAAGTACTATCGTCGTACGTCTTAAATGTTCTTCTCGCTCTTTTCTCCTTCTTTTTTACAGCTTTTTATAAAACAAGCACATTTTTCTCTAGGTAGGCTTCGAAGTTGAGTCGAGGCTTGAAATATGATATATTAAAGTACATTTAAGTTTTTTAGCACTTTTCCTACGAAGCAACTTTCGAGGCAGTTCATGATGGATTCGCTTAAAGCTTTCCTTGTCGTGCACTGTTTTCCTTCACATATGTTCTGTTGCTGTATGTCTCAATCAATGAAATTTTCACATGGTCGACTAGTCAAACACTTGTAATCTGATATTTTATAACATTGGTGCACCAAGCTGTTTACTGTGGCTGAGAAATTAAAGAGAAATCGAAATTCGATATTTTAATCTCGTTTTAATTGCGAAAACATTTTCTAAACATAGAACATTTTTTATATCTATTGATTTTTGGTTTGTTTCTTTTTGCTTTCACATTTAGTTCACTACACAACGGAATTTGATTTAAATTCTCTCTTTCTCTTCATTCATCCTTTTGTTTCGCTTGACGTTCATTTATTTATGTGATTTGTCGAAGAACGAATGAATCGGAAATGTAAAACCTCGTAAAATTCTAGACAAAACCAAAACAGATGCAAGCTTTTAATTAAGGAATCATCGAGGGACGTTTGAAATTAAATTCTGTGAAATTTTCAACATTCAAAAAGATTCAATAAATATATCCGTGGTCGACACGATCAATTGTGTAGCGCTGACACATAAGGCGACACCTGAGGCTCTTAAAACGTATTATTTATTCCCATAGAATGTTAGCCTTACGTTCACTGTACCGGTGCTTTATGAAATTATAAGTTACCTTGACAACATTTTATTCCTACACATTACGTGGGTGCTTTGCTTGCTTAACTGTTCCTGTTCATATGTAAGTAGTTTCGGAAAATATTTGAAGGCAATGTTGATATAAAAGGAAGGTAAGGAATAAATATATTCTTCAGTTTTTTATGCAAAGTCAACATAAAATATTTACAGTTGAAACTTTTCTTTTCAATGCTTCATTTCTCTCGAAATATTTTTTTTCGACTTTCTTTGCCTCAGTGATGAGCATGAAGGAGAGAAATGGAAAATAAAATTAATGTTTCTCATGATATTTGTTTTTCTAATCGTATTAGAATGGAAATTTTTCTTCTACTATAAGTTATTTGCTGGACGATCCCAATCTGAGTTGAATTTAAATTTCTCTTTTTTATTTTTGGTAACGTTTCGATTGGTTTTACTTTGCTGCGTGTGCGTAAAAAAAGATTCAAACTTTTTCACGTAATTTGCAATGTCATCAAAAAGAGAAATCAAAGAAAAGGGATTTTGAAAATTTAATTAAGCATATAATGATTTACGGAAGTCATTTAGGCATTTTTATTTCGCAAATTTATAAACATAAAAAATATGTTGGAAGGGTTTTGATGTTTTGCAAAGTGTTTGAAATTTGTAAATATTTCGTGGGAGTTTTTCTTGAAATCTAATTTTTAACTTCATCAAAATGTTCATTAAAATTTTTATTAAAACAAGTGATTTAACATTCATTGCAGGGTATTTATTTTTAAAAATATCCTTAAAATAATACACGAAGTAAATCTCATAAAAAGGATAAAATCTCTGAATACATCTAGATATAAATAAAATATATGAATAAATATGTATCTTTGACGAACCAGAAAAAGATGTGAAAAGAAAAGAAAATTCTTTCGTTTCAATGTCAAATCATTGTTGTTATTTAAGGCGGAAAGGTATTGAAGGAGTGAACAGTAAGGGGGAAGATTACGAAAGCATAAGACGACAAGTTAGTCAACATTGTGAATTTTGAAGATTGAATGAGAAAATTGAAACATCAAACCTTTTCTTCTCTCACATTATCGACATGAAAAAGGTGCTTTTATGTCTCTAATTCTTCATGAGATGTTCTTCGAAAATCTCTGAAGCTCACAGATAAATTTAATCTGAAGAGAATTGAAGGTGCGCTTAAACTTTTCTACTTATTTAGGTCAGTTACCTAGTGTTCTTTTTTTTTCCAAGTTGTTATGTATGTTGAGGGAATGATACGTCGATTGAATTTCAGAAAATTCCGATATCTAGTTTGTTGTATTTTAAAATTCATTATATAAACACTGAACGAAAGCACTCGAAACTTTCCCAGACACTTAAAAAAAATAGAAACGAAAGAAGGGCGAAATGTTTCATGCACAAATGGCAAAAAGGTTCCATTTTCGGTATAATTTTGCTTGCTTCTTTGACACTAAAGTATCATAAATAGTATTTATTCGGCATTTTAACCTGAATAACGCCAGCATGCCAAACAAACAAAAAACGATGAAGAAAAAATGAAAAAAATGCTGATTCCCTTTTGTGGGGAAACAGAATTTCTAATATTTTTTGTGAATTATGTGGAATCTGCATTTTTTCATATTTTCTTTCCCTTCGTGTTTTTTTATCTGAGTCTATTAGGCACAGTAGCAAAGCGTTATTGTATTATCAAAGGAAGAGAAAGAGAGAAGTAAACGTAGGCTAAGTTATAAGTTATCGGTAAATTATTCATGAGTTTAGGAGTTACTACGAGATCATTAGAAGTGAATTTAATGATGACTGTTATTCGAAGCGCACATTAATGTTATTACTTTTTAACGAAGATAATTATCCAAAAGTCTGGTAGATATTTATGATAAAACTTGAAATCCAACTTCGTCCTTGAATATTGTCTGGAACAGTTTTAAATAATTTATTTGTCATTTACATTTTTAAGTACACGGGTGTGCAAATAATTCCTTATCAAGAGGCTTGGCCTTATACGAACGACACTTTTTTGCACGTAATCACAAAATAACTTTGTTCACTTCTTCCTATCATTCATGAATATTTTCTTGCTTTTCACTCTATTTGAACTTCACGTCAAAAATCAAAGCAATCGCGAATTTGAAAGAAGTCAGATCGAAGAATAATCGACTGGCTTTTCTAAAGGTTAGTACATGACTGGAACAAGAGAAAACCTGCCGATTGAATTATAAAGAAACGAAACGAACTGAATTGAGAGTGGATCGAGAATAAAAAAGTTTTCCTTTCAATAACCGATGCATGAAATGTTTCCTTAAACTCTCTTCAACTTGGAAAATTTCTCAACACTCTCGCATTTTCCATGAACTTCTCATTGTTGGAAAATGTGAGAAGAGCTTCCAATAAAATGCGAGAGTGAAAGCTTTACATTATGCATGGTAAAACAATTGCACTTGAAATAAATTATTAACAAACAGAAGAAAAGTCGAAAAACCATTTTCATCGTATCTTGATCTCACTTGTGCTCTTCTTGCAGATGGATAAGAGATTTCAAGTTTCATGTCTCTCTGTACTTATTTCCATTTCACTTCTGAGAAAAGCATCAAGATTTCAATAAGATTTTTCACTCCGATAACAAGAATCAGCGATATTGAAGCAGACACTTGCATATTATAAAATTTTTACTATTTATTTCCACAACCATAAATAATTTTTTTTTCTCTTAAGTTTACGGAAACTTTTTCCAACTAAAGATGAAAAATTATGTTTACTTTAAAAGTTTTCCTTTCCACCATTTGCTTTTGCAATTCAATCTTTAAGTAGTTTCTCAAAGAATATCAATGAGGCAAATATTTTCTTCCCAATTATTACTTTTACCTGTTCGCGATTGCCAGCGATTCCGAATCATTATGCTATTGCTATGGCTTCATCTGTTTGTAATAATAATAAAATGAATTATTCTTGCACCCTTAACATTCTCCACTTGCTCTCTGTGTTCGCTTATTTGTGTTCTTTACGATCACTCTCATGCTGTTATCAAAAAAAATATTAGAAAGAAAGACGCAGCTGAGCTCTGCTTCGAACAGTGAATTCAATAAAGTGTAGAAAATTATTGAGGTTCACTTAATAATTTCAGCAGAGATAATGATGTTTCATAAAATAATTCCACCCACGATAGCTTCATATTAGTAGTGCTTTCAATGAACATACAGTGAAACGTACGCGGTAATATTTCATTTACAGTTTTTTGGTGAACATCATAGCAAATATTCCACATACATTGGATGTTTTACGAAGGCAAAAAAGGAAAAGTTTTGCCTTAAGCAAAGCGAAAAATGGAAACAACCGTTGATGATGATGAGAAAACAAAGATTCGCTGTTATCAACAGAAGAAAGCGAGATTTTTTGTTAGTCAGATAAATTATTTTCATATCGCGTATCTTCGCGTGTACGTTCATGTCATTCTTATCCATTATTTAAACGCTTTGAGTTTACGTATCTGTATTATGAGCTTTACAAGAGCCATTAGATCTTTCTCTTTGGTGCCCTTAGAGTATAATTTATAAGGAATATTTATGATAATGCTAAAGTTTTCCTGGTCGTCGTCAACCATTAACAAACAAAATATAAATCTAAATATTATTCCCGTCATTCATCCAATTTTACGAAGCATACAAACCTAAAGGGCTACCGAGAATAAAGGCAAAAAGACCTTAAATAAATGATGACTTTTTGTTGCTTTCCAACAGAAAAGATGAATTCTTTTAATTATAAAATTTGCTAATACTTTCAGGGCATAATTATTAACCTTAAACCTTAATTCTGATGATTGAATAATGCGTGGGCGATGTTGAACTTCGAACATTTCATGTAATATTTTGACTGAATACAGGAGGAGTCTTCAATTAAATGTTCCTGAATTGTAATGAGTTTGTATTGAATAATGTGGGAGAAAACATCCCCTAAAATACAAAATATTTATTCCCAGATTATTAAAACAATCTCCTGTTTTGAAATTATAATAAATTTACAAATTTACGCAGTTTAGTTTCGCTTAAGGCTGAAGTGTTGCAGATATCTAATTCAAATCACGACTGAATTGTTTAAATTTTTTTAAAATAAAATATTTTAATTCCACCTAACATTATGTTTATCAATCGAGATAGCGCTCAGAATTAATAATTACTAGTTGTTTATTCGTTATCACAATTCTAATCACCGCAACTACATGATTATGAACAATCTTTTTTTTGATATTTTAATTTTTTCACTGAGCTAATTACATACACTCATATCGCTGTAATTATAAGTTCTTTGTAGTGAAAATTTAACTCAGAAAGGCGTTAAAATCCTTCCTCTCATTATATGTTTATAAACCTTAAAACTTGATGGTTCATTGGATTTTTATTTCATTTCTTATTTCTTTTCAAACGACAAAAAGAAGGAAATTTCTTTCAATAGTTGTTGCTGCTTATACTTAAATGTATGAAGTACAATAGAAATTCTAAGTTGAGGGAATAAAAGTCACATAAAAAGTCACTCATTAGACTTTTTATGACTCATAATTTGCTTGAAAAAATAATGTTCGACTATAAAACGCTCCACATTTCGGAATTATTCTTTTTATTTCATTTATTTTGGCTTTGAAGCTTGTCGGTCTGTCATTCGTATTTGATTCAAGAATTGAATGTAAGCATACATAATTGAATTTCCAAATTGAAAATAAAACTCTTAAATATTCAATTTTTCCAGAAATGTAAAATGTCCTTCATAACTTCTGTCAATTTCCAATCTCAATTTTCAATCTTTCATAACTTTAATAACAGATTTGAAAATTGTTTTTAATTGCAGTTTTATGTCAATGTGACAAATAACAAGTCTGAGTTTTTCTCGTACAACAGAATTGTTTAATTTTTATTAGTTTTTTAAACTATGTATTTGGGCCAGAAATGGAAAAAAGAAATGAATTATTATTGCTTTCAAAATCACCAACGTAAATGCTTTGCATATGAGCAAAATATCAATTTTAAGTCATAAGTTTCACTCGTTTCCTGACACTTTTATTTCTGTGTAATATTTAGCACTTTAATGTTTAAGTTTTCATATTAAAAATTAGTAGGGTTCACCAATTATTTACTTTAGTGCACTTAAGGCGTGTTTATGATATTAAATTCATATCTGAAATTCAATCATTTACATGCTTAGTTGTTCACGAAGTTTAAGCGATATGATCTTTGTGAATCACACAAAACATGCTTTAGAAAACTTATGACAACGTCAAAACCCTAAAATATGTGTAAGTTTTGAAGTATTGTTGAAGATTTTACAGCTTCCAACAATTATCCGGTACTTTATCGGCGTTGAAGCACATCGATAGCTTGTGCAGTTTTTGAAATGTGCGAGGGTGACACTTTTACTAGAAGACTTAAAAAATATCACAACCTTATGTCAAATCGATAAAAGCAAATGCGGATTGAATAGAAAAAAAAGGAGAAAAAAACTTCGAGTGGGGTCAAGTGACCAAACTCTTGAACAAACTGAAAATGATTTATGTGACAATAAATTTCAATTATAATTCCTATTTATTCTATTATCACATGAGATACAGATATACACACACAATTCATTGTACACTTGACACAATTGACAGACGAGAAAAATCGAACGACATAAATACAAGATAGCAAGATATCTAAGTAGCGAATGAAAGAAAAACGAAAAAGTAATAGAAAATGTCTCACTTTTGTGAGAGGCATAGACGACTGATAAAACTTCTGAATTTATTTATGTATAGCCTCAGGAGGCTGTCTATGTATACAGCACAATAAGCCATCATTATATCACATTATATGGATGATAATAAAAGCGAAAGAAAATGACACACAATGGTGAAATTGTAACGAGTAACATATTATGTTGCCAATATATCACTATCGTTTTCATGTGTCATGAATGAAAGTAACTAAGGGCAATTTAAGGAGATTTTATGGTTGAATGTTGCGTAATAAAATCTAACACATTGGTCATGTAATCTATTATCATCGATGAAAGTCATGAACGTGAAAATTATTATCAAGCCTCATTAAACTTTCAATTAAATTTAATCTCACAATTGTTGAGTTGTGACACAATTCTTGTGATCAATTCTTTTAAAGATCCCCTCAAGTCATTTGATAAACTAAGTTACATCCATTCGAAACGAAACCTTTTCAACTCAATCGTTTATGTAGATAATAATAAGAAAAAGATAAATGTTATGCTTTGAATTTGTTGTTCATACAAAATCTTTACAATTGATTCGTTGTTCGACAAGAAATAATTTTATTTGAGTTACATTTAAAATGAAATTCGAAAGAAATTGAAAATCGTTTCGATTTTCTGATAAAAAGAATTTTCCAAACGACTTGTTATAGAAATGTTTCTAATTTCTTTTGATATCGCTTTTATTTGAATCGATTTTGTTAAGTAATCCAAATAAATAAAGGAAAAAAATAAAAAATAAAACATGGACAGACAACCATTCATTGGAGTGATTTGGGTACTTCACCAAGAGTTTTCCCATCAAAAACAATTTTCTTTATCTCAAGTACATGCTTTCAAGTCAAAAATCTGTAAACAATCTCTCGGGTTGGTGAGGTTTCATCTGATATCAGATATCCTTTCAAGTACTTCATCGAAATTTGCTGAGAGATTTTCTCAAGTCCACAACTAAGAGTGCTATTAAAAGCTTTTGAATGTAATGAAATTTTAAAAGTCTTACGTACGATGTCAAATAAATTGGAAAAGTTGTTGCTTTACAACCAAAAAATCTTTCTTTTCAACTTGTTGAAATGGTGTAAATTTCCCGAATAGATATCCTTAGCTAAAAAAGAAACGTTTTTATGTCAATCCTGGTTTCATCATTAAAATCTCAAATTCATTGCTTTTTTACTGTTTTTCCAACTTGGGATCATTTAATTGTGAAACATTTATCATTGTTTATGAGAGTGCTGAAAACTTTTTTCAGCATTTCAATTTAATTTTCCACGGAAAAGAAGAAGGAAAAAAATGAAAATAATCTTAGTGGGCAGTACGTTGACGATAAAAAATTGTCTGAAATTTTATTGTAAAAACGACAAGGAAAAGTATGTTAAACTTGACTGTGGTTGTGAGCTCTAAAAATGGATGAGCTCAAAAACGCTTTCAAAGTGTTTTTGCATTATAATTAATGTTTTTTCAAGGGTGGAAGTTTTAATGGCGTTCTTTTGCTGTTTTCACTTCCATAACGTGGTCGGTCGGACCGCCCATTTCACTGACATTGAGAGTTTGATAAGAATTAAGAGAAAAGTTTAACATTAGAAAATCGTCGAAAAGGCAGAGTCTATGGTTGTTTTAATTTCTTTTCTGGTGTCGTGCTATTCTTACGACTTTTCTTGTAAACATCAAGTAAACATTTAAAAGTAAATACTTAGAACAGCTTAATAAAGTTAAGCCATCCTTAAACGTCAGAAGTTAGGAAAACTCTTAAACGAAGTCATAATTTCATTGATTCAGCCTCTTCTGCAAATCGGAAGAGAAAAGTGGAGAAAAGTTTAATGACATTTTCATCATGTTGCTGAAATAAGCTGAATAAAAAAAAGAGATTTACTGAAATGAATTTTAATTTGCTTTCGATGATTTACTCAACAGTGAAAACATACAAAACCTGATGCTTTCAGTCATGGATGATTGTTGTGTGCTGAAAAGTTTGCAGATTTTCATTTAAAATAAACAACAAAAAAGTTTATATAAAGGACTTTTTTTCCATGTTGCTTCAGCCAGATTTGAATCCATTAATTTTCACCAAAAGCCCTCGCTTGAGTCTGCAAAACTTACTTTGGGTTTTAAACTTTTTTTTCATATTTTTTCTGTGTCAAACACACACGCGATGTATCTCTTCTTTGCCATCAGTTTTTTTCCTTGTTTCTGCACGCTCATACAACATAATCACTGAAATAATGATTTGAACTTGATCCAATTATTTGATAAACTCAAAAAGCTTCATCTTTTTTCTGTTCTTTGTTTTATCCATCCATCCTTCACGTTGTTGTGTTTTTCCATTTTATCCTTGAAGGCGAATTTTCATGTCAAGTTTTGTTTTCATTTGAAATCGAAAACAAGTTTTTCCTTCCTTTGACTGTTTGCTTGTTAACTTTTGAAAGAAAATATTTAGGAAAAGACTCAAAGGTTGATTTCTTTCATTTAACATTTTATTATACTCTTCTCATCAACAGTGACATTTATAAACATCCAATTAGGTATGTTCATTCATTACTTAGTTCATCTAAATTAGATTCTAAAAAGTTTACTTGCTTAAAGTAGTAGACGGTGATCTTCTATATCATTTAAATATTTAAATAGACAAAATTCAATGTCAAACTATTTCGTTCTGTTCGTTATAGAAAGACGCTCTAAACTTCAAGTCTAATTATTAAATTTTTGAAATCCTAATTTTCATACGTTTCATTTATTTGACAACAGCCTCAATTTTTTTTATTGTAAACATTTATTAATATTTCTAGATCATGAAAAAGAGAAGGAAATGAATTGAATTAAGTAAATTCAGTCAAGAAATAAGTTGGAAAGTGAATTTGTCTAATTAGTCATGCAGTCGATTATTCGTAACCTTACAGTTTTAAATTATTTGAATGTCAAAGTGATGCTTAAGAAACAAAAACTTTTCAAGAAAAGTTTCTTTGCTCTAATATTGTTGATCTGAATAAACTTTTTGTTTAAGTTTGCAATGATTGACTGATGAAATTTGCTAACAGAGATCTTGTTAAAGAGAATCTCATTAAGTTCTATCAAATTATTTCAATTCAAAAGCAATTGGATAAGTTAAAGTGTTTCACAATTATATGTAAAATCTTCTTTAACTTTAAGATTTGGTAACGAATTTTCACTTTCTTATCTAAATTTCTTTTCCTTAGGCATTGAAAGCACATTTACTGAAATATTTCTCAGTTCAAAATCGACAAATTTCATTCAATGTGAAACGGCAAGTGGAAAATTTCTACTTTGTTACTTCTAATGCTGCCAATGAAAATACTTTTGTCTTATCATCGAAAAGTTTCAGTTTACAAGCGAACTGATCAAAATTTTTATTTTAAAGTGTAGAAAGGCCAATTCATCATTTTTTTGTTTTCTTTGGTCTCGTCGTCCATTTTCAAGCCAATTCATAAGATTTATTAAAATATTTTCAAATTCAAAACAAAACATTGATAAAATTTTGAATAATATAAAACAAAAACTTTTTAAATTTTTATGATTTGGTTTCAAGCATTTCACAAGTAATTAAAAAAATTGTTTACATTCTAAGTGAATTAATAAAAAAATCTACGAGTGCTATCTTAACATAATTGAATTAAATTCACTCAACAAAGCAAGAAATAATGAAAGTTAGAGTAAAATATCGAACAAATGTTTTACATTTGAAACTTTACTTTAATTATGAAGCTTCATGAAAATTTTCTTATAAATTCTAATCGAAATTTTATGTCACCTAAAAGTAACTCTCACTAGCTATTTATGAACGATCCTACAATAATGTTTTGTAAAATAATTATATCAAAATATATCCTCATGCTTTAGATACTCTTCAAATTCCTAAATAAATCACGATTTATTATTTATTCGACTACTTTCTTCTTTTGCTTCAAATGTGTATTGAATTCATTCATGTTTTAGGCTGCGAAACGAAACAATCGAGCTTTCTTAATGCTATACGAACCACGTTTTTCTTTTTCAATCATCTTGAGAGGTTTTTTCTCTTTTCTTGCTTCCTCTAAAAAAATTTATCGACTTTGCGATCGAGCGAGCTTGGTAAAGTCTTAAGCAATAATTTTGGAAATGCATTTGACTGTCTTTACAGCATTAAAAGCAACTAAATCCCCTGACAGGGTTTCTGAACATATTTACAATGTGAGATATATAATTAATTATTTACAATCATTTCTTTTCGCTACTTAATCCCAGTTGGAAATTAAATTTGTGTCATTCGTTTTTCACACTCGAAAGGAACAATTTTAATTCGCAACATCGTTTGCCTGATTTTCTCTAAGTGCTTCTCTTTCCTCGCTGCTTATCTTTTTTAGACAGTCACGAATACCTTGAAGAACAATAACGACACGTCTATCAAGTGCTTCAAGATGAGGTTCCCAAAGAACAGGCGCGATTGGATCAGTTCCCATCGATTCTCTCATAGCTTCCGAAAGTTTTTGTGGTCCATTGTGGTATCTGTATCAAGAATATAAATCAAATAATTTCAGATTAATTAGATTCAAGAAGAAAACAAATTTACATAAACGTTTAGATATCTAAATAATTCGATTTATTGTATTTAGTGAATTTCTAAGAATTTGAGTTTCAATACCAAAGTCAACTTGTTTGCCAATAATCAACCGCATGCTAAATAATTATTTAGATTGAATATTCCAACTTTAAATTTTTTCATTCATTCCAATGAGAAGCAGAATAACAATGAGCGAGTCGACAAAAACTTAATTGACCAACTAACTAATTAATGAATTTTTTTTAACTTTCATCGGATGAGTAGATATGCAAATTATTCATAACTTCATTTCAGAGACTTTTTTTATTAAATAGTTGAAAGTTTTAATAAACTTTTTGTTTAATCTACTGGAGGTCACTTTGTCGTCAAACTATCGTTGGGAAAAATGACTCAACAGACGATTAACATGACAAACTTCAACTAACTCTCAACATTATTAAAGTCAGAAAAAGTTCTTTTAATGTTTAAATAATTTTCAGATTTTTTTTCTGTTTATTGTTGTCAAATGGAAATAAAATTAATGGTCGTAATCGGTTGTAAATAACTGATGTCGTGTATTATTTATTGTCAAATTTTCATTTACATTTAATAATAGCGAATAAATAAATATTAGAAAGAAATTTGATTAATGACTTCATGTAACAAAATTTTGAAGTGAAAAGCTTCGTGAAAATGATTGGAAAATGTGAGATGAGCTAAAAATTAATTTGTTGTCAAAATTCGTTGGGGTAATTAATGAACTTGATTTTAAAGGGCGAGTCAGTCAAACATCGAAACGAAACTTCAACGGATGTTTAAGGAAAACGTTGAAGTTCGAAGACAGTTTAAAGAATGAGTGAGGGAAAAAGAAGAAAAAATTGAGAGACAATATTAAGAATGAACAAAGAATAAAAACTTTTGGATTCCGCTATCAATCACTGTCACAGGAAGTTTATTAAATCAATTAAAATATCAGTGTTGACCTTTTATAGGGAAGGAGGCTGATGTGTGACAGTAAAATGCTAATTAAGGGACACAAAAGACGTAAACAAAAGAACAACGACAAAAGCCGATAAGGCAGAAATCTTTGTGTTCACAGTTTCTTTTCTTTTAACAAATCCAATAAATTTTGAAATTTGTACCCTTTTCAGTTTTGATCTTTGCTCCTTTTCTCTTTCTGCTGTACATTGCTTTTCCATGTAAATCTTCAAACGTTTCATGAAAGTATTAGCATAAAAACTGAATCTATACTACAAAAGGATTTCATTGTACTTAAATAAGATATGGTAAACTTTTGATAAAAAATTCTTTTGTTCTTTTTTATGTTTTCTTCATTATTTTCTTCTTTTTTTTTCTATATTCAATGTATGGACAGCTTATAAGCAAAGTTTGGCTTTTCTATATATAAACATAATACTCTTGAGTATTTAAACTTATGAGAAAGAAGACTAAACTATTTATAAGATTATAAACTTTTTTTTGTGAATAAAATATCAAATTTTGTATAGCGTCAATTATTTTGTTTATTCATCTACCAGAAAATGACAACCATAATCGCTTTAAATTGGATTTTTTCATCAACAGTAACTATTTTTAATTAAACTTGTTGTGAAGAAATGAAGTCCGATAGTGTGGAAAGTTGTTTGATATGTCACATGAGCTTTGAGTCAAACGTGATAAAAATAACTTTATAAGTTAAACTTCAAAGTGTGTTAAAAATATTTTGATAAAATTTGAGCCCCTTAAAGTTATGCAACGTCGTGTTGATTGCATAACAAAAAGGTGTTAAAATGTGAAAATTTACTTTTCGAAGTAAACAAATTTGTTACCCAGGCAATTGCAAGGATAGTGAGATGAGAAGTTAAAAATTATCAACGCTAAGAGATGACATTAATATGCACCCGATTCAACAACCATGTATATTATGAACGGAAAATATTTTGAAAGTTGTGTATAATAAATGAGAATGAGCTGTTTTCTCTTGTTGTGCATAATTAAATTCTCCTCCTACGTTAGACATATTTCCTCAAAGAATATCCTCATTCTGCAACAACAGTAACAGTAACATTAACAATATTACAAGCAGCAACAAAACAAAATTTAGTTTTTAGTTTAGCATGAGAAGAGAAATGAATTTTAGAGAATTTATGCTTCCTCTTAGCATTCAACATATTTGCGTACGTGCATGAATATTATGAGTCGTTGCAAAACACATTACGATGTATAAAAACGATATATTTCATTCTCGTTTGTCATTCATAACATAGAATATTGTAAGCTTTTACATTTATTAAATTACACCCGAGAGCTTTCTCTGTGTCTAAAGAGTTAATATTGGATGGCTTAAATATCTTTGCAATGATACATCATCCAAACATCTATTCCAATAAACATTATAAATATATTTGTGGGCTGTGTGAAACGATGAAATGATGCAGTTTAGTAATGTGAAAATATTTACCATAGCAAATCTACATCGTTATCTGTAAGTCATTTTATATTCATTATACAATGACTTGATGTTTAGTCACTAAATGCAGTAAATTATTTTCATGAGTTTACGTTTCCAAAGTATCATCAACATTAAGCATTCACTTCCTTTCATTAGCTTTCACATATTTATGCATTTACAAGAGTTTGCAACAAAACAAATGAAATTCAAATCGAAAATTCATAAACCACGGAAGCTCACCTTAGCAGCATCTCAAGTGTAGATGATCTGATGAGACAACATTGCAAAACCGGTGCGAGAATAGAAATTTCGTCATGGAATGCCTTTCCAAATCCACGACCATGATCTAAATGAATGGGAAATGTTTCATTTCCAAAGATTCTGTTTGAAAAACAAAAAAAAAAGTTAATTTAAGTAGAAATATTTTTATCATGTAAAGTTTTTATTACTTGAAAGTCTCATAATGATGTCGATCCATGTTGCCAGTCAAGAAATCAAATATCGACATATCCATTAAGTCCAAAAGTCGTCTACCAGAATCGTAAGGTGCAATTTCTCGTACCTAAATTTAATTTGTCATAATTTGAACACCGAAAATCAATTTCTTGTGTCTCACCATGGTGCAATAATCTGCATCAGTTTCCCATTGCGCCTTTCTTCGTTTGTGGTATGATCGTCGCCAAGGATGTCTCCACACCTGAGAGAAAAAAATGAAAGGAATAGAAAAGTGTTAGCACTTAATGTGATTGTTATGAGTTCTTTTTTGCATCGTAAGTACTGCTGTTGAAAGTTTTATCTTCACTAAACGACCAATATTCTGCTCTTCAGAACTTCACTAATGCAAGAAGACAACGGAACATTATTTCATAATTTCATATGCAACAAGAGAAGCTTAGCAACGCAACATCAGCAAATACCAACAATAACAATGTGAAAAAAGTGTTAACCGATAACTTTTTTTTTTCACCTTCTCTCGCCACGAGCTGAGACCGCATTTTTATGGTTTAATGTTCCCAACAACAGCAGACACCGACTGTTGGCTGATGGTTTTAATGGAACATCCAACCGACTAATGATATCATTTTTCATTTCATGCGGATGAGAAGATTCTCATTGTGTTCGATGTGAATTTTTTTGGCTTTGTTTCTTCATTAAAAATTGAACTTACCCTTCGTTGTGCTTGTTCGTACGATGGGAGAAAAGCTGCAAAAGATCCTTCGAGTGTGTCTGGACGACCGCAAATTGCATGACTTGTGTCGCAATAATAAGAACACTTTCCATGAAAGCAAACATTGTTCGAGGGTGAAATGAAGAAAGTCTTCAATAAATCGTCATCAGCAAGTTGATAAATCTCTGATGTGATGTTTAAGATTCGACCAGTCACTGGCATTGCACGTCGAAATCCAAGCAACCTGAAGTGAAATATCGAAATCAGTTAACGAATCGATCATTATTCATGAGAGTTTGGAAAATTCTTGTCAATATACGTGAATTCTAGAATAATTTATGCTGTTGCATCATGTCGATGTCAAATGTCTTATGCAATAAAAAGGAAGGAATTGAAATTGCAATCGAAACTCTCACGTTAGAATTGTTTTACAAATATAAATAAATTATTGTCACTTGTCATGTGTCAAACATAGTTGAACAAATAAACTTACTTGTCAAGATGATATGCCGCAATTTCGGCGTTATGACGCTCGTAATCTGAGAAATAAAAATGATTTGGAAGCGTTTGTTGTTCGCGAGGAAATCTGTTGAAATACAAAAAAAAAGTTTTTGAATTACCAGAAAGAAAGTTTTTCACTTTACTTTTAACCAGAAGGGAAAAGAAGAAGAAATGAAGAAGAAAAACTAACAAAGAAAAACAAAAAAGACATAAAGTCAGTCGTCGGCGGAATGAATGAATGAATGAATAAAATAGAAATGATTTTACATTCCGGTGCCGCAAAACATGTTAAAGGCCGCCGTGAAAACAGAAAAAGGCAAACAAGGGTAATAAAAATTCGGTTTTATGGCAAGTTGTGTTGGCGTACACACATATGATATTTAGGCATCCCATTCATGTCTTAAAGAAGCCACTTTGTTGTCTTGTTATTATCCTACTTATGGTGAAAATCATTTTTCTTTCTCTTCACCACTTCAATCGTACTCCGCTCATTCTTTCTCAATCTCCTTGTTTCTGCTTCCCCACCCCCACATTCCTTCTTTTCATTCCATTCTTTACACTTCTTACTCTGTTTTCTGTTATTGCGTTAATGGAAAATGGGTTTTTGCGAGAAAATAAAACTTTATTTGGTTTTATCATTTATATTCTTCAAGCTCTTGCGACCTGCATGTCTAACGAGAAATGTTCTTTGTTTTTGTTTTTATTTCATTCTTTCTTTCATTCTTCTTGTTTTTGTGTGTCACTTACTATTGGTTAAAGTGAACTTTTGGGAAGAATAAGAAAAAGAATAACAATAATAATAACAATAAGATACATTGGTAACGACATAAAATAGCAAAATGAATATAAAAGCCAACAAAGCCGATTATTTTTGATGTTTCCCTTGGATACTTATTTAGTTTTGACTTGTCCACTTGTTGTTATAACTCGTAATTGATTGTAAAGTTTCATTACATTTGTGGTAAGACAAAAGGAAAGAGAGAAGTTGTTGATAGTTAAAAGATGAGATATGGAAAACAATAGATGGATAACATTTTGTGACGAAAAGAAATTGAAAACGTGATCAACGATTGTGAACGAACGTCGTTAAAATTTTATTAACTTATTTTATTAAATTTTATGCTCTGCATACATTGTTCATGACAATTTTCCTAAACACAGCTGAAAGTTCATCATGAAAAGATATTTGGCGAAGATAAATAATCTCGATGACTTTCGTGAAAATTGGTTACAATTTTTTTGCAGAAAGATTTAAAGAAGAAACGAACATTAAATTCAAATCTTCATTATTTAATAACAACTTTCGTCTACATTGTTTCATTCATTTTTGCGTAATTTAAAGTTTTAATGTTGACAAATTGATGATGAAATTAACGAAGCTCTAATTTGTAGTTCTCCTTTAACAATTTAAATGACAAAATCTTCAAACGATGAAAGTCGAATTAATCACTTCATGCCTTTCAATTAAGTAGATAGTTGTGGGTGTTGATGTCTGCTTTCACTCACAACAATTAAAATTTCTAATGTCTCAATTAATTCTTGTTGAAGCCTCGTGATTTTAACAAAACTTTATCACCAAAAAATAAAAAAAGGGAAAGGAAACTTCTTCGATTCAAGGATTAACAACTTGTTCTTAAGAAAATAACAAGACGGAAAGAAAATCAAAGCGATGATTGATTAATTGGACGCCTTTTCAGCGTAAACAGCAAAACGAGGGAGTGGTGAATGTCAAAAGCAGTTGTGTGCAACAACCAAAAAGGATTTTAAAGCGATAAGTAAAACAAGAAAGTCGCGATGGTTAAAAATCGATTTCGTGAGGCGCGCAATTTTAGGACGGGGAAGGAAAATGCTGGCAACAGTAAATTTATAAATGACAAGAAATACGCCTTTGCATTAAAGGAGAGAGAGAAGGATCGCGTGACCAAATTGCTATCGGTGAGGGTAGAAAACGAAAAGTAGTGAATAAATCCATCACATGAGAACTGAAATCAACAACCACAGTGAATAGTTTTATACGAGGCGTTGTGAAACGTGTAACTTGTGACTTGAGGAACGGAAAGGAAAGGTTGCTGGTGTTTGGGGACTTCTCGGGTGTTGCTATCAGGAAAGGCGAAATAAAAATAATAAAAGAAACTTGAATAAAAATGTTAATCAATGAGCTCGTAAACGTTGACGCATTGTTCTTCAAAATATAAAGAATAATAGTTAGAATAAACAGCACTTAAAAGCAGCACCCAACGAAAGTTTTGTGAGTGAACAGCAAACACGCTGTCGTGTTGGAAACTTCTGCCTTTAATAATTAAAGTAACTTTTAACTTTATTAGTTAGTTCTTGTGCAATATTTTCGTTACTTTATTACCACCTTCACCGTCGTCTATGGTTAAAAGAAACATTGAAGACCGCATGTAATCATGTAGTTTATACTTTTAATTTAAGAATCATATTTAATGACAGATTATTATGTAAAGCGTTGTTTTAATTATGTCATCAACGCTAAACATCATCTAAAGTTAAAATTACATTACAATAGAGTCTATTCCCAGTCACACCATAGTGAAATACTTTTAATTTTTAACATTTTATTTCCTCCTTCTCGACCCACAAACAAAACTGATAATCTCAGATGACGAGTTGAGAAGCAAAGACGTGAGAATTTACCAAGAAAATTTACTTTCGTACATAAATAGATGAAAGAAAACAACGAGATTTTAATGACTTTCTTACGGGCTGTTTAAATAGTTGAAATTTTTTTCTTCTGTTGACGGGAGACAGATGTGCGATGTCTTGAAATTGCTTTCATAATAGCTGAGTTAAAAATACAGAAGACTAAGCAAAGCAGAGCAGTTCAAAGATGAATAATGAATGTGATGAATATGGTGTAAGTAACAGTAAAGTGATATTGACATGTTAATTACTAGATAGGGACAAAAATCTTTTTCAAACTGAGAGAATGTTACAAGAAGTACTAGAGTTAAAAGAAGTTACCAAAGTACTAGACTAATCACTCTAGGATAGTTACAAAGTTTGTACTAAACTTGCAAAGTTAAAAAAGTTCCAGTCTCTGATTTTTATTGCACTTTGCAAATATGAATTTTACTTTGTTGACAAAGTCGTTATTTTTCTCATCTCAAAGTAAATACAAAGTAAAAAGATGAACTAACATATAATGACTCTTTTATTGTTTTTAACTGAAACAATTTCCTCCTTTTTCCTGCTTTAAAAGTAACAGAGGGAAGGAGGAAGTACAAAAAAAGGCAAAAATGAGAACGGTTTCATGCAAGTCTATTATGTTCGCACACGAGACCATCGTACAATGATGTTATGAAAAGAAACAAATAAAAAAACATTTAACCGACGATCCACGATCCACTTTCCCCAACTAAATAGCAGCAAAAGAAAGAAAAGGGTAAAATGTTAATATTCATGTATGAAAATTTGTTTGAATGAGAATTCGACATTGAAGTTAGCACACACGAGTTTTCCATTTTTTAACAACCCTAATGGCATAATTTAAATAAATTTTCTCGATGGTTGAAGTCAGAGTTGAAATAAGCGAAGCTTCACAATAAGAATTAAACAACAACAAAAGTTCTTTTTTTTTCTCTTTTTCAATTATTTTTCATTTTGCAAAATTTTCTTCACTCGAAATCATTGGAGCGAGGTTGAAAGCTCAAGGAGAAAGAGTCAGGAAGGTTTCACAATAATTTGTTATCCTGCAATTATATGCTAAATAGATATTTCATGTCTACCTCTCTTCCTTCGTTTCTGTTGCTTCTCTTTCCTTTTTACCCCATTATGTAAACGTTATGAATCCATTATGTTAACGTGAAAACATTTTTCTTTCTTTCTTCTTACTCACTTGAGGAAAAGCTTTTTCTTTTTCTTTTTTTCCTCTGAACTGTCTCGCAATAACTTTTGATAATTGAACTGTAAAGAATCACATGAATGTCGACGTCTTTTCTTAAATTTTTTCATTTAATGTAGTCAGAACAATATCATTGAGGGTTGCTTATCACATTATCACAATCCTGTGTGACTATAATAATTACACATTCATGAATGATGAAGGGAACATGAAACTTTTGAAATCATTAGTTTAATTCACTTTTCTCACGTGAACTAATTGCATGGTGAAGGAGTGAACATTCTATTATTGCCACAAAATGCTTTGATCGTACTTGACACTCGTCGCATTTTGTCGTGTTTACAAGGATTTAAGATAAGTTTATTCTTCGTGACTCCAATAAGTTGTCATGGATTTCATGTCATAAACGAGCGGGACTTTAAAATTTCTATTACCTTAGCTTTTGCATAAATTATAAAAAAAGCAAAAAACTTTACGCTTAAATGTCACGATTACTGCTTTGACAACTTGAATTATTTACAATCTAAAGCTTTTAAGCTTTAAACATTCAAATTCTTAAATAAAAAGGCTTTCTTGAAAAGAAATGGAAAGTCGATGTATATAAATAATACTCAAGTGAAGTGGTTGATGATGAAGAAATGTTTCAACATGAAATTAAAATTTAAAAAACTGGAAGCAAAGATAAAACTTTCTCAACATCAAAATTATTTATGCAACTTTTATCGTAAAAAGTTTTTAAGCATATCGAGAAATTTTATCTTCCACTTGAATTCACCACAAAACTGGTAACATCATCAATGGCTTTGAGTTTATTGAACCGATGAATTCTGTGACAAAACATTCTTTAGATTCAAAGAAGGGAAGAATAAATAAATTGAATTAATTTTTGTCATGTTTGAAGTTTATCAAAAAAGAGTCGAATTCGTATCGATGAAGAAAATTGCTGGCATATATTCCAGAATAGGATCACATCTTCTTCTTCATTTTCTTTTTTGTTGACTGTGAGCTTAACATAAGCTCGCTATATTTATTCTCTCAATTGAAAATGTCTACATTTGAGTTTTTCCCCCTTTCAAGATCTTTCTATTCAATAACGAAGATAGATATTTATAAAAGTAGAGAAATAAAATTGAAGAGAGAACTGTTTTCATTTCCATAAGAATCGAAAGTGCTGAGTATCTGAAATCAAAAGGAAATCTCACCGGAAATTTGATATCGAATGGACAATGCGATTTAACTTGATTGCGTCCACATTTGCTTGATACGAAAATCTTGTTTCACTCTTTATTGAAATTATGATATAAAGAAAAGAAATATAATCAAAACCGAAAGTAAATTTTCAATTTTCCTCTTCAAACATCTTTAAAAAAAGGGAAAAGTCAACGAATTTTCATGACACAAAATTTATGCTTCATTAAATGAAATTAAAAACTTTATCATCCTCTGTTTGAGTTAAAATAAATTGTTAATGAATGCAAATCCTTTTAAAAAGAATTTAGAATTAGTGAAACCGGCTTTAAGAGGATTTTTCAAACTAAAATGAATTTTGATATCATGAAAAGTCAGAAAAGATAAAAGGAAAACAAACATTTTTCCATTCAAACCGATTAAAGAGCTTTGGTTAAAAGTAAAGTCATTTATTTGGAAATTTAGAGCTTCAATGTTGAGTAACTCACCTCATTGGTTTGAATAATGCATGAACGCTGTTGGGATAGTCGATGATAAGCTTCAGTTGTGTTCCACCTCCCTTTTGAACTATAATATTAAAATAAAAAGAAATCTGGATCAGCTGAAAGTTTAATTTAATTGCTAAAGCTTGTGTATTGAAAGTTATTGTGATATCTTATGCTTCCCCTGTTGTTACTCATTGTCATCATCGTTATCAAATGGCAAGGAACAAAGGGTAATTAATAAAATGTTGAATAGAATCTTTCATGCTTCCTTTTGGTTTTTCATAATGACCTGTTCAGGGATCACTTCGTTTAATTAGAAATGTGGGTTTCATTGGGAGAAGTTTAAGCTTTAAAGTTAGACAAGATTATGAGATTAAATGTCTGCATACACATATTGAGTTTCATTTTGGAAATGAACGAAGCAAATTCAAATTTTTTCAAATCCTTTTTAAAGCTTTTGAATTTACATATGCTACACTCACCAACATGAAGAATTGGTTGATCAATCATATATTGAAGAAGATTGTCGACAGTTTTATCGCTTTCGGGGTACATTTCCTTTCTACTTATTGAGAATTGGAATCGCTCCAAATCTGTGGCATTTTGACTGAAAAGAAAATAAAGAAATTTAAGATGAAATCATGATTCTTGAATGATATTTTACTTATAATGTTTTCTTATGAAAACAGATATCAACTTGTTGCCTTGTTATCTTAACTTGAGTCAGCATCTCGACTCGTTTGAGTTTCCCCTCAAGTCAAGTCACCCCAGTGAGTCAAGTCAAAAGAAATTTTAAAGTCAAGTCAAGTGATAGAAAAACATTCAAGTCGGCTACTCAAAGCCCTGACTTGAATTGATAAAGCCAAAAAAAATCATAATAACTCTCAGAGTTCAATTGTGAGTGAGTTACGATGACCTGATGCCAAAAACACTTTAATAAATGTTAGCATTTAACAATTTTGTTCAACAAACTGCTGACAACATTTTTTTTATTGACGCATTTTTTTGCCTGACTAACATTGAGGAAGTTGAACAATTACGATGGTTTTTTGTGTTCTCTCCAGTTTTGCGCAATTTTCGACAAGAGCTGCAGCGTCATAAAAATTGGTTTTTGCTAACGCCGACAAGTGATTTTAACATTTTTTTTTGTTTGTTTAGCGAACGTGAACTTCGACTCACGATGTTGTTTTACTGTTTTTGTCATGAACATAAATAAAAACAACATGGATGTAGATATAAATTTAAGCATGAAGATCTTATTTTGTAATCTTAATGCAAAGACATTGACGTAAAATCTGACACAAAATCCTCGAATATCATTTCATCTCACCAAAACTTTTTTTCTTCTTCCACGTAGCCTGTCTCAATCAATCATTTTTATTCTCGAGCGTTCAATTTTAAAGCAATTGACGCGTGTAATGTTACTCTGTTATCTCTAATAAATGCTTTAAATACCCTCGGCGAATGAATAATGTTTGCCAATAAATTCTAAGCACTTGACAGAATTGTAAAAAAAAAAAAGAAATTATGTATCATATTCGCTGGTGGCAAATTATTTCATTTCTTGTGTTTAGCGGCTTGAAAAACATTTCCACGTCACAAGAGAAAAAGGAATAAAAACCCAGAGACAAGGAGAAACGACAAGATAAAGTGATTGCAACGAATAATATATTAAACATAAAATTGATTGACGTTTTACATGATAAAGCTTTAAATAAATGTTGTTTCCTACTAATTTCTTCTGAATGGTGAGAAACATGTTTTAGCAGGGATTTTGTTGCTGTGTTCGAATCTGAATCAACATTTCTCTCCTTTTTCTATTTTTAGATACCTTCTGACTATGCTGTCAAGGTAGGAAAAACTTTTTCCTTTCGTTTCTTGTCACTGAAGTTTGCAAACATTTTGACATTGCAAAATGCAGTAAATTTCAGACCCTGATGGTACATTGGAATGAAAAAGGATAAAAAGAAAGAGTCAAACATTAAAAAAGTTTTTTTTCAGTTTTCGTTCTGTTACAGGAGGAACATTTATCAACCTGGTTTTCCTTCAAAAGTCAGCGAACAAGCTCAGGAAAGTAAGTTAAATAAATGAAGTTCATTCGATTGCTACGGAAAAGTGTCGTATCGTGTCGTTGGTGGTTTACTTGATTAAAGTTAAAGTTTGGAAAAATGGGAAAGTTTTAAGTCATTTCTGGTTCGAGTATGGTTAAAAAAAGCAGTAAAAAAGTAAATACTTGCCAACACTTGTGAATCGATTAGCATCATGAGAATTGAGTTGGTAGGAAAAGTTTATTCAGTTCTTTCTCTATGACTAACCTAGAAGCCAAACTTTGTGACTCCTTATGTTCGAATAAAAAGCATTCATGTGCTTTCGAAGTTAATGAACAGGAAATTGGCAAGATATCGATTCACCAGAAGTTATGTGAGTTGAGTTAGTTCTTCGAGTCATGAAAAACCCGCAGCATGTTCATGTAATTAAAGTAATGGAAAATGTACTTCAAAGAACGCTTGTTAATCATCAACCCAAATCTTATCATAATAAGAACACGTTGTGCTATTTTAACAGCAGCTTGCAATGAAGATGTTGAATAATTAATTTAATGAAATTTCTTTTATTTTCTCTTGCTTACTTGCCTTCTCACTCACTTCCCGAAGATTAACATTGCGTGAAAGAAAGAAAGATATAAAATATTTTTCAAAGAACAGCCACACATTTATCTTCTTGTGCCAGGATGAGAACAATGTCAAGTGTTGGAAGTAAAAATGATAGTCTTTCACTCTTGCCAGACGCGATAATGTCGTCTTTGTTTGTTTTCAGCTGCTTGGTAGAAAATCTGCGATGACAAAGCGACGTAGACTAAAGAAAGTTTTTTTTTCTTTGCAATATGGTAGATAAGTAAGATATTTCAGCTTATGATTTAAAATCAGGTTATGGAACTAGTATAGGATTTAATTTAGGAAAATCCAACTTAAATTAGGACTGAATGTTGATGAAGTACTAGAACAAGATCCAGTTTTGAAGAATTCTAGATCTACTCTAAGATCTACCAAATTCCAAGCCCTGCCTTAAATACGTTGAGTACAATATACAACATTTACTTTCATGTTTTGGATCTAATTTATATAATGGATGAGACTCTGATATTTATTTACGACAATTTCTTTAATTTGTTTTTCTACTTAAACGCTTTTTCACGGTATTGTATTAATTTTGGAAAAGAAACGAAAAGATGGGTCAGATTTCAGGTGTCGGATTTCCTTTCCCTTATCCCTCTTTCTTTCATTCTTCTTGTTTCTTTGTCTGACTCTTAATCCAATTTAAAATTAGATTCCGTTTCAGCATGATTGTTAAATATTCTTGAAATTTCCATTTCTTCGGAAAAAAATTAATTAGTTGGGCCAGCGAAAAACTTTTCTTCAAGAAAGATTTCATTTGTATATTAAAATATAGAATTTGAGTGAAATGAATCGTCAACAATGAGAGATAGAAAGAAGTTTTAATCAAACCTTCACGTATTTTTGTCGAAAAAAAGTAGACGAAGTCAAAATGCAAACAACTGCCAACGAATCGTTAAAATGTTGTTAATTAGTGTTCGACAAAATCTTTTGTTGCTGGCTGTGTAGGCGATTAAAACTTTTTAACAATCTTGCAAAGTTTATCATCGAATTATTTACAAAGTAAATTTATGATGAGTTAATTCTTGCTTATCAACTATTTATTATATGTACGAACCTTATTTTCACATCCATTAAATCAGCAAACGATGGATTGGAATCGTTATCTTCCGACTTTACGATGACCTTCTCGTAATTCACAGTAAGTTCACCGGATCGCTTTCCAAGGACGAGTCCCATGAGATCTACATATTTATCGTTCATTGTGGGAGGGATTGGAGCAGTTTCTTGTCCTTGTCCCGATGTATCGACATGCCCTCGATTATATCGAATTGTTGTCGCTTCTTTGGATCCGGAACCATTACTGCGAAAATAATAAAAAACAAATGGTTTTAATAATATCTTTTATACCTTGAAATGAACATGTCAATAAATAAAGTTTCTGTTCCGAAAAGATGTTTTATCATCTCACATCATGATGCGTACTAACCCTTGAATTATGGTGGCACTTTGGCTCTCATGCACGTAATAAATTTCAGATTCGTAGCATATTTTTCTGTATGTTTTATGCTTGACATCAATGAACGCGAATGCGTATCATGCCATAATTTTCACCCGTCAACTATACATTGTACAAACATTTCTGGATGTAGTTGAAACAATTTCACTGATTGCTTACAATCGTAATGCACATACGCCCAAAAACAAAGTGTTACTCTGATTTAGATTTTAAATTTTCATTTAAAATCCCACTCGAGATGAGTGGAAGGAAATGAAAGAAAAAAGAGTTCAAATCACGCTGGCACAAATGAAAAATTACTTTTAATGTCTTCCGATTCATAGTGGCAAACAACCAGCTAAATATGTCTCTAAATTTTCTATTTTTCTGCTTTCAACCTCTTAGTAAATGCTTTAAATGATATGAACAATTGACTAAGCAACTCAATTCTATATGCTGACTTAAACTTTGTATTCCCAAATATATTTTTTAGACAACTTTTCAACTCAAACTTTGAGTGAAAACATTTTCTGTGGGATGGAAAAGTGTTACAACATTTGCTTGCAGGGATGAGAATCACAACATCCCCAACTCAAATCATGATAGTTTTAAGGTTTAAAATTAGGTTCATGAGAAATTAGATTTCTCATTTATTTTGCTGTTGATGTGGGCTGATGAAAGGGAAATAAATTTGTAGATAGATATTTAAATCATGATCTGTTACTCTTGAAATACCAGAAATAACTCTAATCAAGGATGAACCACAAAACTGTTTTAGAACCACATAATTAGACAAAAGCCAAAAGTTTATTTTATATTCAAATTTAGCTTGAGAGCTTTGAGCATAATTTGAAAATATGAATTTTCTTCCCAATTATTTTCACAGACTCTATAAATTATGTAAACTTCATTGGGCGACTTTTTTCCTTCTTTCTTCTATTCAATTTCATTCCACAACTATCCCCAACATACAAATAATATAAATAATATTAAAACAAATATATTTTCATTCGTGAACAGCACAACGAAAAACTTTTCTTCCACTTTCAACAGGAAAATATTTTTCATTTGTTATTAATAAATATGTATCATGATTCATGAAATCCCTCGACGAATTTCTTTCTACATTCCACCCACTCCACATTACAATCTACTCCACTTTACTCCCAAAATGCCATTGTGACCAAAAGGAAAAGTTTTAGTGCATTGCTGTGATTTATAACTTCATTTTTGGAACAATACATGAAGATTTTTCGCCGAAAGCAACAACGAAAATAACAATAAATTAACATACTTTACAGTTTGAATTAAATAAAAATGAAATATTAATAACAGTTTAATTATTATACGATGTGTGACCAATGATTGTAAGAAATTTATGATTCTTTTGTCCCTTTTCGACCATTTCATGTTCTATTCTTCATGCATATGCTCAGGTCTTGTTTGTGGCGCAATCCCAGTGGAATGGCGGTAGGTAAAATGATTTATTTTATTATACTTTTAATATTCTAAAAGCTCGAGACCTATTACGAGTATTGTGGAGTTGGAGATGTAGAGAAGTTTTCTTTACTTCTCTGGCTTATGCTTCAGTTATCGTCTGGTGTATAATTTATTAAACAGAGCGCATTCAATGTCGCATGAACGCTGCTTACAACAATGTAATGTCCAGCGATAACTCTCTAGAATTTGAACCATAATAAGTTGCCGGGTCGCTCATAATAAAACAATTAACATGACGACGCTTTATTGCTTAATTACACTCGATAGAACTTTTCCAAAATTTCCATCATCATAAAAAGTTTCTTTTGAAAGCACAAATAAAAATAAGTTTTTGTTGTTTTGTTGACATTGACACTCAATAATAAAATAAAATAAAAAGAAATATTTTCAAGGTTTTCTTACCTTCTTTGAAGGAATTTTCGCTGAAATTCCTTAAACACGCCACTCTTGTCTTCATCTTGAGAAAATTTGTATCGTGCATGAGAACTTCCAGGCTGGTAACTACTTTTAGACATTCCTAAGTCCATTTGTAAGTCTACCACTAGCAGAAGGGTAAAAAGAACTAGCGAAACGCCAAACGCCACAGCGAGGCGCTCTTTCAGCTTCATTGATCGTAAGAGAAACATTTTATCACGAATATAATTGAGATATTCAGGAAATCGAGAAGCAACATGTAATGCGACAAATTGCGTGAAATAAATCTTTAGAAACTCTAAAATTGAAATTGTACAATGGCGGACAGTTGAAACCGAATTGTCGATAATTGGCGACGACGTGGCACTCTCGTTAATTTTCCGCTTAATAAACTTCACATTCACTTTTTTACCATCCGACACCACACTGACATCACCTGTCCGTGGATGGTTTAATTTTCGATTGATTTGTCTCACTTGTAATGTTATTTCACTATTTTTTAAGTCTTCATCAGTGTCAAAAAAAACTTCTCTTTCAACAGAATCTTGAGAGACGATCCACGTTAAGCGCTTATCACAAACGAAATGATCATCACAATCAACTGTCAACGTTGGTATACTCAATTTTTCTGCCTTTGCACAGCTGTTGTTAGTGGTATGACGTTTTCGGTTGAAATTTGCTTCAGTAATGATACAGCGCTTACCGTTGCCACATTTTTGTTTTCGTCGCCTTACTACGTAGAAAATTTCTCGAACATCAGCATTTTTCGAACATTTAAATTTCTTACACTGTACTTCACGTTCATAGCAATAGCAAAAGTAAAAGCACTTGTGATTGTGATGCTTGCAGCAAACACATTGATGCAAATTGTTGTTATCAGCAGCTATGTGAGTTGCATTGAAATTATCAGCACAATTGGAAACTAAATCAGCACAAGTGACATTGACGGTATCATTTTGTCGTCGTTGTCGTTGTTGCTGTAACTCGATAGAATCGATGCCTTCATATGTTAGATGTTGTTCGTTGACTGATGATGAATGCTCATTTACATCGCTTCTAACCGTAACTGGTGTAATTGCCGTTGATGTTTCTTTTGCATTACCGTGACATTCATCAGCTGACTCTTTCGACGTTGTTTTTAAATCGCTTTCAATAGACCTGAAACCAAAGTAAAGTAGAATAAATAATTATCATCAGACTCGTGTTTTCTCTATGCGTGATTTAAACAAATAAAAATAAAAATTGTAATGAGTTAGAAGAAAAATGAGTTAAGATCGATATAGATAAATGAAATTTATTTAAAAGGCGTTAAATATCAAACTGTACAAGCATTCGAGTCAAGGTCGCTTAAAATACTCGTTCTCGAATTGCGGGATGAATAAATAAGTTACTGGCGGGCGATACGAAAAATATTGAATGAGATGAATTTTTGCAGAGGGAACAGGAAAATGGTTGAATACAAATGTTGACAAAAAATGTCGTTTTATCTGGATTATCGACATGTCAAGTGTTTTTCTTATTATATTTTGGAAATTGACAGTTAATGAGTTTCAATTTCAACACACGAATAGGCTTTTGTTAATAGTTTTCTTAAAAAACTAAATAAATAGACATAAAAATCAACTTCAAACTTAAAGAAACTGACAAAATTAAAACAATGGAATGTTTTTTCATACACAACTCAATGTGTTAAATTTAATTTATAGGCGAAAAAATATCTGCGAGAAATGTGAATGAAGAATGCAAAAACAATAAAAACGAGCATAACCAGAATCTCACATTAATTTTATGTCGAGATTGCGTCAAACATGAGGTTTAACATGGTAATGAATTTTTGCGTCGTCGGAGTTATGCTTTAGTTGGAAACGATATTGAAATTAATGCTTTATGCTCGGTGTGAGTATCTATAAAGACAATAAAATCGATTTGAATAACGTGAAAATTTCCTAAACTTGAAACCATAAGCTGAAGCCATGAACTGGTTTTTCATCAGCCTCGACAGTAAAACTCAATCATCGAGGTAAATAGTTGGAATAGTTGTGACCATGTTAATGACGTTTACTTTTCATGTTATTAAAGCTAAATGAGAAATGACGTGGATTAATATTTCACATCTCGAGAAGAAAGAATTATGTTTTATTACTCATGTTTACCTGCAGACAATTCATATTTTTTGAGGTGTGATGAAAGCTTTCATCAATTGTGTAAACAGAAATTCGAGTGAAAAGCAATTTAACAATAAATAACCAAATTTTAAAACATTTTCACAACTGTTTGTAGTCACAAAAGCAGAAAACGAAAGTTTATCAATGATTACTGTTAATTACAAATTACGATTGTTACACAATGCAGTAGCTCTGCGTAATAAATTGTGATTTTTTATGATTAATTTCTTTTTTACTTCATTAAATTTCGTGCAATGAACTTTATGATTGATTTGTTTTTGATGCTCTCAAGCTTACTTCCAAGGCTTTAAAATTACAAAGTGTCAAGTCAAACTTTTTTCTTTTTATTTTTAACTGATAGCAAATTTCATATACATTAAACATTAAACAATCCTCGATGTCAAAGCTCATAAATGTATTGCATGTCATGATAAACCATCAGCCATGAAAAGGTGATGAAAACACGAAAAGCGCAATTTTTTGTTTCTTTTTTTGATTATGCATGAAATTTTATTACTTTGATGTTGATTTATGCTTTGTGCTTGAACGTGATTAAATTACAAAGGAACATTGAAAAATAGTTGACTAGTCGTGTTTCAATGTTCCATTCTTGAATTCTATTTTTTTAAGTTTTTCAATTCTGCAGTGTCAAGCACAAATCTCTAGTAAAGCTGCCAGTCATGGCACAGTGATTTTTAGAGCAAACAAACAAAACGGCTTTATTTTAAAGGTCAAGTGAAAATTATGTTTAAGTATCAAGAGAAGAAAGTAAAGCATGTGTAAAATTGGATGGTACAAAGTTACAGCAATGACGAAATATGCGAGTAAGTACGTAAACAAGCGCACTGATCTAGTATCATTTCGTTTTGTTGGAATGGAATTAGTAAAGTATGAGCCAAGGCATAATTTTTATGTTTATCGAAGCATCTCATACATCATGTTTCGCGCCAGAAGTCAAGGGAAATGCAATCACTGGCCAATAAAGCATCTATAAAATTAAAAACAGTAGATAAATAACAACAGCAAAACTTGAGAAGGTTTAACGGTGACTCGTTCTTATATTTATTTATGTAGATATGTACAAAAGTGTTTTTTCAATTGCAACAAAGAATCGACTAAGTATTAACGTCCAATTGAGTTTCATTAAAATCGTATGTTTTGGTAATTATTCTGGAAGGAAAGAAAAGAAAAAAGAAAAGAAAGAACATGAAAAAAGAAAAAGGTAAACGATAATAGAACAAAATACTGTTTCTTAAAGCAACTTATCTAAACGGGAGCAACAATACAGAACTTAATACTAAATTGATTATCTTCTACTCTCAGAGTTTTTTACTTTTTTTGTTTGCAGATTCGATAACTGTTTCTTAGCTTTTCTTCACCACAAACTTTAAGTATGCAAAGAACACTTTTATGTTTTGTTTCCTTGCTTTCTATTTTATTATTATAATTTTTTTTTGCTTCATCACGACTTTATTGCCAATGCAACGTTTCTCAACGAATACATCACGATACGTTACAGCTGAGAAAGAAATTTCAAAGCAAGCACCACACAAGACTAAAATAAATGAGAGATGACGAGGTAGAAGCACAAAAGTTAAGACGATTTCGATCTTAATTTTCAAGTGTCATGCATCAATTCACTTACAAGACGGATGTGATGATGCTTTTCCCACGACACGTGCAGTCAACAATTTTTCATTCTTCATTTTTCATTTTCATCATAAATAAATAGCAAAAGATATTCGATTGAATTCAAAAGATTATTTTGGCAACATGAAGTACAAATGTATCATTTCCCACCATCATTGTCAATTAAAATTTCGCAATCATCTCAAAATTGCCAAAGTATCTAATTAATAATTTTAATATTTAAGTAAAAAGTCATCATTAATGTGTTCATTGAATATATTTGAATGTCAACAACTGTAAAGGACAGATAACGACGGTATTCCTCTCTTATTTCAATGTTGTTGGTGTTTTGTTGATAACGCTTCGAGTTAGTAAAAACCTTTTCCTAACTTTTTTATAAAAAATAAAATTTATTAATGTGCGAGGGAGAGAGATGGAAAACTATTTCCGTCTTGTCATAATATATCATTTAAAACGAACGAAATATTGTTCTCCCACTAGAATTTAAATTAATACGATGTATGTAGTCTAGCATTTGGAAAATTTTTGGTGAATTTAAGTGTCGCATATCTTCTCGTTCATCGTTCATCGTTCGTGTGGAGTGAAAGCCATTTCCTCGTTCTCCCGCCTCTTTCTCTTGTAAATGCAGACATGCTGCTCATATTTATCGCCACAAACCAACGTTTTCTAATGCCATTGAAATGAAAATACAATTGCATTCGTAGTTATTACAAAATTGTGAGGGCCGGGACATCACATGGTGAAGAGTGTATGAGATGTTGTTGGCAAAAGTACTTATTTAACATTTCGAGTACGTTTGTGATGTATCGGAAGTAAATGTGGGATTGAAATGTCATGACGATGATATCATATTTCATCTGAATGTTGAAATTAATTCATACTAAGACATTGTTATTTTAGGAAAATTTATTTAGCTAAATTTTTGGAGAGATTTATCATGTTTTGTCTGGTTTAGGGTCTAAGGCTTGAACTTCAGAAATAGAAACAGACACAGTGAAAAAGAACAGCAATTAAGCATCTTCTTGATGTTTATCTGCTTTGACTTTTCATGCTTGAAAGCTTGTAATTGTTTAATGATTACGAAAGCAATTAGAACTTGACGTTATTATAAGTTAATGAGTGACAAATTATTTCTCTTGTATGTTTTTCATCTGAGATAAGCCTCGTCAATTTTACGTCAGCATCAAAGCCAAAGATTAACAGATGAGCAAAAGAAGATGACGACGATGAAATAAAAAAGAAGAAATTTTCACTCGATTTAACTCAAGAGTTGGAAAAGTGATTTTAAAAAATAATTTTCCTGCTTGTAGAATTTTTTTATTTACGCTTCGCTTGACTTATTTTTCTCCTTTTTCCATCTCAATTTTCTTTTTGTCAAACACACATACTGGGAGTACAGTAAAGCAGTAAAGTAAAGTACAAAGCAAATATATAAATATCGTCGCATGTATCACAGTTTCAAGCGTGGCATGGCGCGGATGGTAAATTTAGCACAGGAGATGCTTTCATTCTTCTTGCACGTTTTCCATTTCACATGATATACATAATCAATCAGTCAACAAAGCTTCACGACAACGACAACGATGAACCCAAACCAACGAATATAAGTATAAACAGACAACGAGAAATGGAAAAATCATTATTTTGTCGTTATGGATTCCCTCGTGTCATAACATCGAAGGCAATTATTACATGAATCTCGTTTAATTGAATTAATTCGGTCGATGTGTGCAGAATTTAGTGGCGAATGACATAATTCGATTAGCTTTTGTGGGGAAAATTTTGAAAGTGAAGAAGAAGAAGAAGATGAAGCAAATAGAAATTTATTTAATTAAGACCTGTTAAGAACGAATCAAATTAAACTTTAATGTGACTTGAAGGCGAACAAATGTCAGAACATGAACATCGCAAACAATTCTTGAATTACGTATGAGCGTGAATTGAATGAAGACAAGAAAACGGGAAGGAAATGGATTCAAAAGAGATTTTCATTGTAATCTCATAATAAATAACAATTTGCTTTAAAGCTCTTTGTCCCAGTTGATGGTAAGCTGCTTATAAAAGAAAAAATAATCTCAACAATGTTACAAATCTCACTGAAGTTATTCTCTAAAATTATTTTTCATTCGACTAATCCTGGCGTTTACTTGAAAGCTTCTTCTCTATTAACTGGGACAAGATGTGGAGAATGAAGCATTTTTCTGAGCTGATTTTATTATCTCGCAACGCAGCGCTTGAATACTGCACATTATATTCTCGATAGGATAAAAAGCGGACAGTCAGTTTGCTGCTTCTTTGTTATTGAACGAGATTAACTTAAATTACGTCTCCATAGTCGTTCGCCTCAGCTTTAATTGCATTTAATTGCCTTCTAAAGTGTAGATGAAATAATTTCACATCACAAACATATCGAATAGATGACGAAGAAGAAGAAAACTCCCAAATAAAGTGAAACGATGCGAATAACAGCATCATTTGTGGCGAGTTGAGTTTATTACTTCATCAAAAATGAGTTAATCTATCTCATCAAATTCACACATCAAATTACGTTAATTGAATTAACGCTCATCAGCGTTTCGCCCGGAGCTTCATTTACAGAAGTTCAAAGATGAATAAACTCGAAAGATTGAAAATCAATTTCATAACTTTACTTTGAGCTTCTTTTGCGAATTCTTTTTGACGAGCTCGAAATGTCTCAGATGGGAAATGTGTGGGCTTCTTCTTTTACTTTTTGTTTTCTTTTTCACTACATGTATTTATATTTTAATTTGAACGAACTGAGAGCGTGAGTTTTGAATGTCTGTGCTTCTTGTCTTATCACTGATAAGTGAACGTTACAATAAAGCAACTCATAAACGCTTTAATCGTCTTATCATTAACTCAGACATTTATTTCTTCGTTTCAAAGTATAAAAATCTAGATTGATTACACCACGTCGTCTCTTGATTACTCTGTCATATTTCTATTAAAAGAATTATAACTTGTGTTGGAATTTTTATTTCTGTTTTCATCGTTTTTCCGACAAGAACAAGAGCAACAAAAATAAAGTCAGCATTAATTCTAATTTTAAATCCAAGTGACTCCCTTTTGAGTCTTAAATTTTTGAGTATTTATATATACGAGCCGTAAAGCTGATAAAACAGCCAGCAAGAACCAATAACTTCACGGCATGCCGTCATGGGATGCATTCAATGAATGTTTTCTTTTTCCTTTCTTAGAGATTCCAAATCCCCTTGTCATTCTAGAGAAGTGGCGAAAACAACTTGAGGATTTTATGAACAACATGTTACACCGAATAGAAACAAATTGTATCATCACAGGAATGAACAAAAAAAAACAGAAAGGAATTGTCGGAATTTGTAAGTCTTCACGTACCAAATAAATCTCCGGTTTATGCGTGCGCCTTTTCTGGGTCAAAGCTCCTTGATATTTATGTTAGCAGTATCCACTGACGGTGTCAACTTTTCTCTCGTTTAATTCAAGTAGATAATAGATAAATAAACACAAAAAATTCTGTCTTGATACGTGACGTTATCACTTAACAAGGCAGTTACTTCCGCGAGAATAAAAGAATCACTGAAACTCAATAGACATAAAACAGAATGTTGTAATGATATAATCTTACAATTCTTATGCAAACTGCATAAATTAATTAAATTTAAAATTCACACACACTCGCGATTAAATGAATCTGTTGAAATAAAAGCTGAAAAACTGATTCCAACAGCGATAAAAACGACACCCGCGACTTATTGTCGACGAAAACGAAGAAGTAAATATTTTTTCAGTAGAATTTCACTTTCAACAGAAAACGTATTGAAAAGACAAGAAGAAAATGAAATAAAAAATCCAAAGACTCCACCGCAGGCGAAAAAGAAAAAAAGTTGAAAAGTAAACAACCGAGTGATTGTACACACGAAAAAAAAAGATTTTTGTTGAGAATGCGAGAGAAATGTAAAACATGTGAACACACAACACATATCATGACGACGAATTCATCATAAATATCGTTTGTATTTCATTTACATACTTACTTACTTGCGTATATTTTTCGGCACTCATCCGCTTAAACGCTCACGGTAACATCAGCAGTAAATATGTGCACGGAGTGGAAGCAATACGTAATATTTATTAACATTAGCATGTGGCGTTGTCTAGAGGCCACCGATGGCACCATTGATGTGTGAGTTTCGTTTTTATGATATTCTCTCAATGTGAACCTCATCGTCATTTCATTAATTAAACTCACACAAAGCAATTTATTTTTACTTTACACAAGTGCCAGTGGAGATGATTGTATTCGCATATCTCATTATCATTAGCACAACACCAGACCGTGGTTCAAATCAGAAATTAATAAAATCCCAGTGTTGTGGTGAAGATGATGAATGGATGAATGAAAGAATTATCTTGAGATTTGTTTCCGCAAACTCTTTAAGACTTCTCATCTTTTCACATCTAGGAAAGAATTATTTATTACGATGAGAACTTCTACTTTAGCACCGCACCGGTAAAATTGTTCTTTCTCAAATATATCTGAAGCTAAGTTCAAATCTAAGCATTTAGATGAGATAGTGTGGTTTACGGTTTGATTATTTCGCAATGTTAAAATAATTTTCTCATACGCTATCATCATCTCTGATCTCTGTTAAATGAGAATTTAAGATGCTCTCTGACATAGAAACGCATGATAAAATACAAATGTGAAGTTTAATTTGACTTTGAAAGTCAGGAACGTTTTTAATTGCGTCGTGAAGCGTGAACGTGACTAGTCATAAGTATCATCAACAGTACATGTCAGTTTACTTCTAAATTCAATTTGTTAATTTTGCAGATAGTTTATTGTAAATAAAAATATTTTGCCAATAACGAAAAGCAATTAACCGGCAAACACCTGAACGAGCATCAAGCAAATAAAAATTCTATTTAAGTCATTAAACATTTCAATGAGAACAACCAATCATTAAATGTTTTTATTAAATAAACAACCATCAGATGATTGGAGTGTAATTTGAAGGAAAAAAGTTCGAGTAGTCATATCGACAGAATTTTTTTGTCTTCTTCGTTTTTTTACTTAACAATTGAGTAGATACTTGAACATTAACTCCACGGAAACGATGTTGAATGTTGCTGACATTCTCGAAATAGGTATTTTCGAGGAAAAGATCAAAAGAAGAAATTGGTGGGTACAAAAGACGTTCGTTCCGAGTGGTGCAGTTTAAGTAAGTGAGCTCTCGTAGCATTTTAGATGAAGCTCGTTGAGAAAGTCATAAAAACCTACTCAAACTCAAAGTTTTTATTAATGTTTCACTCGGGGCTCATAAAACAGAAGAAGACAACGAGGTTTGATGTTCGCTAAATTGTAAGAAAACGTATTAAATTTCGCAAAGTCTGCAACAGATTGAAGGATCTTAAGTGTCACATTAAAAAGCTTAGCTTTCCTTTCAACCTCGCTGAGTTTCAATTAATTCTTTATTTATTTTATCATCAGTAACAGAAGCAAAGCTCAAATGCAAATGACAATACGTGCAATCGAGTTCATTAAATGGATGAAAACGATGTCGTTTGCTGCTGATTGTCATACTGCAGAGACTTGTATCAAATTAAAATCAGTTAAACAGAATTCGAAACATGTCTTTTAAACAAGAGATGAAAAATTGATTTATAAAAAGCTGATTAAATCTTCTCCAGAAATTAGTTGTGAATCATTATGTTTACATCGACATAAGCTGAGAAAATTAATTTTTTTTCTATTTTGAAATCATGTAAGAAGTGAAGTGAAACGTTGTCGTTGCCGTTGCGCCCTGTTTCACGATAATTTATTTTTTAAGGGTGGTTTTTGTGATTACAGTTTAAGCCTTTTAAATTATTTTGAAATCTACATCTTAAATAACTCATCATGCAATATTAATTTTAATCGGTTGTTGCTACAAGTACAAAAACCACTTAAAAGATGTCAAACTTCAGCTTAAAGAATTTTAAATTATTCGCTTGAAAGGGCAACAAACAATTTTCTTTCTCTCTGTGTTTGTGAATGTGTCGTTGAAAAGCTGATGTAGATAAACTGCTGTCATCAGTCACTGAATTTTCGTGCTTTTCCTGTAATTAAAACAGTAACATTGGAGTTGTTTCATCGTTTTAACCATATGCAAACATCCTTTAAGCAAGTCATTTAAATATTCTCAGAAAATGCGAGAATAATTTTAAAGTTTTTCTTCTTCCACTTAACTTCAAAGTATGCAAATTCAAAAAGTGCACAGAAAATCATTTATTATCGCTTTCGACTGATATCGAACCGTATTTATTTGATTTTCCACGCTATTTTCAATTCTCAATGGCACAAAAAGTTGATATAATGCTTCAAGTATTGATTTTGATATTTTTTCATTTGCGATCAACTCGTCAATATTTCTTGCCTTAGGGAGAAATTGAATATTTCTATGATATTTATGAAAACCAATTTGATGCACCAAAATAAAGTAAAGCAAAGCAAAGCGAGACAAAAGGAGTGAAAGACCCTCGAAATGCGCTTCGATATATCAATTGCAATAGATTCAAACCGTTCAATTTAGATCATCAAATATCGAGTAAAGCAAAGCGATTAGATATCGAAATATTGCTTTCAGGCAATTTGGGATTCGTTAATTTGTATCGTGGCTTAATTTTATTTCATCCTCTGCTTGTGATTTTTAACTTGAAGGGAATCGAAACACTGAGAAATGTTTTAATGTATCGAATTTTGCTGTTGGCAATGATGCGATGCGGTGCGTCAATGGAATCGACCAAATGCCAAATGTTTTCATTGGCCTTTTAATTAAATAAATTCATTCGAAATGCTTTCGAACGCTTGAAGTTTTATCATCTTTTTTAGGTATGTGTGTTTATATTTTAAAACTGAAAAAGAACAGACAAAAAAGGTTGAAATCATTTTTATCACCTAAGTATGAATAAATAAATAAATAATTGAGTAATTGTCCCAGAAAAAAAGAGAATTCACTGACATTCTGCACAATTTCAGCGACTGTCTAAACTTTTAATTTAACTGACTGTGTAAGCATCAACTCATAATTAAACATGAGGAGAAATTTCGTGCTGCTGTTGTTCTGATAGAAAAGCCACCAATTGTTTCACTTTATGATTCTGTGAACTCACATCAAACGCGATTTTATTTCTGGGCGAGTTTTCATCAAAATAATTTTAACCGGACAATGCCCCATCATCGTGTGCTTTGCGCGGCATGAAGATAATTAGGTTAAAATTAGACAGCGCCCGTGTAACAATGAAATCAACAAAAAAATGTTCATCGCTCTTTGAGCTCTGATTTTCCCTTTACTACTTACCCAAGTAGATTGAACTAGAGAGTTAAGTAAGCCGACATAAACGTTGAAGATTGAAGCAAACAGGGTGCGATCAAATGATTCATATAAGTTGAAAATAAACTCAAACATTAAAGTGTTTTATGAAACGAAACCGGAAGATTTTAATAAAAAAAAGTTTTAACTCAATTTCATTGAGCAACACGACTTTTAAATCGACTGCTGGTAACATACACAGAGTATTGGTAGAAAGCTAATTTTAGATATCAAAAAGTTTTGATCGACATGAAACATTTTTGAGCAATTCAATTGTTGTCTTGTTGTGTCCAATGAAATTGATACTCTACAAAATATTGGCTGATTACATTTCTGTCTACTCGACAATTGTCAATTGTTAATTAGACGGTATTGTGATTGTCAGCCTTTAATTTGTTCATATATCAATGCAAGCAGATATTAATCGTTGTTATTCAGCTCAATGGGCGAATGATTTCATTGACGATTGTGAATCCGAAACTCTGACGTCACTTTAAATTAAACAACTCTTCACATCGTCGTGTGGTTAAAAAAATATTGAATAAATATAAAAGCCTTATGGAATAACATCTCAAGGTCTTTATTAAGTTGCTATAACGAGAGTTCAAGACAACAAGTGTGAATAATTGAGTATAATTTCCTTGCGGGTGTAAATAATTTATTTTCAAATATTGAAATCATCGAAAATATTTTTGGTTTGGTGATTCGATCACCAAAATGAGGAACAGTTGGAATTTCCTAATTGAAATTTTTTCGCAAACCGCAATATTTGGGTTCACTTTTTTGACGCTTATCACACGCTCCACTCTTTTTCCCTTTAAAATGAAGTCAAATTAAAATGTGAAAAATGAAAATGGAGCAATGAAAATTCGTGTAACATATTGTGGTTTGAATGAAATGAAGCGGGAGGCGGGGGGAAAAGTTAATGTAAATATTTATGTTTATTTATGGTTTAATGAAAAATATTTTTTTGTGTGTGGCGCTTTTTATGCTTTTTTAATGCTAAGTATAGCATATGTTGGTCTGCAAAGATGAGACCACAAATCTCAACGACGCTAAACAAATTAATTAATTCTTATTAATAAAAATGACGGACAATTCTAACAAACTTTCCCTACACGTCGATTAATAATTTTCACCGCAATCTTCTCATCATTTCAGCTTGAAAATGATACCCCAAAAATGCTGATCACGCAAATGACGAAGTGAGTGATTAAAAATAATTGACAGTTTCTGCTCAAGCGGTTTTGCGGTCGATTAAAACTTTTTCCTCCTCGCACAGAAAGTTAAACTTCACTATTGAACAATTAATCAAACTTCAACTTTAACTTAAACCAAAGTCATGTTTTGAGATTGCATCAAATGGACGATAACAACAAAACTCGTTCAAAAATGCAATTTTTCATTAGCACACTGAAAACAAAAGCTTTATGTTTAAAAACTTTTTGGTGCTTCTGTTCTCGATGTTTAAGAATGATAAAATAAAAGTTTGTAAACTTTTCATTATGTCTTCAGAAATGTCTGCTTGTTGATATTTTTTTTGCTTCCGTGGCATTCAATAAACAATAAATTACAAGTCAAATAAGGAATTGAATATGAAATCAAATTTTACAATATGAATTTTATTTAAATTTAAGATACATTCGATGTAAAGTCAGAGATGCGAATGTAACAAAAATTGTGCTTCCTTCTCCTTATCAATTCTCATATTTTTATTATTTTATTGATAAAAATGTCAATCAACTCTTATACACATATACGAACTCTTAATTAGCACTCTTACTTTGTGCTACTTATTTACATGTAACGACATTGACTTTGTGTGTTAATTATGAACATTTCCAAATACGACACTCAATGCTTAAATCTACACATAATTGATTTAATTTGATATGAAAAGTGTCACAATATTAAACATCGGGAATGAAATGAAATTATTGTATGCAACACAATTGAAAGAAAAATGATAACGCAATTGCGCACGATTGTGTGACGCATACAATCATAGAATTCAACAACTTTGTTGATGTAATCATTCAGAAGAAGGCAACAAAAGTGAAAAAGAATTCAATTTATTATTCAAGCTTGTGTTGAATGTCTTATTAAGTCAAGTTCAAGACTTACAACTTGCTACAACCGGTAATATTTGTGACACATGTAAGTGAATATTAAGTCCAAGTGTTGTTCCGCTTTCGCTTTCCTCTCGCGTATTCTATCAATGCAATGTTGATAATTTTTGCAACAAATGGACGAGTTCCGTTCTAGAAAGAATCGTCTGCATTGATAATTCAATATTCACCCTCCCTTTCCTGCTTAATCAATGCAATTTATTATGAATTTAAAATACAAAAATTAAATAATTTAAATGCATCTTTTTTATTTAAATTTCCATTCGAAAGTTCATGCCATTTATGATAATGAAAGCAAACCAGAAGTGGCGACTGACTTCTTCAATGTGCTTAAGTAAATGTCAGTCATACAACAACAATTCTTACTGAATTTAAAGAAAAGAGAGAGAGAGAGAGTGAGAAAGGAGATGATTACGAGTGAAGTTGAATGATACGATCAGTTTGTTGCTATAACTTCTGTTTGCTATTCATATTTTTTATGTCTTAGAAATGCAATGCTCCATCGAGATTATAATTTAACTGAGTCTTGAAAATCTTTCATTTTGTCCCACATTTCCCACGAAAGAGAAGATTTTACATTAGCCAATAAATAAATGGCATGCAACGAACGACTCACGGAAATTGGTTTTCCATCTTGCACTTCGAGCAACTTTTGCAAGGCAATCGATAGATGTTTAGCATGTTTAATAATAGAAATTAGAAAGAAGTCTTGCTTGAAAGTGACAGAGAAAGGAAAAGAAGTTTGTGCAAGCAGCTAAACAAGTAAACCTCTTGACCCAATATTTATAAAAATTAAATTTTCGTGATCTCTACGAGAAGGAAAATAAAAACTGAAATCGAAACTTTGTAGATATTTATATTTTCTCTATTCGCTCAAACAGCGAACATTAAGTAAATGATCAACTTTCGAGTATATTTCATTTTTGGAAAGATGATTAATGTGAATTTAAATCAGTTGAACATGAAATCAATTAAATTCTTAAAACTTATTATAACGTTCAACGTTAAATCCGCAATTGAAATTGCAAAGAAATTCTTTCGTTAATTTTTCGTTCGGCACTATCCATTAACGGTGTTACATAATATGGGTTAATGGGCTAGATTTGATGGTCTTAAATATTTAAAAGTTCGAATTTTTAACCATCTTCGTTTCTATTTATTTTCGCTTTCGATTTCCTTTCGCATGTTGCATTATCTATTTACAAATATAACCGACCTGGAGACGCTAAGGCGGCACTCAATGGAGGCGTCTCATGTTTCTTTCTCATCAACAAAAGCATTCAAATGTTCTCTCTGGAACACAATCAAACATTTCGACTCATATATTGAACGATAAAATATATTTTTGGCACTTTCGACAATCGCACCGAGCAGATTTTTTTCATTTCTCTTATGCGATCAGGAAAATTCAAAGAAAATTTAAAATAAATCATTTATTTCATAATATTATACTTCAGTGAAATTTCTTATGCCTCATAAACCTCAACTTTGATGTCTATTTTTCTTTTGACGACCTTGAGAGAAGAATTCGAGAGATACTGACAAACAGATATAGATAACTAGTAACAGAGCACGATGAAACAAAGAAAAGATTTTTGACAAAAAAATATCGATGTCAGTCATTAAATATGAGTGAATCATGGTTATGAGAAACTAGTTTAGATATTTATACGATTTTTTTTTGCAAGAAGCGACAACGAAAGTTTTTGCGAGAGTTTCAACGTTTTATCATTCACCTAGATTAAGTTTAAGAACAACAACATAAAATGAGAAGAATAAAACAAGTTTAAAGTGAAAACTTCTTTTGCATTTTATATTCAAACAAACTTACGTACCTCTAAAAGTCACCGAAGTTGCTGTTCAACGGGAATATCTTCAATAAGAAGCAATTCCTAACAATTTTCTTTTTTGCAGTGTAACTATGTCTACGAAGAAATCTCGAACGGAACAATATAAAAGCAGCAATTCAAAGTCACTTTTGTTTCACATCAGAACTATTCATTTCTCTCATTAATCTACATAAATATAAATTCTTTGCGATCTTAAATATTTCTTCTTTTATTACTTTCATGTGATCACATTTTATACACTTGTTTCTTTCCTACTTTATTTCTTATTTTTATTTATTTTGTTTATTTTGACTCATACACTGTTAAAAAATATTCTTAAAGGATTTCTCTCAGAATTTTCCGAACGTTACTAACACAAATATGCGATAAGAATTTTCACTCTCAAGGATAATCAATAAAGTTGTCACTGTGATTTTAAAACTTTACTTAAACTTTAATCGTTTGAATATCGCACAAGATTTCAAGAAAATTAAATCAACCAGCCGTTAGTGAACTAGTCAGCGCGATTCACAACTGAATGCAAGACTTAGAAGTTTGTCAAAATATATAAAAACAAGAGTTGAGTTTTAAGAAAAGCTACAAAAATATCACAAACACTAACATCGGAATTTTGCTTTGTACTGAGCGCTACGAGAGAGCGAATGAAGAAAAAAATCGATGCGGAGAATGTTTTCGGTACAAAATCAAATGTACAACTGAATAAAAGTAAAAAATTGTTTGAGAGAATGTGCTAACCGATTTTTGCTTCGTTGCTACAACGATGGAGCTTCTCCCAGTTTTTTTTTCTTCTATTTATGCTTCCCATTCATATTGTTCATAGAGCATAACAATAGTTTTTATTCCATGTCTTGTTGAAAATAAAATTTATTTAATTTCTTTCTCTTGTTTCAAATAACCCGATTTAATGTTGTATTTCTTTAATTCTCTCAGGTCTAAGCGTCGAAAAATCTTAGAAGCATATTTCGTTACAACAATTATTTCTTTACTTTAAGTTGTTCCCGCGGTTTAGTATTTTAAATTTATTATGAGAGGAAAGATGAGATTACTGTTCAATTATCATATGACGGTACCCTCAAGTTTATTTCTAACTTAAGAAGCAAGAAAATTAATTAATTTTAACATTTATAAACTGCCATTCAAGTGGATTTAAATGCACTTTTATTTGTAATCATTTTCTGCATCATGGTCAAAGGTTGAAAATCTTTGCAACATATTTTGTTGTCTTCTGTCATACGACATAAATTTTAACAACAGATCACTAACTTCATCTGGAAACTTCTTCCCAAGTACAATAAAACTACAGTAAAAATCATAAAAGGTAGATTCCTTGAGTCATAAACTAATGTAGTTATTTATTACATGATTATTCCATAAAAGTGCAGAGCAATTCAAATTTTTCTTTTCTGGTAGCTTTTAATCGTAAAGCAGAATATCATTCAAATTGTATGCTCAATGTTGAGCATCACGAAAAATTTTTCGCCTTAAAGTTATGCAACATTTTATGTAAACTTGTTGTGACTCAATTAATGTCGTACTTTAAAAAGATAACAACGAGGAGGTAATAAAATGCAAGAATCTTCTTTAGAAAGAAATTGTAATAAAAAACAAAACATAATAAAATTCGCTCTTATTAAATTTTCAGTTTTAAAGCAGATAATTTCTACCAGTTTTGACAGTTTCAATCAAATTTATTACTTTTAAATTATTAACAATAATAACATAAGCTTCAGTGCTTTTCATTTTACAAGCATCTAAATACGCATATAATCCTCAATTCAACAGTCGTAAAATTGTATAATTAAATGTGTTTGTCAGGATTCATTTTATTACCAAGGGTATTGTCGAAAACGTTGCAAATATCTGTTTGTTAAATGACAGAGTAGTTAAATCACTTATAATTTCACCATTAATATTTTACAATTATTAAAGCTTTTCAAATAGTATTGAATTGATTTATTGTTGAAATTATGTATTTATGAATGTTTCATTATATTTGACCTGATAACTGTTTCGAAAATTGATTAGGCAGAACATTATCTGATTATCTTAACATGAATCAAAAATAGAATTTGTTCAAAAATAAATAAAAACCATTTAATTTATTCTCACATTATCAATTATCAACCAAACAGTTTTATTTGGAAGAAGTGTTCGCTAATATAAAACAAATAGTTAATCAAGAACCAATTAAACATTTCGAAATTAATTAAAGTACGATGTGAAGAAGTTCTTCATTTTGAGTGTCTCAATGAATTCCTGAATGTAAGGATGGAAATAATGAAACATCTTGTAATGTTTCGAATTCATTATTCATTCTTTATCCTCACTAAATCTTTTAATTCTGTTCACCATTTCATGGAACTTGAGAATTATCATCAACTCAATGTTTAAAATCTTTTTAAAGCTTTAAACTGTTAAAGCCACAAGGATCGCCTTAACCATAGTGCTTCCAAGTATAACCGTTATGTTCAGCTGCAATAAACTTTATAAGAGCAATCAAGTAATTTAGTGAAGCTCACAAAAACGAAACCTTTTCTTACTAGCTAGCGATGCAAGTTTGAAAATCCTTGCAAAATTCAAAAAACGAAGGAAATGGTTTGAAAAGAGTAAAACGCTACAATTTATTTTGCGACGCTTAATTATTTTATTGAATAAAGTCACGCAGTTCATCGTTAGTAATAAAGCAAATGCGCTATGTAGCTTAATTACACGATCATAAATCCATGCCGTTTATTTATTTATATAAGAAACAAAAAGCTTTCATAATGGAAAACTAAAATATAAATTGATTTTTCCTTCCTTACATAGCAATCGCTTTTTCATAAATTGCATCAAATTTACGCATTTGAAGATACATGCGGTAATATCACGAACGTTTAAATAATGGCAAGAAGAAAACTCGCCTTTTAGTTCTTCACTTTACTTTTATTTTCCTTTCTTCAATATAAACACAAATCATAATAGAAATATCGTTAGGTCGTTGGCAATTGTCCACATGGCGTGACTCTTTGAAAACAAAATATTATTTTCAACACACCCTCAACAATTTATTGTTACGATACTTCTAAAATCTACCATCGACGAGGAATGAACTTTGATCCGTAACAATGATTACAAACGGAAAGAATGATGCGAAATTATGTGTTTGATTTATATTACGCACGCCAAATGACAATTAGATTGTGAAGGAGAAAGAATGTGCTATGATTTATTTGATACGTAAATAATACAATTTTTATGATTAAATAAGGCTCATTCGTGTAAGCAATAAAATTCGTATGAATTGATTCGACAAAGCATGTGATTCACACCGACGCGAAACAAGAGATTCAGTATCAAAATAATTCAATCAAACTTTCAGAATTCCCGACTCTCGTTTATGCTCAATGATGTTAAAAGACCGAATTAAGATATTGAATATCCAATTCAATGTTCCCTAGCCGCTAGCCGAATTCCTTTTTTTCTTCTACTTTTCCGTCTCTCACTTCTTATCACTTCACTGATTTAGAATTAAAAAATGAAAGAATGAAATTCTCACCGAGAATCGCACAATGAGGATTAATTTCCTTCTTTTATTATTTCTATGCTCTTCTCATCGCTTTTATTCGTACTTGGCATTTGGCAACAATCGAAATTGAATTTTATCTCATTAATTTCTTCTCGGCTTGGAAAATTCAATTTGTAATCGAAGTTCGAGTGAAAAGTGGAAAGATGAAGTTAAGAAAGAAATTATCAATTTTCTTCACTTTTTTTTATTTTCCTTCCACACCATATAATCAAAGCGTGAAAAATCCCTCCAAGAATTATCATTATCTACAATGATTTCATAAACCTTTCAAAGGAAAGTGGAAGTGAGATTTAATTAAGAATGAAGGGAAAGGTAAAAAAGAAAGACTTTATGGCTCAAAGACACTTTTGCCTTATTTTTAATTAAGGAAACTCACGGATTATTTCCATTTGCAGAAGTAGATGAAAGAAAAATTAATAAGAATAAAAATGATTTAATTTTCTGATAAAGATTATCCACTTTCAGTCGCATGAATCGCTGATCCATCATAAAGCAGTTAGCGTAAAAATTGAGAATGAAATGTCGCAGATAAAATTTATCCAAACACATTTTCATTAACAGTTGAAAATCTTTAAGTATGTAAACCGAAATTTCAAGTGATGATGGAAAATGAGAAGAAATTTAGAAACATGGAATGCTTGAAAACAAAGATTTTGTTGAAGTGAATGTCACACCACCAAACCAACCCACCATGAATATTAAAGTAAATCAAGCAGAATATGTATAATTAATAACATTTAATCTTTGTTCACCTGACATAGCATTAACAACATAGCGGAAAGAAACATAAAACTTCTCCATGCATTGATGTGGAAGCGCGTAGTAATTTGCTGATGTCAGAAGAACGTCTGAGAATGCGTGCGGCAAAGCTTTCCACTTGAAAACATTCGTTGAAATAATCATTATTTCTCCACTTTTTTGAACGGGGGGAAAATCGCAATTCTTAAGGGAAACAGAAAAGAATGAAGAAAAAATCGAAAGAAAAATCAACACGACACCCGCAAAAGTAATTAATCATATCAAATGTAGCTTTTGATATTAATTGTTGTGTGACTTGTAAAAAAGGAGAAGGAAAAGGTGAAAAAAAGGAGGCATGCCAAGGCGAAATTACAATTCGCTGTTTTTGTACGCTTTATGACTTTTATATGTATCGTGTAATTAGTGTAGTGAACAAACCACAGTCAACCGCTAAAAGCCTTCAATCAATGCGATTTTGTGACATGTCAGTTAAGTGCTTAAATCGATATGGTATCAAGAAAACTAATAATTATAATGCCTGAAGATTATCGAGATAAAATTGATCCTTACGGCGGTGAATGAATTTTTGCGCGTGTGTAGGGAAATGTAAAAATATTTAACGTCGTTTACGATTTGCATGAATAAGTAAGGTTGATGCACATATCAAAGTATAAAAGCGAGCGACACATGCTGATGATGCGAGCTAAACAGATTAAAATGAAAGTTTCATGAAAATATCGTCCGAGTTTATCAGAAAATTAAATCTTAAACAGCTTCTCGTCACGATTCAATGCGTTCATCGTAAATGCAAAATATTTAAAACATTTCTCGAATACGTCTTGAAGCGTGAATTCTTTAAGCATAAATATTAACATTTGTGACATAAATTTAAATGTTTCCTCAGTGATATTATCAAGGAAGAAATAATCATTTGTTCTAAAATAAATTTGCAAATCACAATTGAATGTCGATTGTATCATTAAGTTATCTGCAGAACATTGTCACTTTCTTCCACGTTTTCGCTTTCTTTTCTACTATCTCATGCCATGCCATGCCTGCCAAGAAGGAGAAGCTTGCCTTGAATTTATAAATACTTCTCATTTTAATGTTTCTTTTATTTCCTATCCCAGATGAAAATCCTTATTAACATTATAAAAGTATAAAAAAATTCATTTAAATTCAAAACACGGAAATTCTTTTAAATATGTTTCTCAAATTGCTTCAAATAATTGATAACGTTTATGCTAATGGATTTAATTTTTGCTTACCTCTGCTAATCTCTAAGGCATACGTAGATTGATTTTCATTTCATTAATTCATGAACTTCCTTTTTAGGACTAAAATAAATTTTAACTCGAAGGTTTAAGGCCATGCATAACAGACAGTGATAAATAATTAAGATGAGTTAATGTTTTTTTCTTTACAAAACAAGAAGAAGAAATGTTTTACGTAAAGCTTTCAAAAGTTTTTTTATGCTTCTTTATCCTTCAAGACATGTTGCCCTTATCTTTTATTTAAAGGTCCTTTGATATAATGCCTTAAGATGCTTCCCATTGTTTTTCTTGGTCAAAAGGCAAATATTTTATCAATCCCTTCATAATCCGGATCGACAATAAAGATTGAAAGCGATACAATCTATTCTGAACCAAGAATGGTTTTTGATACTTGCTACAAAATGTTCAAGCTTATCCTTAGGCTTGATTTGTAAAAGATTTTTTTTATTCTGGTGTCTTTGGAAACTTCGTTGGCATGGCAAAAAAAAAGTTTGACGTATCTGAAGATTTTCTTTATCCTTATTCAAATCGTCCTTTTTATACTAACAGAGATAGTCACGCGTTATATAACATGATTAAGTGGAGAGAAGATTTAAACCAATCTCTTTCTTCCTTTTTTTTAATTTCAAACATTTAATGCTTCGGGGATGTCTTCATTGTCACTTACTCCCCCTTCTAATATCTCATTTTTTACCTCTGTATTTAGTCAATGTATTACCTTAAGGATGAAGAATCCAAGATGATAAATAAGGAAAAAATTATACCCTCATTAATTTCAGGGTAAGTTGAGACGTAAATTTTGTTATTCTTTTTGTTTTTTTTTTCACTGTCATCATGCTCTGTTGCATTTTTTAATTTACTTTAGATCTTAAGCGAGCTTTCAATGGAACTTGAATTAAAAAAGGAGAAAGTTTTACGACCTAGCGTCAGAAAATGAGTTTTGGTCATTAAGTTAAACGGTGGTCTGGAACGTAAACGTCGTCGCAACATTTATTAATGAAGTCAGCGGCTTCATCTTGATATCGTCACACAAAAAAGTGAAAATTTATTCTCGTCACTGCTGCTTTATTGGGACTGAATTTCTGTAATTATTTTCTCAGATCAAATCAAAGTTTTGTAATTATAAAACTTTTAGACGAGACCTCTAGGGCAATGAATAAAATAAAAAATTATTAAAACTTACACAGAAAAGTTCATGAAAAGTGGTTTGGCTTGGATTAAATTTTACTCACAGCATTTCAATGAATCAGCTTTGAGATTACACCAACTTAAATGATTTTGATATCAAAAGACATTTTTCTTTCGCATTCACTGCAGTTTCTCTCGTTAAGTGCTTGTCAGAGATGCAAATATCTTCGTAGTTTTTCTTAAATACTGGAATTTATGCTTCAAGTTTATCCTTTCATGATATAAATAAATTCACGTTTAAATTACGGAGAGTTGAAGGGATGAACATTTTACATATGTACTGATATAAAATGTATGGATATGTGTTTTAATATAAAAGTCACAATGAATAAAACAGAGAATCTCATAACGTTTTTCAATTTCAACTTTCAAATAATCTTAAAAGGAATTTTTTTCTGAAATTTATTCGACAGAAACTTGCAAGTGAAAACCTTAAGAAGCTCTGCTGAATTATGAATTAGTTTATATCAAGAAAATATGGATTTAAGAGAGAAACTGACAAAATATTCTTTTTTCTATTAACATAATTTAGAAGGTTCAAAAATGAAACAAACAAAAAAGAATTCCTTGAAGATAACATCAAAGTTTATTTGTACCCACAAAAATTCGCGCTTCATTGAAAAAATTAGTGAAATGTTTTGTAATAATTTCAGTTATAATGCTCCGTTAAGTTTATGAGGAAAGCCACTCCTGGGAAAGTGACAGAAAGGTCATGGTAGTCTTCAACCTAACATATTTCACTTAATAATTTTCAGACAACACTTTCACACCCAGTCTTTTGTCCTTGTGACCTAAAAAAATTCGTTTTGCCTTCGAATGAAACTTGGTTGTGAAAAAGAAATTTTGTGATGGTTTCTTTTGGAAAATGAACTTACTTAAGTTCATTGATTAATTTGCTCATTATCATTGCTTCTGCTTTTGTGACAATATTGACTGGAAAGCATCTTAAACGCCAAAACTCTAATTAAATTATTATAAACTCTTTCAAAAGAAATTCCATCGAGATTCCGATCATGTTTTGTGGTGAAAATCTCTTGAAAACCATCAGGTAAACACCCTCAAATTATCTGTGATATCCGAAAAAAGATGAAAAAACTTTCAGTCGAGTAAAATGACTAAATCTGTCCGTAGCAGTAAACACTTGAGCCACGTATCTCAAAGAGTTGGGTCGAACTGTTGAAGGTTTGCACGTAGATTGAGAAAAATCCTAGGAAAAGATCGATTTTCAATTAGATATTTAGAAAGAAAACTCTCGATTAAACTTCGACTATCTCTCGAACTCACTCGAATTAAGATGAGAAGAAGACAGAAGAAAGAAGAACAAGGAAAAAGTTGAAATAAATAAAAACCAATGGCAGATTGTTGCCTGTTTGTTGATTGAAGGTAATTTCCACATTCTTTCTTAATTTCCTTTTCTTATTTATCTTTTCCGTTGCCGTCAATTTGGAGTGTTTTGATTCTAATTAGGTTTGATTGCATAAATAATTTCGAACTTTTTTTCTGCGTACGTTTCTTTCTCTTATTTTATTATATTAGGAAGAAAACAGCGAGAAAGCTGTAAAAGAAAATAGAAAGAAGAAAAGTCTTGCTGAGACATTATGAAAATCATCGCGGAAAGGTGTCGAGAATTGCACCCTTGAGGATGTGCCAAAGAGAAATTTCACCGCATCAGAGAAAATCGTGTTGTAAAAATTAATTGAAAGTGCTGAAGCAAAGCTTCAGTCACATGACAGCCATTCACTATGAAATCTTCTACTTCCACGTCCATTCACAGTCTCAATAGACAAAAAGTTACAAGTTTTTCAAACTTAAACAAAACATTTTCATTCGAAAATGTTCGTAGGATTTTTATTTAAAATAAAAAAGGTTGAAAAGTTTGAGGATGTACCGTGGGAATTGTTCAGTGTGCTTTAGATTACAACCAAACCCAGAAAGGTTAGAAGGCAGATCCTGTCAACAGTTCAAATAGCATTGCAGAATATTAAAATGACTTTTCTCGCAAAAACACGAACGCTCATTTATTTGCAAAGCTTTTTCAATTTCAAAAATCGAGCTCATTGATGTTCTTGTCAGGGCTTTTATTTTTTGTGTTTTTCAATTGTTTGAATAGTTTTTCCAACTCTAAAGGCTCGGCCTAATCTGTCCTATGAAAATCGTTACATGGAGAAAGAAAACTCATTGAATTCAATTCTCATGAAGCTTTTAAAAAATACATTTCGCTTCGAAGCTGTTGTGAAATTTTAAATATTCAACATGATAAGTCGGAGCGGGATGTTGAGTTGCTACGGATGGTTACCGCATTTCAAAAGGGATAATCTCTTTAGTTTCTTTTTTCAAATGAAGTCGCTCGGTTCTAAAAATGAAAAGCTTTGTATTCACTGTCAACGCATAAATAATTGAAACAGAGAAATTTCATTGGGAACAATTCCATTCATTCAATTCAAAATCAAGAGACACTCACAGTTGACAAAATTAACGTTGATGACGTTGAATATTTACTGTTTACATTTCTCCTTATGACCCTAAAGCCTACCAACGAAATATTATCGGTAAACAAGATTTCGTTCAAAAACATGACACGTTTAAGCATAACAAGGGAAACTTGTCATTAAGTTTCGTATTATGTGAATATTGTTGGATAAGATTTGTGATTTTACGCACGTTCTCCACTTTTCAATGAAACTTACGAATTAATTCAATACAAAATAGCTTTAATATGCTTTCAAATCACCATAGTGTAGCTAAATAAATTAGAACTTTAATTACGATTTATCTTCAGAATTAATGCTGAGGGAAAAGAGATTTAGGATTATGATTATTAAATTATTCTAAGCTTGAGAAGATTTTTACAATGTTCTTTCAAAAAATCATCGTTGGCTTAATTAAGCTGCATAAATATTTTTTACATAGCATTATCGATCTCAAAACGATCCCAAATCAACCCCAAAATGATCTTACAACGTAAAAGATTAAAATCTAATCGCAATCAAATATAATCATGTAAAGAGTTAAAAACAATATTTAAGCGAAATTCTTGCTGAATTCATTTCAATTATTATGTTAATAAAACATATAAAAGTGACTTTTGCACACAAATTTCGCACATAAGTTTCGTTAAATTAATGAATTATTCATGTTATCATCTTTTCACTCTTCAAGATCTTAATCAAATAAACAAAACAGAAAAGAGAAAAGATAAAGCCCCTCAAAACAAATATATGTAAATATCTTCAAATGAAAATTTCAATAATTTCAGATTAAATTAGCATTGAAGGAAAATCTTTATTAAAATTTGGTTCTCAAGCGAACTGAAATATAATTTGTAATTTGTTCACCGTGAATCAACATCATCGCAAGTAAGCAAATAGATGTAAGAATGAAGCAGGTATTTTGATGCTCCATTCATGATTAGATTACAGATGAGAGAATAAAGGTATCTACTTATTCAAAAGCAATTAATTAAACATATATTTTCGCTTCACATATGCACCTGCTCATAATAATTAATTAAATGTTGAGATGAATGCGTTACGACTTCTTTTGTTATCATAGCACATCAAAAATATTTATTCAATAATTCTCAGAAAGTTTAATTCGTTAATATGAAAACTCGAAAATTCCTCCCACACAATTCGTTGTTATTTTAAACATTATTTTTGCAATTCCTCGATAACATAAACAACTTTTTTAATAGCGAGTTTTGTCAACTCGTCATTAATCTGGTGATAAAAAACCACTCGGAGTGTTTGAAGGTTTTTGCAACTTGACTTTATTAAGATGGGCTTCTTCTCGTCATCACAAATGCCGTCGTTGATTTCATTATCGCCAACTTGTGCCAATCGGTCACTTAGAGTTAAGGATGTAATCTTTTTCGGGTTGTCAGTGACTTTTATCATGAGAATATTTGTGTGTAGATTTTCCAAATCTACATAAAAGATTGAACTTTTTGTGTTACGAATTGCTTCAGCGAATTGACGTGTGTGTTGATGATCGAATCCCAATTGGGGAACAATTGTATTGAGCGCACACAAGCCGGCAGCAGCTATGAAACCAATCTGTCTCATCCCACCACCCAATGCCTTTCTTAAACGTCTTGCCTGATCAACAAATTGCTTCGTGCCGACAAGCAACGATCCCACGGGACAACAAAGATTTTTGCTCAAACAAAAACAAACGGAATCAACATCACGAGCGACCCGAGAGACGGGAACTTTCAAGTATTCGGCAGCATTAAAAATGCGAGCACCGTCCATATGAAGCTTCAATTTATTCTCTTTGCACACTTTCGACAGCTCTTCAATCCACTCCAGGGGAATAACCTTACCGCCTGTTCAAAACGCATTGAATCATTGAATCTTCTAGTTATCTTCAAAATTTCATATTTCGGATTCCTTTCTCATACCTGCCATATTGTGAGTTTGTTCAACTACAACCAGTTGAGTTATCGGTTCATGGAAATCACCCCCACGTACGTTTTTCTTCACTTCTTCAATCGAAAATGTTCCATCATCTGAGTTTGCCAAATTGTGAATGAAGACACTTGCCAGTTGAGATGCTGACCCTTGCTCGTAACGAAAAATGTGAGACCAATTTCCAACTATCACTTCACTCCCACGTTTATCGCAATGAACCATAACTGACAACAAAATAAAAGATTATTATCGTATCAAATTTCAACCAACACATACATGAATAGATTAAGAAAGCATGTCATGAATTACGTCGATGTTCTTCTTCATTACCTTCGATTTCTTAATTAATTTTAATTTATGCGTGAAAGCAATAAAACATCAACATGATAACTTGTTAATTGAATATCATCTAAAATGAATCGCTGCCCATGTGATCATGTTTAGAGTGTCTAGTTGGCAATGAAATTGTCAAGAGAATTTCAACTTTTATCAGACCATATTTGATAGTTTTGTTATTCAACGTAATTAATCTGAGAGTCCCCCTGAGTTCGTTTCTCTTTGTAAATGCATTTAAATGAAACAAACTTACTAGCCAAAAGATTAGCCATGGAACCAGAAGGAACAAACACCGCGGCTTCCTTTCCAAACATTTCCGCAACAACTTCTTCCAATTCCTTTCCCGTTGGATCTTCACCATAAACGTCATCGCCAATAACAGCTTCGAATATCGCTTGTCTCATTTCATCAGTTGGCACTGCCTTCATGTGATTCAATTTTTTTGGCCCCCCAAATCGAAACGATAAGAAAATTTATATTTAGACACTCGCCGTGTTGCGCACATTTTTTTTGTGTTTCATTCATCAAATTGAAACTCACCAACGTGTCGCTTCTTAAATCAATCACGCGATGATTCTTCAGATTCATATTTTCAAATGTACGACGATACATGTTGAATGATAATTGTTTTAAAGCAATTCAAATAAATTTGGTGAAGCGTAAATGACTCGTCTGAACAGAAGAGAATTCTTCTTCCAACTGACTTAAGCTCGCCGAATATTTACTTATGTATGTCTAAAATTCTACACAAAGAGAGTGATGATGAATACTAAAGAGAAAGAGAATTTAAAATCCGTCTTATCGTTGATTCTGAACAGCTGTTCATCCATCCAAAACATTCAATTTCGTATTTAAAGAACGAAAAGGTGAAAACATTCAAGCTAAATGTCGAATCTAAGCCTTTAAAGGAAAAGAAAGAAGAAAGTTTTGAACTACTTTAAAAGCTTTTTATGTTCTTTCAAGAAAAACTTTTTCTTTATTCTGTTTAAGTATCTTGTGATTTCATTGATTATCCTTCTCTTGCTTGCTTACCCAACTTACAAGTTGTATCGTCTTCATACTTTCCTCTCCATTTCACATAAGCCAAAGTTTAATATTTTTGAAAAAGAAAATAATTAAACATTTCTTTTTAAAATTTCCTTTAAAACTTCTAAACTTATTTTTTTCTTTCGTGTAGTGCTTTCAGGCAATTTTAATACACACAAAGTCAGAATATTTAAGAATAAATAAATGAACAAATTAAACATGCTGAGAATAGATGTTTTCCCATCTTAAAAGTAATGAAAAACTTTTGCTTTTTTAATTTCGATTTTGTATTTCTCTCTCTCTTGTCTTTTTTATGGGATAAACATGTAAAATGGATTAAAATTTTTATCAAGAACGAATGAAAGTTTCACGTTTTATAACAAGATAGGTTAAGTAATTTAGTTAAGTTCTAAGTATTTAATAATATCATTCTGAGGCACAGCTTATAATTATCATCAAAATGGTAGACATATAAAACTTTTATTTAAGTAGAAGCTTTAAGGTAGCAAGTTAAGCGAAACTAAAATTACCGGTAGGTTGGGGGTACTTAAAAGTTACTCTCATCTGAATTGTGAGGGTGACTATGTACTTAAAATCTTTTCAAAATAATTATGATGTTATCTATCTAGTCCTAAGTACATGTTTTAGCTGATAAAACTTAAAATAAACTGAGTTGTCTTGTTTGTGTTTATGTCTATTGTCTAAATATTCTTTGAAGGGAATGTGCAGTTAAAATATTTTTAGCTTCTTCTCAGGTAATATTTTCAGGAGATTATTTGGAACAGTAAAATTTTAAGTATTTTCATTCAACCAACAAGATTCACGAATAATTTATTGCTTTAGGAAACATTGAAATTTATGCTTCTTACTTAAACTATACATAAGAGTATGTGCGTTATCGAGAAACAATAACACGCTTAAAATGAACTCAAAGGCACAAATATGTTTGCAAAAATTTCTTTTCTTTCTACTTTCTTAAAATTTCTTCATTCATTTTTCGAAATTGAAGAATAATTTTGAGCTTAATAATTTTTTATTTTATCATTTCATTACTAATTGTCATTGTTATCATCATAGCTTGTGAGTTTTTCTTCTCATTTTTTCGGCTCGAATTTTATCCTAGAAATACATTTTTTTGGGAATTTCGTTTGTGTTTAATGATTTCTTCATTTAAATAATTTTTTGTTTTTATTTTAAGGCTTTCATTTACAATTTCTTTAAATTGAAAAAGTTGTCTTTTTCATTTGAACATCAAAATTGATAGATAAATGAATCAACAAATTAGATGAATCCGAGGAAAATAATCTCATGTTTAATTACTTAAATATTTATGTTTCATTAAACAAATGATATGCTGCAAGTTTCTATTTGTGAAACGATTAAAAGCTAAGCATAAAATAAGTTCAATTAAATATTAGCTAACTAATGCGGAACGTGTAATTCATTTATAAAGACATCTGTTTAAGAAACTGCTTCGATGTCCTTCAACTTCTTATAAAAGCCTTCGAGAAAACTCACTAATGTTAAGCAGAAACCTTTAGAAGCAGGAATTAATGGAAACTCAGGTTTCACTGTCAGAATGAAAAGAAAAGTAAATCTCACCATCAAAAGAATCTATTTAAGTATCACATTAACGGCAAACTCACCATTGGTAACTTCGTCTTTATGACTAGAGCTTATCTCACTCAATTCCATCCACGACTTTATTCTTTTATAGAATCTTTCACCCACTCGTCTAAAGTGTTCATGAATTTGATCTTTAAAGACTTCTGGCGGTGATGCAATCAACTTTGTCATTGACTGAACGAGTTTAAGAACAACCATCTCGTTATACATTCGGGAGTTTTCCTTTCCTTGTTGTGTTCCTAAATGTTTTAATAGAAATTACGAGAAGTTCTTCAAATCGACATCAATAAACGATAAACAAGAACAAACCTCGCTGTTTTTCATAACCAGCTTCATTGTAGTAAGGTTCATCAACGAGAATAAGTCCTTGGATGGAAACTATCACTTGCAGTAATGTACTGCTGTTGGGACACCAAACTTCACTGCCTCGACCCGACCATGTACCTAACAACGATACACAAACTTTTCCATCCTCGTATAAATTGGGATTTAAACGGTCACTGCAGTAGCTAATATAATGGCACAATGGTGGACTCATTGGATAATCGTGGCCTAATTGAATATCAAAAGCAAAGAGTCCGTCTTCGTATGGCGTGTTCTTCGGGCCTTCAATGAGAACGCTCAACAAATCAAGACGATCTTCAAATGAACGCACCCACACACCCGATGGTAAAGAATTTCTGAGCAATTTGTGTTCTTTTTGTACAGCTTTAAAGAAGGAATGTGCATTGGTTGGATGAAAGACTGTCAAGTGATATTTATGAGTATTTGGAACGTTTTCAAGTATTTGAAAGTTTTCATTCGTTGGCAAAACTTCATTGTCAACTTTTTCTTTTAATGTTTTCTTATCAACTTTCACTGTTGCTCCATTCTCAGTAATGTCATACGTTTTGACTTCATCAGGTGACGATAAATCGTCATCAAACTCACTTTCAGCTTTGGCAATGACTTTTGTATCCATTTCTAGATCAACAATCTCCTTAAAAGTTTCACTGGGACAGTAACGATTGTTAATCTCTTGTAAAGCTTTCACAAGCTGCATTTTGATGAGAGAACAAAGTTTAGCGCAAACTGTGATGACAAAACTTCCCGAAATCGAATCAGAAGTCTCGATAATTTGACGGGAATTTTCAGACGTCGATCCATTATCCAATGTAATTAAAATTCCTGAATCTGTGCTGTTCTTCTCACCATCATCTCGACTTACTCGCTTTGGTGATGGCGTTTTATGTGCAGACGATGGTGAAGAACTTAAAGACAACTTTTGACATTCGGCATTGTCGTCAGTTATGCTTGAAATGTCTGAAGATGTCGACAAATTACATTTGCCTTGTTTGTTCCAAGCCTCTGAAGCAACAACCAACAAATTTTGTTTCTTCGTCGGTGATTCTTGACTCGTTTGACGTGTTGACGATTGGAAACATGATTTTGTGCTTTCAAAGCTACAATAACTGCTGTTGTCTTCATGACTATTTGAATTTGAAGAATACTTTGTCGCTTCCAACAGAGAAATTTTCTTAGTGCTTGGCTTTGTGCTCTCAACTGCAACTGACGGACAACCGAACAATCCACTAACTGGAACTTCATTGAACAATCGATTTTTCTTCTCTAGAAGTCTGTCAGCTGTCGTTTGAGATCCACTCTTTCTTACTCTCTCCACTAATCCCATGAAGTTCGATTCATGGAAGAACGAAGTGTTCATCAATCGATCCAAGTAACGACATTTCTTATAAACCATCAAAAGTTTCTTCATAACTTCTTGTGATTGTAAATTTGGATTAATTATGAACAATTCTTCAAGACGCGCCATCGCTTTACGTGCTCGCTCTAAATTAGCTGTCAAATGTTGCTGTTGTGGCATCCCACCAGGTTCACTAAATTCATCTTCAGTCTGCCAACTCTCATCATCAGAATCGCCGCCATTTCCCCAGAAATTATTCTCGGAATCATATTGCCCAACTTCAAACAAGTCTTGAGGCCAACACATTGTAATTGTTCCATCAACCCACCACACTTTGACTCTTCCTTCTGGATAATTGTCAACAACTTGACCAGCAGTTGCACAGTTTTCAGTTGGAAAGTTTGCGACTCTGATGACAATTGTTCCAGGTCGATATTGAAAGTCGGGATGATCTTTAAGATCGTAAACGCTGACTTCTGATGCACCTTTATAAAGTGGCGTTGGCTCATCGATATTCGTGTATGTGCTGAACCATTTGACTCTAGCGATTCGTCCTAAATGATCGACTTTTTGAATAACTCCATAGTCACGGTACGATGGATTCAGATTTTCAGCGTCGTTTGCTGCCAACACAAAGTCGGCTGGAAAGAATTCGTGATCATCAAGATGATGAATTGGGCAGAGTTCAACTGATGGAATGTCGCCTTCAATGGAACCATCTTGCCAAACAACGGTTGCCCAACTGTATACAACAAGCGCTTCGGTAACAACGCGATCGTTAACTTGCGGAATTTTAACTTCTTTTGGATCTCGTTGCTTGTGTTTCTTTAATTTTCTAATTTTGTGCGATAAAAGTGGAGATTTCTTCGGTGAACCTTTTGGCGTTGGATTACTTGAACATGATGAAGCAGTCGTTCCACTATCTGACAGATTCTCATCGTCTTCTTCTTCCTCTTCTTCAGTCTGCCAATCATCACTTTCAAGAAACTTCTTCGGTGATGATGGACACAATTTTGTACGATCACATTCCGATTTTCGTACATGATCACATTCACTTGCTTTCTCACATTCTGTTAATTTTATCTTTTGATTATCAAATTCATTTGTGCTGCTATTCTGTTGGTTTATGGACAGATTCATTTTGTTACTTAAAATTCGATATTTATTGCCTGATGAAGAAAGGAAAATTAATTAAATTAACTTCAAAGATGATCAAATTACTTACTTTGTTCTTTCTTCCATTGAGATTTTCTAACAATCACATCACTCTCGCAAATCTCTAAATAATTTTTATCATTAATTTGTAGCATGCAACTTTCAAACAGATTCAAACGTTTCATTCGTTTTAAGTCATCGCCGGTGATGTAACTCTTGGGAATTGCTGAATCTTTTGCTGATGCTGTTGAATTACTGTCTTCACATGATGCTTTACACTGCCAATGAACGTAAACACCATCGATGTCAACAGATTGCACAATAAACTTTCGATCTGTTTTGTGCTTTCGACTTGTTCTCATTTCAGGTGTTTGGGTGATCCATTTGGCGTTATCAAGTTCACTTACGGGACCAATTAACATTTGTCCAACATAAAACATTGCACTCGAGAACATTGACTTATTATTCTTCATTTTCAATGGAAAATATTCAATGTCGGGACGAAGTTCTAGTACGGATCCGCAAGTTGACCTGAAATAAATTTCAATAAAAATTTGAAGAAAGAAATGTGAACAAAATCACTCACTTTAATGTTAACTTCTCATCAATATTCTTTGTACTTCCGACCCATGAATCTAAGCATACAGCATTATCACGTGGCATTGACAATGGTACGAGTCGCTCAGATGAAACATCTTTAATGACAAATTTGGAATTTCCTAAAATTTTAAGATCTGCTTTGACGTGAATCTCTCTACAGTAGCCTCTTTGTGTGTCACTATTTGTCATTCGTCGAACGACATCGCCTGGCATTAATGTTCGATCTGCCAAACCGATCTAAGAAGCGTCAAATTTTCAATATTACATAACTTTTTAATTTATCCAAGGAAAAGGACATCACATAACAAAAAATTCTTATCTTCTGAATTAAACTTACATTTCGTTCTGACACTATTTCATCCTTTCCTTCAGGATACCATACAATCTAAAAAAAAGTTGGAATTCAGTAATTATTAAATGTTGGAAAACTTCATTAAGGAAATTCTGTAACAACCCTCAGCTCTCCTTTTCGTAATAATTTCTCCGATTCTGAATGATTTTCATATTCTCCATCACTTGGTACCTGCAAAAAACATATAATAATGATAAATATATGTCGTGAAACGTTTTATCGATAATGTAATGAGAAAAAAAGTTATTTAAGGATATTGGAAAAAAATATTCCGGAAAAAATAATGAAAATGAAAAATTTCTGAAAACTTTACTTCATTCTCTACGATTAATCCAAATTTCACAGATCCTTTCTTGTCTACTGTATAAACTTGATCTTCATAAAAGTACTGATTCATTTGATTGTTGGTATTTAACTTAAATCTTTAAAACACCTATCCTGAAAACTTATTTTTTATGCTAAAAATATGCTAAGAATAATGTCAACAAATAAGAGTTTGAATTTTTGTGCTGAAAAGACGTTAAAAATTGTCATACAGAAAGGAAAAATTGAAAATAAAATTCAATCACATAAAATGATAATCAATCAAGCTTTGGTTTTGATTTGATTTCTTTTAATGTCATCTTCATTTTCTTAGTAAATATAATACATTTTAAGAAGAAGAAAACCTAATGATCTTCATTTGCATTAAATATTTTTTATTCATTTAAAAGCAGGTCAAGTTGTAGACTTCATTTCTTATCACTACAATATATGAAAATAAATAAATAAAAAGGAAATTGTTAAAATACTTTTTATTCAAAAAAGAAGCTTATTTTCTTAAAATTTAATGTACTTTATGTGTTGATTTCAATTAAATTTGAGAGTTGCAAAATATTCGGTTGTCAGGCAAAAGATTTTTGTTTTTCTCTTCTGATTTTTCTCGTGAAGTGAGAAAGATTTCCAAGCAACTTCTTTGAAAAGCTGTCATTATTCGCGATTTACTATTTTTTTAGGATCTTATCAAGATTGTCTATCGAACACGAGTTCTCGTTGTTGTTATACGTCGCAGTTGCTTCAATAAGTTTCTGTGAAGGTGTTTTTTGTGTCTTCCACGACTTCAGCTTTGCTTCAAGGTTCTAAAAGTCAAGATAAATGTTAATTTAAAATGATAACTTGTAAGTTCTTCATAGCACTCACATCCAATTTTTTCAAAAGGTCAGCTACAATATTCAAAGCTGAAACTCTTGTGCTTGCAGCAATGGGATTGTTATTGACACTGCAATCATCTGTTGAATTTTTCAGAAAGAGAAAATTTAAAATTCCAAGAAATTATGGTAAAAAATAATCACAAACATACATTTAAGGACATTAGATGATGACTTGTTGTGTAAAGAGTCATTAATAAGAGGTTTTTGAACAGAACTTGCGGATTTAGTGGATCCACCGCTCACATTATGAATTGTTGTGTCCAAAAAGCTGGAATTGTTGAGTGATAGCATCGAGTTGTTTGTTTTATCCATGGACGCATTCAATGATAGATTATTGTTATTTCTGCTATCATTAATGTCGTTCAGTTTACTAACATTGCTGTTCATTGAAGTGTTGGATTTAGTTGGTGATGACGAGGCGCTTATTGTACTTGTATCAAACAATGGGTTACGAGGTGGTATCGCAATATTTCGGATTTTCAATTCTTGCTTGAGATCTGTAAAGGTGAGACAAAGAAAACTTTACTCATCTGTTTGAACTTGACAATCCACTTTAAAATAACTCACCTCTCGCCTCATCCATTAATCGTTGTAAATTTATTTGCATTTGCTCTTTCTCATCAATTTCCATTTCAAGCATAGCATTTTTCTCGTATGCTTGATTAAGCATGGCTTCAAATCCTGCCACACTTTCACTCACTACACGATTAGTCCTTTCCAGATCATCATTTTTCTGTTCAAGTTCCCGAATGTACATTTTAAGTGAGTCCCGTTCAGCAAGAAGTTGGTTGTTTCTCGTCTCATATTCGTTTGCGTCTCTTTCATATAATGTTAGCCTTTGCTAAAATTCAAATAGAATTATTAGTAAAAATATAAAACATTCTAATCAGAAAAGCAACTCACCCTTAAAGCATCATTTTCGTCTTTTAAATTCACTACTGTTCCATTTAAATCGCGGATTTGTTTCTCATTCTGAAAGAGACTTGTTTCAAGTTCTCGTTCAAGCTGTCTTGACTCCTCCGTGAAATCTTCAAACTCCTTTTGACACTCAAGTTTTCTTTAGAAAAAAAAAGTAGCGAAAGAAAAAGAGAGATAGAGAGAGAGATAAAAACAAGATGAGATCATCAAACAAAATCTGAATGATGTTAAATTAATTTGAAAACTTACTCTTGGGTACAGAGTTTAGCGAGTTCTTTCCAGTAATGACATTCTTCCTCTATTGAATTGAACGTTCGATGCTCCATTTTTTTGTTTTTTATAAGTTCCTTGATATTATTTTATGAGTATTTTTTTTACAAAATTCAAATCAAGATTCAAATATTTTTTTAATATCGACAAATATCGATTTTTATCACTTTTCTTCACAATTTCACTACAAAATATGATGAAAATAATCAAATTGAGTGCAGATATTTTCCATAAATCTATCGAAATATATTAAAATTCGATAGATTTGTATTCTGGTAGGATTTTTCTATTTCAATTGGTTTATAAATATGTTAAGAAAAGAAAGAAAAAAGTATTTGATTAGAACCGGACACTTTCTGTCCGGGATGCTTACTTTTCATATGATGATAAACTTCGTTGGTGAAATCTTAACGGACTGTCGAGATATTTAAAATTAAAAAACGTTAAATGTATAGCATCAGTCTTGATGATGTTAAAAAATGTAAACAAAAGTTATTTCAAGTAAAATTTTCTGCTTTTATTATTTATGCACATTCTCTAAAGGATTCGTAATTTTTGACAATATATTATAAAAGTAAATATGAAATCTATGTAAGTTTTTAATGCTAAAAAGATATAAAAGAAGGATTTTTCCTGCATTTTCTGCATACAGCATTAAGCAACACTTTATTCATTTTATATGTCACAAATAATCAATTTAATATAAGAGTGCATCTAATCGCAATACATGTAAGCGCACTTACAGCTTCTTTGAGGTTCTCATTAAATTTTAATTTAATTGGATATGTAAAGTAAGCAATTAATTATTCATTGTGGTTCAAAAATGCTTTAGAATAGAAGTCAAGTGAAGACTTAGTTAAGTTTAAGTTAGAATCAATTGTAAAAGCAAATTCTTAACTTCAGTAGATAGATAAATTTCAACTTTTTATATTAAAGCAACATGTCATCAGCCAGTTTTAATAAAGTCTCTTACTCATTATTTTCATGTATTCATCCTTAATATTTGGATAGTGACCATCTGTGGTAAGCTTTGGTATATCTGAATATTTGATGCTGAAGCTTTCTTCAAATCCAACTTTTGCTGCAGCTTTTTGTGCGCCTAAAGATGAGAAAACATTTGAACTAACTTGAATTCCTATAACTTTTCCAAGTTCATGTCGAGCTTTCAGCATTTCGACTGCAATTCCTCTGTTTCTGTATTCTTTATTCACAAATAATCCACCAGCACACATCACTTTGTCGATTTGAAAATGTTTGAATGGGTCAAAAAATGTTTTTTTGATGAAATTTTTGGTATTATTGTGTTCAGCCCATCGCTGTCCTTTATGCTGGAATAAATTCAAATCTGGATTCAATCAACATAAATTAAATCAAGTGAATTTACTTCAAGAGGAGCATCGCTCTCTGCTTCTGTTATAACTCCGAGAATATTTACTGCAACGATATCATTTGATCCTTCTTTATAACAAACCAACGAAATGTTTTGTCTCAGCATATTTCTTAAGTTTTCAGTCATCTCCTGTACAGAAATTGGGCAATCACGAACACCTTTAGAGCTTTTCATTGGTTCATCAATCAAGTGTTTCTCTCGAATTATATGAACTGCATCATCAAATCTATTTTCTTGTAAATCTTCAATTCTATATTCAATCAGTTTATTATCTATATCAGAATCTAATGTTACGAATCGAGAATATGTTATTGGAAAGTCTACGTTGTTCGGTCTTGCCCAACTGTACATTGCACTTGATGTTATGAAATGTATTTGAGTTCTTCCTAAATTCACAGGAACTTGAAAGGAAAACAAAGTAATAGGAAAATTCACAGTTTTTCCTTTAATTGTTTGCACACAAATGTTCTTCTAAATAAATTCTTTTTCTTAGTGATGTAGGCTTCACTTCAATCAATTATCATCTTAACCAACTTTTATTCTATAATCCAACAGAAGCCGCACGACTTTTTTAGCGATATTTTTTATTTTTATATCACCAAAATTCTTTATGGAAAATGGAAGTAAGGCGCCATATTCAGACTTCAGCACAAGGAACACTGAAAGGAAAAAAAGGATATTCGCAAATGAAAATGTGGTTCTTCTTATTAGATCCTTAAGTAACTTCATTTTAACTTAATTTTTTCTTTATTTTTAAAAGATTTATTCATATCAAAGCATAAAGTTACAATGCTGCATGTAACAATATTACAACTGAATGCTTCGTAAGTTTTGCAATGTTGCGATGAATGTTGCAAGAAAATGCATTTTCATGCATTCATTGGCATTATTTATCAAATTAAACATTTCAGTAAAACTTTTTACTCATTATTTTCAAGTATTTATCTTTAATATTTGGAAATTCACCATCTGACGTTAAATCAGGTAACTTTGAATATTCAATTGCAAAGCTTTCTTCAAATCCAACTTTAACTGCAGCTTTCTGAGCGCCAAGACTTGAAAATACATTCGAACTAATTTTTATAGAATTTGCTTTACCAATTTCTTCACGAGCTTTTAACATTTCAACAGCAATGCCTCGATTTCGATGATTTTCATGAACATACAAACCAGCTGCAAACATTATTTTATCGACATTGAAATTTGAGAATGGATTGAAGAAGTTCATTTTAAGGAATTTCTTTAGATTGTTGACTTCACTCCAACCTTTTCCACGGTACTTGAAATTATTTTAAAAGTTAATTAAACATTTTAATACAAATCTGAAAACTCTTACATTATGTGGAGCATCAAACTCTTTTTCTGTGACAACTCCTAAAATATTTACAGCCACAATTTCATCAGAATTTTCCTGGTAGCATACGATGGAAATTTTCTGTCTTAACATTTTTTTCCAGTTTTCAATCATTTCATTAAACGATATTGGATCATCATGGATTCCTTTGGCACTGTACATTGGTTCATCCAGTAAATGTTTGTTTTTCATAATATTTAAAGCATCTTCAAAACGATTCTGTTGCAGATCTTCAATCCTGTACTTAATTATATTATTTCCATTAAAATCTTGTCTTTCAAAATGTGAATAAATTAGCGGAGATTTTAAGTCTGTTGATCTTTCCCAAATGAGTGACATTGTGAGACTGACAAGCAAGTATTTATCAGATGTTGACATTCTTATCTTATCTTGCCATTGCTACCTAATTTATATTATTTTGTTGGATTATTTTCATGTTGATGAAGCTATGAGAAGTATAAAATATCAAAAAAATCTTTCAATCTTACAAAGCTTCCAATTTAATAAAAATTGTTCATTTTTAGACTTGTGACTTATTAACTTAAACTTCTTAGCAACGTCATTTCATTCTATTTTAAAATTCAACCACCTTTTCTTCATATTTTCAATTCCTATTCGTGTAATTGATATCAAACCTGATGTACCCGAAATGAAAATCTCAATCATTCTTGATTTATTCTGTTTTCAATTTTATTTCGGTAAAATACACTTGTGGGTGTTTCTTTATGTTATTCAATCTTTTGCCATTATATTTTTATGTAAATCATTCGAGCACTTACAAAATATTTGACTTTTTAGACGAAAATGACTTTGACTTGAGTTTGAATTTCGATCGTTCTGAATAAGATGATAAGGTTATCAATTAACATTTCAAAATTAAAAAGAGTTTTTAATAAGACAAATGACATAAGAAAAAATACTACAGCAAAATTCAAGGTTATCAATTCGTTGGGTCAAAGCAGGTTTAAAGGCTTAAGAGAGTCTTCATCTTACTCTCAATTTAGAATTATCTTTAATCTCTGTGCGACCAAAAATTATTCGGGATTTTGAAAATTGATTCAGTTGTTAAGTGAACGTTCTAAGAACACGAATCAAAATGTGGTGAGCACATAAATTTAATTTGTTTGATATCATGCCTAAGTAACAATTGAAGTATTTGCTGCAGGAAAATAATTTTTCGGTTCTTACCATTCCTATTTTTCATTGGCGTATCATCTGTGGTTACAAATGATGTAATAATGTGTAGAAAAGGTCAATGGCCATGTAAAATTGATGAACCAATTCGTAAAGCTGGTGTTGTGATTTCGGAAGAAACTGATATCCAAATGACAGAATTGTATATGATTCCAATCAACGATACGGAATATTTGCCTCATAATATTTCGATAACATTTCCAAATCTTGAGGTTATCAGTGCAGAGGAAAGCTCAATCCGTGAAATACACAGAAATAATTTCGTCGGACTTTCAAAGATGAGAGAATTACACTTGTATGGTAATAAAATTAGAAGACTGGAAGCGAACGTCTTTTCTGATATGAATTCATTGGAAGAATTATTATTAAGTAATTATTCAATCATTTCTCTATGCCTAGTCATCCAAAAATAAATTTACTTGATCTCCTAACAGATTCCAATGAGATAAATAATATTGAAAGAAATGCTTTTACTGGTTTGGTCAAGTTAAAAGAATTAAGTTTAGGAAAAAATCGATTTAATACATTAGATCATGGAATATTTGGGCAATTATCTTCATTGGAGTATCTTTCTCTAGGTAAAATTTACATGATACATTTAATGATTATATTTCAAAGGTTATCACAATAAGTCGCCCATGGAATATAAATAATTAATTTGACAGATAATAATAATATTAAACACGTTGAAAAGGATCATTTTGAGGGATTGAAAAATTTGAAAGTACTAAAGTTATCTTACAACCAACTGGATGAAATAAATAATGACGCATTTAATTCGTTACCATCATTGGCAGATTTATCTCTTGGTAAGAGAAATCACTCATCAAATGAAAAGTCAAATAACTATTTTGGTTTTTTTAAAGGCAATAACAATATCAAAGAAATTGATGAAAACTCTTTTAAAGGAATGGAAGGTTTGAAAGAATTGAATTTAAATAACAATCAATTAAAAAGAATAAGTAGTGGAACGTTTGCGCCTTTGACGTCTTTGCGTGCACTTCATTTGAGTAAAATTTGTCACATAATATGAAATAAAACTCATTTTCTAAAGCTAACATTTTTCAACAGACGGCAATGGAATTGAACAAATTGATGAAAATGCTTTCAGTGATTTACTTGCACCATTTTTATTAATGGAAGTTCTTCATTTAGGTGAGAATGATTATGTTAGGATTGATTTTTAATCATTACGTTAAATGTTTTTAATAGAGAATAATGAAATCAAGCAAATCGATAACAAAGTTTTCAATGGAATGAGTAAGCTAAAAGTTCTGTTTTTGAATGACAACAAATTAGGCAGTTTAAGCTTGGAATTGCTTGCACCATTGTCATCGTTGAGAGTTCTTTATTTAGGTAAGATTTACTATGTGTAGATTGAGTTTTAATAAGTATGTTAAATGTTCTTGTTAGGAAATAATGAAATCAAAGTAATTGATGAAAATGCGTTCAAGAAATTAAGCAAGTTAGAGAGCTTGTACTTAGAGAACAACAAGTTAGAAAGAATAACTTTTCCTATGATTGAGCCTCTGTCATCACTGAAATATCTCCTTTTGGGTAAATATTGATTATCTAGGGTAAACAAGGTATTATGAACACAATGTTTTTTGTAAGGTATTGTGAACACACCTAATTTCGAATGCGATTTTCTTCGCTATTTTGCATTCAAATGGATCAAAACTTTGTATAGAAGTAGAGTAGATAGTTCAAACTACTTCTATACAAAGTTTTGATCTATTTGAATGCAAAATAGCGAAGAAAATCGCATTCGAAATTAGGTGTGTTCACAATACCTTACAAAAAACACTGTGTTCACAATACCTTGTTTTACCCTAATTGAGGTTTTATAGGGTTATAAGTTATAGTGGCTGGGTTCTTTTTTTAAACAAAAAA